CTTTCTGTCCGCCCCCCCCCCCCCCCCCCCCCCCCACACCGTTGCGCGTGGCTTTGAGTCAACAGGGCAGTGTTGAGGACTCGTATTCATCCGTCGGCCAACGCTCCCTTTGTTTCAATCCCTTTTTTTTTTTCAGTTCTGCCATCGTCACGCGACCACACTCTCAACCTCACAAATCGCCCGCCGAAATGCATCGTTTTGTCCACTTCCTCGCCGTGGCCGTCGCTGCCGCCACATTCGCCGCAGCAGCTGGAAGCGACCCCATCGTCACGAGCCTCTTCCTGCCCAACCACGATACCAACTCATTCGTCGCCACCGTCCTCAACGTTGCCGCTTCGGCCACGACGTTTGCATATACGTGCGCGAGCAATGTCAGCCCCGACGACTGCGACTTGGTGACGCACGGCACCGTTGTGCAAGGCCCGTCGACTTGGCAGATGTCGCTGTCGATGAGCGACGACAAGGACGGCATATAGTAAGATGACCAACCCACCGCACCACCTTGGCCGCCAAGCGAACAAGTACTTGTTCTTGTTCTGCTGCGGTCGCTCTGCTCATGGTTGAGAACTTGGACTCTTGGCTAACGCGGGACGGATTTTTTCTACAGCGCATTCACTGCTACCTGTTCTCTCACCTCGTCCAAGGACGTTGCCAGCTGCTCAGTCTCCGAGACCGAATCCAACAGCGAAACGCAGACTTCGTACCAAACGACCGGCCAGACGACGGGGTATATTTCCGACATGCAGCCCGTGACTCTCATCTCTGGCCTCGACAAGCTCACCGACGGCGCCGTGCCAACCGCCAGCACGGCCTCGTCCGCCTCGCCCGGCGCCAGCAGCCCCGGCGCCCAGCCCACCGGCGGCGCGTCGCAGTCGTCTTCCTCGGGTGCCTCTTCATCCGCAGGGGCCTCGTCCTCCGGAACCACCTCCTCCGCGAGTGGCTCCAATACGGCGACGCCCAATGCTGCACCTGCGGCCACCCAACAAGCTCTCCTGGCTGGTGTTGCCGCCGTTGTCGGTGCTCTTGCGCTCTAAGATCCTTTCTTGTTGTTATTCACATGATGGAATTACCAGCATAGCCGGCCGGGTTGCAGTTTCTTTGTCTATATGCCAAAAAATAATAGTAATCATATTAATCTCGAACATTCGAGTTTCTGCGCATTTTACTGCATTTACGAGACTCTATCCTCTCGTCCGTCTAGCCAGCTACTACAATTGACGCATCGCAGAGCCTAACATATTCAGTGACGATAATTTCAGTAGAAGAAGAGATTCCAAAGTACCTTTTCGTTGATTCGTTTGCGGCAGTATCGGCACTTTGTCGTGTATTTAATGATGGGGTCATGCGAGACCATGGTATAAATATGAGCCACACCATACAGACACAGCCCAACCATGGTAAATGAGACGAGTTGATAGATGAATGAGCTGCAATTTCGGGGTTAATATCAAAACAAAAGGCCCACCTGGACAGGCATCCTCGAATGCAAGCAAGCATGTACACACCCGTACGCCATCACAACGGCACCATCGTCGAGCGCTTGCTGCACAGTACTGTATTGTGCAGTCGAATTCGATCTGTCGCCCCGACGCAAGACTGCAAATTTCTCTTCAATATTCTTATTGAGCGGGAAGATGATAGCAATCGGCGGCATCAAGATGGCGCTGACAAACGACTTGACAAGGTCTGTAAAAGCCGCCGCGACACTGCAAAAAAACAAGATCAGCAAAGGCGTTTTTGAGCAGCGCGTACGAGGGCTGGGGGGCACTTTTGAAGGGCTTCGACACCTCCCTCCACTGCTGCTCACATTAAACCAAAGGCAATCTCGAGAATGTTGCCCTGAAAGGCAAAGTCGACAAAGCCGTGGAAGAAGCGCTGAGCCGTTTCCTGGCCGCGATGCAGGAGCGAGTCGGACTCGCTGTGCAGGTGCTCTAGATCTTGGGACGGCATGCCGGCGACGATTTTGCAAATGTAGCTTGAAGAGAGCCTTTTGATTCTATATCTCGTATTCTCCCTCTGAGACGGAGAGTTGTTGCTTGATGCGGTGCAGCGTGTGTTCCCCCCCCCGCACCAGGTAGCCCTGAAATGGTGGCTGATTCGATCAACTCCAGTCAAGGCAGCCAAGAAGCCAGTTTCCTGGCGCATCGCTCGGCTGTTGGCAAGGCGCTGATGACATTTACGGCACAACTCTGCTACGTGGATTAAATAATGAAAACCTCGAAGATACAAAGGTTGATACAAGGAAACCATGTCTCATCATTCCATGGCACGCTTGAGTAATGACGCAATCTAATGTGTTGGCCGTCCACGTGAAGCCCCATGAAGAGGCGCACCACAACGCAGCAGCAGCCTTGGCTTGGATCGGCATCCTTCTCAAATATTCTTATATAATTCTGCGCAAAGCAATCATCTCTTGGGTTCTTAATATCTATACTTGCTAAAACGTGAAGAAAACAAATAAGTCAAATGCTGTCCAATTATGTCACACAAAGGGCAACGATTCCAGTTCTGTACAGGTCAAAACACAACAAGTTACCCAAAATATCACAACCAAAAGAAGGTGAAAATGAACAAATAGTAATTCACAACCAGCTTCCCACCACCGCTTGGCCTTTGAGCCCAAACGGTCTCATATCGTACCTGCAATACCACGTTTGAAAAAAAAAAAACCAGTCGCCATGTGCCTGCCACCTTGCCGATTGTTATTTTTGTGTGCTCGCGTCAAAGAAAACACCTGTCTGCTTCCCTCAATAGACCAAAAGAGAAGCCCAAAAAGGCATCTCACATGTTTGAATCCGAGGAGGCGCCGGTGAAGAAAAGAGAAAAGAAACACGGAAAAAGCAGAATCCCGACCCTTTCCCCGAAAAAAGTAACCATAAAGGTAGGGCCGAACCGTAGGGGACGCCAACAACAAAGAAAAAAGAATCAATAATCTAGTAACAATGGGTATGTTTCGTGGATGAACCGGGACAATAATGCGTAGAGAAAATCAGAAAATCAAAGAGCACGCAAACAAACAAAAACACCACCTTTCCTGACGACATAAAATGTACAAAATATCCTGACCTATGTTCCCCGTAGCTCACTGCGCGATGCTTTCTGGACTCATCATTCCCGTTGTATCATCCTTGTCCGTCGCGCTCTGCATGCTGTCGGCGCGTTCCATGGCAGGCGCCAACGCCATGACGGCCGGATTGGGCGGCACCACGGCACCGTTGGGGAGGCTCGGCTTCTTTTTGACCGACGCCCCGGCCTTTTCCGCATTGAGTCTGGCCTCGGCCGCCTGAGCCTCGAGCTTCTTCTTCTTCTTGGCCATGGCGATTTGTTCGCGCGGCGGCCGCTTCTGCGCCGACATGATCTTGCCGCTAGCGCCGAGGCGCGGGCGCGGCTTGCGCTGCTTCGTCGGCAGGTCCTCGTCTTCAATGAGGGGCTGATCACCGTTGGCGTGCAGCTTGGCAAAGAAGAAGTTCTTGACCAGCCCAATGTGATGCTGGATAATCTCGGTCGTAACGGGTTCCGAGGGCGGCAAGGGCTCAAACAATTCCAGGCTGGTAGAGCCGGCGTTTTGCGTCTGCAACTGGTATTGACTGCGGACGCGGCTCTGCAGCAGGTGCAAGGGGACGGCGAAGGATTCCAGACCCAATTCCTTGTCCAGCCCGAGAGCCTTGAAGCCAAAAAAGTCTTCACCAAGTTCGTCTGCAAAGTCGCCGCTTGTAAACTGCTCACTGCCATCTTTGAAGGCACCCACGCCGTCATTGCCAGCATCGGCAGCCAATGCTGGCCGAAGCAAATCTGCCAGGTGCGTCTTCATTCTCTCGTGCAATGTACCGAGTCGTGTGCTAAGTCTGTCGACATCATCCTTGATGTATGAGTCTAACGAGGGAATGTCGTGGCCATTCTGTTCAAGAGTGTGCAGTAACACCTCTTCCGCTGTGAACCGGGGCTGTACTACCGTTCCCTCGTGCGTGGTGACGGACTTCTTTTCCGCCTCCTGATAGATATTGAATGTGCGCATGAGCTTTTGGAAATAGTCCGCAGCGATTCCCGTCAGAGCATCCACTGCCGAAGGCTGGAACTCTTCAAATCCACTGTTATATAAGATCTTGCCAACAGACCGCTTCAACGCGTTCTGGCAAGCATCTGCGGCCATGACGGGGCCGTCGTCGGAGATGAAGTGTGGTTCAATATCCTGCTCCACAAATGGCTCGTTATTCGACTTGGGAAACTGATTCGTATATACTTGTGACTGAACCTGCATCTGCTTGATGACAGAAATCTTGGTGGCAAGCTTCCGAGTCTCCTGTATTTGCCGAATGTTGTCGTCCATTTTTTTCGTAAACCGGCTTTGAGGTGCAGTAAAGAAGCCGGGCGGTACTAAACGCAAGAATTCCTCGTGCTGATTGATGACCTGCCCTTCCCCATCTTCGATCCACTGCAGCTTCACAGGAATGTCGGGAATATTTGAAAGAGAATCGTAGTAGTCGGGCATAATCTTGTCCGCTTCCTCGTCGATTCCTTCGGCGAGTGTTTCTGGCGCCTTTGAGCCAGCTTCCTTGGCTGCGACGGCTGATGTATCCGAGTAATCTTGCCCAAAGCCAAGCGCTTCTGCCTCTTTCTGATGCTTTAAGAATCGACGCATACCAGCCTTATTTCGAAGTAGGGCTGGAGCATCGCCATTGAGCCTGTTGTCTTTGAATATTTGGAAGCGCTCCTTGGCAGCCAAGGCTCGATCTTTTTTCGTAGTTTGCTTCCAGATTTTGTATTCTTCGTCTTCGTAAACCTGCTCATTTGCGTCACCAAAGGTTTGGTTGAGCGTCATACCGTTTAAGCTCGGTCCGTCAATTTCCATAGCATCAGCATTGCTGCCTATACCGGAGGTCCCGTTTGCTCCATTTGGTGTCAGGTTTCCAATCGGTGGTGTTGAGAAGCCATTACTGCCGTCAGCTTCAGAACCTTCACGCCCATGCTTCCCAAGAAGCCCATTGAGTTGTATTATAGGCTTCTGATCAACAACTGGAGTGTCCTCCTTCTGGTCATCGGCTGGTGCAGTTCGAGACTTGTTGCCAGTGCCTTTGGTACCCGCTTTGCGGCCGCGAGATGACATGATAGGCTCATCATCGGAGTCGTCGCCTCCGTCATCCTCCCCGCCGTTTTGCTTTCTTCTTTCTTCGGCCTCCACATCGGCTCGTGACCGTATTACCAGGTTTGGTATAAGAGGTATTAATTTCTCCGCCTCTTTGCGCATGCCATTAGCCATTCGGCGGAGAGGGTGATTCATGTCATGGTTGTATTTTAAGCAGTTATCCCATATTAAATTGAGATCGGCGACAAAGTCAGCTTTCGACTTGAAAGCTAATGATTTGAGTTTCTTTGTCATGGTACCGAGATCCATAGGATTCTTGATCACTGCCGAATGTTAGAACCAGCATGCGGCCGCCTTGTAATGACTTCTCGCTTACTTGAATAATAATCCGGCGCATCTCGCTTGTTGACACGAGTAAGAAATGGCGTCGAATATTCTGTATGTGCCTTCAACTCTGTCAAAACTTTCTCCAGGGCTTCGTACAGGTCTTCTTGGTTGACGTTCTCCTCACTCGCCCACTTGCTGCGATTCTTGCGAACCTCGTTCATGAGAACTCGCAATTCCGCATCAGAAGCCTGTACTTGATCTCTCTTCATATCGATCCGCGCGATTAGATGCTTTAATGTGAGGCTGGAAGCACCCAAATTGGCACTACTGAGGGTTCCTTGGTTGACAATTTGGTGTCCGCTAGCACCTCCCTGGCTGTTGTGGTCCATTTCAGCCTGGAGCTGCTTTTCTGAGTCTTCCAGTTGTTGTTGCTCGAGCATAGCGCTGCGATCATGCTCCAGCGTATACATGATTGTATGGAAACTTTGGCGAGCGGCCGCCTCGGTCCTTTTCCGCGCTTCTTCGAGATTTTTGATATCGCCTTCTTCGGTAGCCTCTTTTCCTTGAGAGCTCTTCTGAGCTTCGGATTTATCGAGGCTTTTGACGGGTGAGTTCATTGAAGGAACCGGCGAGCTGCCGGATTTCGAAGGTGAGAGGAGGGGATTGGCGACTATGGAAGCCTGCGTTTTGAGGGCAGCAGCAGGCGCGCTGTCATCATCATCTTCATCATCATCATCATCATCATAATCGTCTTCGTCAATGGCTCGTTTGGCCTTCTTCATGGGTGGTTCTCTTATGGGTTCGTGATCGGTGGTGGGTGGCAGGGTAACCGCAGGCGCGACTGGTAAGCGGCGCAGCGCCTCGATCGCAGGTCGGTTATATGCACCATTTTCAGAGAAGAGTAGAGCGACTCGACTCTCGGTTTTTCGATACAATTCGGCGAAGTGAGCGCGACGGGCTTCTTCCTCGGCGTCTAGCGTGAGCTCAGGTACCGGCGCGATGGAGTTATCAACAGGGGTCGATGTACGCGCCGATGCATCATCAAGATGCTGGAGCGACCTGCTGCTGTTAGAGTGATGCAAGGCCGGCGATGGCCAAGCTTGCTGGCCATTGAGAAATGACATTTTCGGCCCCGAACGATGGAAGCGACGGCGAGGCCCCTGTCGCCATGCGCGATGAAATGCGCTCGCGTAGCGTTCGACCCAAGGCGATGCAAGGGCTCAAGATGGCATCGAGGGAAAGCGATGTGGTAACTGAGATGGGGGACGAATTTTGAAAACGAAATTCGATGCGCGGGGTGGGTGTTGATGGATTGCGACTGGCGCCTTGTACCAGCGTTTCTACGCTCGAGGTTGATGATTTGGGACTGCGTGCTGTAGCGCCCCGGAGCGGGACTTGGTTGCGGGCAGCGCCTGGACACGGAGCACGGCGTACCCAGTACTTCTCGGCTTCGGAGGGGGTTCTCGGCGAACCGCCTTGCGATTATATTGTATCTTGATTTTAGATGGAACACAGTGTTTAGTCGATTCTCAACCACTCTAGAGCTTTCCTGAAGTGTTCAAGGACTACAGCGGCCAAAAGACACGCAGCCGCATGTGTCTGTTGGGTTTACGCTACTTTGACACCTGCGGGCTCAGCGAGATGCGAGGACAAGGCGATCAACTGAGTCACGTGCCGTAAAGCGAGATTTCCTTTTGCTGCGAAGAGCGACTTATCTGATTTTGCCGAGTACAACCAAGGTAAATTTTAATGTTATATGTATGCAAGTAATGTTGCGCTGCGAAGACGCCACCACGTAATTGTGTTCTGGCAACCCACCGACTTTTTTATTTTGATGAGTCTGTGTTAGACTTGAACCATGTTCTCTCATATACAGCCAAGCACTTTTGTAGCTTATTGACCTCAGCCCTTGAAGCCGGAAACTCAACTATCGCAAGACAAGTGTCATCACCGCAGTATAACATACATCGCGTTGATGATGAGCAGCTCCGAGAGGAAATGAGCTCTTTTGCAGTACAATGAATACAACGCACCGCGGAAGAGACGCCAGCCACCGCACTTCCGAGAGAGACACAAGGACTGTCCCTGCGAGGAGAGAAAAAGAGCACCCCAAGACTCGCCTGCTTCATAGAAGCCTGATTGCGCCAATGTTGCTCTGACATTGACGACAGTCCCATGCGCCCAAGAGTAAGTTACATCCTTTCCAACATAATCGAAGCCAATATTTTGTTCTGTTCAGAAATCTTGTCTTTGCACATTATTCTATATACAACAATACTGCACTCCGTTCAAGGACGACCCATAGCGTGCTCGACCAGTTCCAGAGCGGCGAGGACCTTCTCTTCCTGGAGTCTTCTTCCAACAATTTGGAGACCTACTGGGGCCCCGGCAAATAATTCGGGATCATACATGTCGTAGATGAACTGATCTTGTTCGTTGACAGGCTTGTAAGTAAGTTCCTTGGCGTCCTTGGAGACGTCGACCGTGGTGACGGGGAACACAGCGCCCGGGTAATCAAGCATATTCCAGTGGGAGGTGTAACCCCAGTACTTGGATTGCTCATGCGGAGTGGCCGCTCCGAAACTCGCGGGGCAAAGAATCACGTCGACTTCATCGCCGTCGATATTGGCGGTCGCGTTCCAGGCCTGCGCGTATGTTGCACGATACGAATCACGGGCGTAGCATAGCTAGGCTTCCGTTAGCTCATGAACTGCTCAGTCGCGCCGAATTCGGACACCGGAAGCGGCTTCTATCAAGAGTTAACAAACTTACCTGCCAAAGCTCGGCTTGAGTCATATTCTTTACACTAGATTGCTCCTGGATGACCCATTTCGTGAGTGGAAGCACAGTATCCCCGGCGCCCTCGAGACACTCTATGGTCTCTAGCCCGCCATCAGGCCAGTAAAGCGCAGAAATGATCTCCCAGCTTTTCTTGTGGTCCAACTTCTCACAATCCCAGTCTACAACATTCATGCCTGCCTTTTTGCAGGCTGCAACCACTTCCTTGAGTGCGCGGGTGACTGGGGGATGCGGCTTGACAACACCATCCCACCACTGAACTGCAATCTTGAGGGGCTTGCTGAACTTGTGAGGGATCCAAGGCATTGGGACAATTGAAGGGTCCTTGCGCCATGGCTGCTTGGAAAGAATCACCCTCATGAGTAGCTCCATCGCTTTACGGTCCACGGTCATGGGCCCTGGTGTACTGAAGATGGTTTCCCGGCCCGCCATGTGGCCTATCTGACCTGCGACAGTGATGCGTTTCGTCGACGGCCTTGAAGATATGACTTTTAGATTCGAGCGACTGGTTGCGCGCAGCATTATACTTACTTGAATCCATAGATGCCAACAAATACGGAAGGGCAGCGAATGCTGCCGCCAATGTCGCCACCAATTCCCTGGTCTCTATCAGCGGCTTGCCTCACTACATGAGAAACTGTTCGGTCTGCTCACGATGCACTTACCAACAGACTACCACGCATAGCAATCAGAGCAGACTCTCCTCCGCTACTACCGCCTGCTGTTAGGTCACGGTTGTATGGGTTATCGGTTCTCCCCCACAGGTTGCTGACGGTCTCTAGGTGCATGATAGTTTGCGGCTGAGTAGTTCGAGCGTAAAATACACAGCCTTCTTCCCAAAGATCATCGTAGAGCACGTTGGAGCCGTGCTTGCGGTCGACCCATGCAATCACAGAGGCTGTAGTGATGATATTTTCACCAACCATGCCATGATGTTCCTTGGTAGAGATGGGCAGGCCGAAGAAGGCTCCTTGCGGCTCAGGTAGCGCGTCGAGATACTTGGCTCTGGTTATGGCTTGATCCCACATCAACTCCACTAAACAGTTCGTCTTGGTTTGTGTTAGCGGGCCCTGGCTCGGAGAGGATCAGATAGGACTTGCCGCAGCATGAGCAACTGCCGCTCGACGTAGAAAGGCTCTGGCCACTTCCTCAACAGATACTTCCCTGGATTTGAGAATGGCCAGAAGCTCAATGACATCGTACTTTTCGGTGAGCTCGATTTCTCTGGCCGTCAAAACACTGCTTGGCAGCTCCAGGCTCCTGCGGGGTAGCTGGGCAGGCAAGGCCGCGAGTTTTGGTTCGACTTTGGCTAAGCCAGTCTCGCGCCTTGCTCTGGCTCTCTCGATCTTTTGCTGCGCTGTCTCCATTTCAACTGTGTACCGGATGAACCGGATGACGATTGACTAGGTAGGTCGTGAAAGATGGACGTGGGTGGTTTGGAGGAGACAAAAAATTTGGAGGTTCGGCCACGCCACTTTATAATGATCGCTTCGTGTCGAACTAAAATCCCGATGTCGGCAGATACAACTACAAAATCAGAACCCCGCAAGATTTGGGATCACAAGCCGCCAGTGCCGAGCCTCTGCGTGACATAAATGCACCTTATCGGCCTTTCGTCCGGTGTAGCGGAGTAATCTTCTGAAGAGGGTCCCAGACTACTCCAGCTACTCCATTCCTCGAAACGTACCTAATAGATATAAGCTTCAGGCTACATCACCGCCACTAATGATAACCATGCAGTCCGAATTGAGAAATAGTCTGTTGTTGAAGACGCCGCTGCCACAAGCTCCTAATCTGGCATCACTGACCCGTGCCCTGAAGTAGATCGCCGTCAAAATCATTGCTGTCTAGTCGGGTTAGGCCGACGGTGTCTTATTAAAAGAACCAAGCGGGGACCTCTCGTTCTTCCCCGCAACCTCCACGCTTCAGCATGCCCAGTAATCACTCGCTAAATAATTTCCAAAACGAGACGGAGTGAACGAGATCGACCCCTGATCCACATCGCGCGCATCATTTGAACAATTCCATTCTGCAGCAATCTTCTTTCAAAGGCCGCCCACTACGGCAGCGATGCGACCGATAAAAACCATGGTACGCGCAGATTGAATGCCAATACCCGCCTTGGCAAACGTTTGTTGCACTTTCCGATGGGCTTTCCTATCTTGGCAGGGTAGCTACCCCTAGTTATGGCACGATGGCGGAAAGCCGAGGCGCGGTTTCACAAAGCAGTAAAAAGTGAGACCCCAATGGCGTGTTCTTCTCTCGCTTCGCATACATGCAATGCGCTCGATCCATCCGCCAAATATCGTATTTGGCGTGACCACACCTGGCCAGCCAAGAAAGGGTCGGCCAGTCGCGCTGTCCGGTCTCAGCTCACCTGAAAGCCGGTAATAGTATTGTTAGGAGCCCAAGTGGAGCTACGATACGTATAGTTAGGAGGTTCTTCGGGGTTACTTGCTGATGGCTGATTGATCTACTCAGACAGATGCAGCAGAAAGGAGATAAAACAATGAGACTATGGTGCTGCTCAAGGCCCTAATTTCGAGCTGCGGACTTAGTCTACGGACTAATCGACTGACGATGCGGGCTGGGGCGTGCTTGCTCACTGTCTGCTACTAGGTGCCCACAGGATCTTATTCCGCGGTCGTCTAACCCGTAGATCAAGTCCGCAACTCGAAATCAGGAGCCTGGTGTGCCTGGATACAGAATAGATCGCACACGAAGTGGTGTACACATACATCTTCAGCCTACTGCTAGCGGCTGCCACCAAAGTCAGACTGGCGCGGCACGCGCGGGTCTCTACTACATAAAAGCAGCACCCTACGTCTCTCACCTTCATGGTGCTCAATCGCATATCAAACACCTCCCAACCTCTTACACCTACTCCCCGCCATCATGTCATACACCATCTACGACGCGTCCATCGTGGCCGCCAAGCACCTCCTCACCTCCCTCCAAGGCATTCTCACCAAGGCCGAGGCACATCCCGACGCCGCCTCACACCCTGATCGCCGCCTCGCCCCGGAAATGCTGCCGCTCTCCTTCCAGATTTGGTCCGTCTGCACCGTCGCCGAGGCGCAGGCACTCACACTTCAGCAAAAGGAGGCCGTGACGAAGCAGTACGAGGAGTCTCCGCTGCCGACATATGCCGCGATGCGCGCGCGGATCGAGCAGGTGCTGGCCTTGCTGGAGACGGTGGATCGCGATGCGGCGGTCGAGGCCGGGGAAAAGATGACGAGTATCGATTTCAAGCGGGAGGTCGGAAGGAAGGAGCTGAGTGGTACTGCTTTTTGCGCGGGCACCGGGATACCGAACATGTACTTTCACACTGCAATTGCATACGCGATTCTGAGGAACGCGGGCGTCGAGCTGGGCAAGCTTGATTACCTTGGACCCTTTGTCATGGCCAATATTGGCATGTAAATAATGCTCGTGGCAAAAGAGTTTGCTCCGCGCAGAGACAACAGTACTCGGCGCTCTCAGGCCCACATCAACAAAAGCATGCATTCGTACGTCCCGCATACGAGTGGTGTGAAATACAAGAAATTCCGAATCATTAGCCTTGATAGGAGTAAAGGCGTTTGCTTCTGGGGGCGAGTGCAAAATCGAAAGGTGGAAGCCGGATCTCGACCTCCCCTCTTCTGTTTGCGGGCAAACAGCTGGTTGTTGTCCCGTTGCAGCTACACCATGGAAAATCAGGACCTGCAAGCTGCAAAGACGGGCTCCTAGTTTAACAAGTGAGTTTTCCCTTGTTTTTGATGGAGCCAATGGTATCTGGTGACCTTTTTTTTCTTTGGGAGAAAACCAAGGTAGAAAGAATGCGAACATATAACGATGGTGATATACTATCCATCACGTTGAATAGTGGCGTGATGTTAAATCTCCACATCATGGCGAAACCCAGGTGGAGGGAATGACAAAAGGAGGCCAACTACCTATAAACAATGGCAACAAAAATCAATGAAATAGAAGCGTAAAGAAGACCAAGAAGGATATTCGACAGTAATTTATCATACTATCCACGTTTCAAATATGTAGTAATGAATATGGTTAGAGCAGCGTCACCTTCATCCAGTTGCCAAGCCACATACGCATGTGCCACTTTAGTGATGTGGCGCTCTTCGCAGCCTTGTTTTCAGGTAGCTCCAGCGGGTCGTCGCAAGCTCGAGGCCATTCTGTCATCGCAATGAAATTCTTCTTCGACAATCGACTGACAGCCACACGTCGCGCGCTCAGTAGCTGTTTTGAGAACTGCTGAGTAATATCAAATTATTAAAGGGACAATTCGTCTGCGTCTCAGAGGTCGAGGCACGATGCGCATTCGTTTCAGCTTCGCAGGTATGCTTCCTTGGCGACTGGCTCAGCAGACGGCACCTCAATTCCCATGATACTCATCGCTATTTGCAGGTGGATTCCTGCTGCTTCTTCTGCTGGCAGCGTACGCTGGCCTCACGAAGCTCCAGCTCGGCCATTTGGTCAACGACAAGGTGCTGCACTTTTCCACCTTTTTTCTCCTCACCGTCGTCTTCTACTGGGTCGTGGACACGAACCGCCGCCGAACGATAAACATGACATTCATAATATGCACATTGATACTCGGCGTCGGGTCCGAGTTTCTGCAAAGCTTCCTGCCCAACGATCGCGAGTTTGACATTTACGATATTGTCGCCAACCTCGTCGGCAGCCTGCTCGGGCTCGGGCTCTGCTCGTGGTACCACCGAAGAATGCTCGAGCGCAGACGCCAGAAGAAGACGTATAATGCGGTACCGGGAGAAGACGTGGAGGACCTTGAGCTCGGCGAGGGCCACGAGACGGGCGTTGTGGACAGTGCGCCGCAGACGCTGGAAGAGGAGGTTGACAACTGGGATGAGAATGCGCCGGACGATTGGGAGGAGGATGAGAATACGGAAGGTGCAGACATTACGACTTCACAGACTGTCAACAAGGTCAAGTAAAGATGTCCCAGGTTCGCGTTCTGTGTGCCGTTACAGCACGAGTAGTGGAAGAGTACGGCCAACCGCGGTGCAGCCGTCTTTTTGCACTGCACGATGTCGTTTCGTTTTTTTCTAGCGAGTTTTCATCTTGCTGTGTTTTATATGAGAAATGAGAATGAGATAGCCGGCGAATTCAGTCGAGCCACCTTGAACATCATACGACTATGCCTTGGCTGCTTTGAGCCATCGCCAGAAGCTACGAAAAAGAGCTCCGTGCCACTCCGGAGAGCATATTATCATCAAGTTCACACTGCTTCAGAATCTAATTTCTTCGTTCGAGCTGTGCTGTATAATATGATACCAGCAACGGTTGAGGTCTCCTTTCTGCCGTGCCTGTACCACAGCAGATTTCAGCTACACCTGAAACAATTCTATATTTTTAAAAGAATCAGAATCTTCAAAGAAAAGCATTCGTCGGCTATTTTTGAGCATTTATATCAGGTTGACCGTGTTGCAGAAGCTCGGTGAAGCCACCCCCCACCAGCCCCTCAGACAAGCAGCCCACTTCGCAGCAAATGCAGTGCTAATCGCTACCTAAGCTCCCAACTTGTGTCTTGTACAAGCAAACAGGAGCCATGGCAAGCAAAGAAAAGCAGCCTGCCGCTGGGTAAGAATTGGTTGCTGCGTATATACTGGCGAGCTTTCATTACTGACGCTTTGACGCAGCGGCAAGGGCGGGACGACGACGAACCCCCGCGGCATTCCCACTGCGCCGTTCGTCGACAAAGTGGAAGATTATGTCTCGTCGCGCGACGAGGTCGAAGGCACGCTACAGAGCTTCCAGGAGCTAATATCGTAAGTTGAAACGGCACATCATCTGCAGCAACTGCAGGCGACCGTGATCCATTGACGAAGACAAATTGACCCTGGAGAACGCGGGTGCTAACAATGCGACCAGCAAGTACCAGTTTATGGAGATGAACCTTCAACGGCGTATGACTGGCCTCAAGGACAAGATTCCAGACATTCAGAAAACACTAGATACTGTCCAGTTTATGAAGCTGCGCAAGGTACTGCAAATGCACCGTTCAGGGCAAGCGCATTTGCTGACCCTCACAGGACGAGAGCGAGCCGATCGAGACAACATTCGAGCTCAACGACACACTATACGCGCGCGCAAACATTCCACCGACAGAAGAAGTTTACATCTGGCTTGGAGTAAGCAAGAAAAGAAAGACCCCGGAGGAGCCCAACGGACCAACGCTAACCGTTTGGCAGGCCAATGTCATGCTTTCATACCCCATTGACGAAGCCCAGACGTTGCTCGAGTCGAAGCTCAAGGCGGCCAAGACTAGCTTATCGAATTGCGAAGAAGACTTGGACTTTATTCGTGAGCAAATTACGGTAAGCAATGCTCCAATCTTGCCCCCTTTGAAACCAGATTGTGTCCTGACTCTGTTTGCGCGCGCAGACCATGGAGGTCGCTACGGCGCGCGTGTACAACTGGGAGGTTGTCCAGAAGCGAAAAGAAAAGAAGGAAGAGGAAGAATCAAAAGCTGCTGCTAAGCTTCAAGAAAAGTCATAGACGAGATGAAGATGAGATGAAATATTTGATTCCCCATGGCTGCATGTTTCTGCTGAAGCCCGTCGTTCTACGTGTTTTTGATCTCTCACCTGAATGGAAACGGAAGCTCAGGATGCTGTTCAATGTTAATTCTAAATGATTGATTCGTCAAGGACGGACCAAAGTTGACTTTCAATACATGTAGCAATCTCAGAACGTCTGGTGGTGACCAAACAGGTCCCACTTTATTTTCAATTCGCAGTTGGCGCACCGTAGATGCCTCGCCCGAAACTTGAAGAAGATTCGCACAGCTAGGGCACATTGAGTCTTGCACATATCGAGATTGGGGACACTACAGATTGCACGCAAGAGTTCTGCATGGCGAAATGAAGAGGAATGTTTTGCAGGGCGGCATGGATGGTCAGCGGAAGGCTGCCGCTTGCGCCTGGCCTGATGCAATGTGGAAGGGTTAGAGATTCTTGCAATCCGGGGCGACCACTTCGAGCTAACTTTGCGCAACAGAGTCGCGCACGCATATTACGCATCGAATATCTCCTAGAACGACACATTACGACTTCAAATCGCTTGTATGACGGTACGAGGATATCTGCAGATCAATCGACCGGGTGGGCGCAATTCCTGCAGGCGGCTTCGCCATCATCCGCCTCACCCGCCCCGACCGTGACGGCCTTGCGCGACCATGGCAGCAGAGAAAAACAGAATCATCTGTCTATGAAGAAAAAAAGTAAACGAAATCCGGTCGTTTGCAAAAATCCCCGACCGACACTACAACATCCGAATGGGCGGGAGTACAATCACATGCGGTTCCTGACGACCATATTGGAGCGTGGCAAGAACTGCGAGCCATGGGAGATTGTAGTGGCCCGTTCACGGGATGCCTCACTCCCGATAGTCATGGCACAATTGATATTGCACAAACGAGCGGCCAAAGGAACTATAGCAGGCGACCACTTATTGGAGCTGCTCCCGTCCGAATCGGCCATGGAGCAAACGATCGAGTATCTCTCCAAGAAGCGCAAGCTAGGGAAAGATGCTATAAGATCATACGCGCATATACTTTCTGCAAAAGATGACGACGAACGTTGTCAACGGCTGTTGGAATACGGTGATCAGGTGCCAATTCACGTGCTGGCCTTTATTTTGCGACCGACTTCGGCACTGCGGGATACGTCCACACTTCGAGATCTCATTGAGCTATACAAACTAAAGGGAACGCTTTCCTTGAACAAGCCGGGTACATGTCCCTATGTGTGGTCTCCATACTATTTCAAGATTTCGTCACTACTTGCGGAACACTTGGCTCGCTCAGAGCCCAGGCTGTTGGTTAATCTTGCTGGAGCGGTTTCTTCTCACTTAAAGGATTACGTCGAGCCGGGAGGCTCACAAAAGATGTATGTGCGTCGTTGTCAACTATTCAACAAGATGCTTCATATATTCCAGCCCCAGGCAAGTTTATTGCCGAAGCAATCACTCGTGGCCAACACCTACTTTTGGGAATGCCAGCGCATACTGCTGACAATGTCGGAAACATTTGAGCCGCCGCTGCAGGTCACTGGCGAGGGGTTTCGTGCAATTCGGAACACTCTCGCAGGTATGCCAAAAAACGAAGCCGAAAAGCACAGCGCTCTGCTGCATGCTCCATCGTGGCCACCATATCTGACGCCCGGGGATGGCATGGACGAGATAACGGATCCTGAGGCCAATTGGAGCCGCACCGTCGAGGCCGGTATGCTTATGCAAGAGGCCGGTTTTGCCAAATTCGAGGCCGATGATAGCCTGGATATTTTAACAGGGATGGCACCTAATGGGACGCCGACGATTCAGCAGCGCACGCTCGCGGGAAGCCATCGAAGCATCAGTACGTGGGAGGCGTCTATTCGCGCAACACGGGACGCGTACGAGGCGTGGGGTCGATTCAACGATGCTCCGAGCAAGGGTGCTGTACCCGGCGTGAGTGAATACGCGGCCATGTTTGAGAAGCTCATGCTCAGAGAAGTCGGGCCGACCAGCAAGCTGCTTCCGGGAGACAAGGCGCAAAACTTTCCTGCATATCGTGCTGCCAACCTTGCAGACATTGAATGGGCAAAGTCTCAGCCGCCGAGCGTGGAAGAGCTCTACAACCAGATGCGCCAGGCCGATATCATACCCAGCGGACACTGTCTCTTTATTCTGGTGGCCAACGCGCCGGATCTGGGCACGGCACATCGGTATCTTGAATTAGCTGCTGAGTTGGACCCGGATATTGCCAGCCTGATGGCCCCCGAGATTAACCGATCTGCGCTACGCCGGGTCGGCATGGGGCTCTTTTCCGCCTACATCAGTATGCTGGCGAGGCGGGATGACTCGTCTGGGTGGGAAAATCTGCAGCGAGCTATTGCCCTCACAGAGGCCCGTCTTGGCGACAAGAGTACACGTTGGGCATCGCTGATTTGGGGGTCGATCCTGAAGGGCGCGTCGAGGCACCACTCAGCATTGCAAATGTCGCAGTCGGACCAAGTTGAGCTCATTATGGCTATTGCGAAACGGATCGACCGCGGCCACGGGCTGACACTGGCCAACTTTGCTGAATTGAATCGAAGTCTACGGAAACTGATACGCTACGATTTACGTGCTTTGATGGATGACTTGCAACGGAGTGAGGGGTTGGCATCGACGTCTTGGTCAGAGCTACCTCTACGGGGCCTTTACGATGCGGCTGGTTACAGCGGCGACAGCACAAGGTCGGCAAAAGCGCATGATCAACAAGCATCTCCTATGTCGGGAACATTGAAGTTTTTTGTCGAGTACATCAAAGACGTGTTTGGCAGGTTTGAACGGAGAGAACGGTCCTACCAGATGGCGGCGCGGGACAATTACATTTCGCCACTGGATCGCATGCTCTCTCGAAACGACGTTGTTCGGAGCGAGCACGCGTTGGAATACATGACGACGCTGGGATACGCGGGCGAGTATAAAGAGATGAGGAAGCTGCTCCTGTTTCTGATACGCGAATGGGGCCAGCCGGAGCTGGTGCAGGATCTGGTGGCGCTGGACGAGCTGCCAGCGTCTGCCGATTTCTCCGAAGTGCTGTGCGTGTTCCGGCTGCTCGGGGAGCAGATGCTGGGGGGCGCGAGGGTCGCGGAGGAGATGCAGGACGCGGTGGCGGCGTCTGGCTTGCCGTGGACGTGGCCGGATGCGAGGGAGGTTCAGGGCTACATGCAGATGGGTCGGCATGATTCGATCAGGCAGGTACAGAGTGTCTTGGCGCGAGTGCGGGCGTCGAAGAGGGGGTCACAGGGCAAGACAATATCGGGAGGGGGGAGGGATGGTGACGGTGACGGTGACTGGTTGGGAGGATAGCTAGGCGCTCAGCTTTGGACGAGGCGGGCAAGATGGTTAGGGCGAGAGCCAAGAATATGCTGGCTGTGCGAAAGGGGGAAATTACGAGACTTTTTGGACAGTGGAAGCTCTTTTCAAGGAGAAGAAGAGAGAAAAGGGCACATGGTCGTTTCAGGCGAAGCCTTGATCGAGATGAATGTACATGCATGGACTGGGCCGCGGCGCATGGGGTGTGCAGCGTCGACGGTTACATGGCGCCAGCTGTTTGGAGTGCAAGCTAGGATATCTGTATATACTGGAACGGGTGTATTATTAGACTGGATGGGGATATTTGTAAATTAGATTTTGTACAAGATGATAGATGCTGAATGCTGAATAAGGCATTACCACCCTTGTTAGCCGGTGACTCAACGACGTGTCGTGTAAGTAGGCCGACTTGGCACCCGGAGAGAAACGAAAAAGAAGAGAGAAAAAAATAAAAGAAAAAACAATAGAACAAAGATTAAACAAGAAAGAATGGTAGGACGACAGGCACAGTTGTAGATTTGCTCTAGAGCACTGCGTTACTAGGTGAGAGTGCAGGACTGGTGCAGATGCAATGGTCTGGTCAGTATGCGTTTCGTTTCGTTCTTGTTAGTGTGCAGCCAGATGCCAGGGTTGGTAAAAGAAACATGCACGCACAGCCAATGAAGGATAGTAAAAACAGGTAAATCCTCCAATTTCGGAAGTAATGACCCACTGGCATCCTTGCTAATAATGAATTTTGCCTTTGCCTCATCGTTGTTTAATATGAGTCTGTCCTACATAAGCGCCCTCGCAATCGAACAACCTGCGACAAGGGGTGGAGTCGCATCGATTGGGCAAAACGGCGGCCAATCTGCGACGCCACAGTAGCCGCCCGGAGTTTTTTTTTTTTCTGGCCCCACATCCCTTCTGGTTGGTGGATCGTGAAGATGTATATGGCGAATTTCGTTGGACACGGCGGTTACAACAAGAAACAAGAATTTTTTCAAGAATGAACCAGAAAAGACGCGTTCTATCACGTTTAGAAATATTCATCTCCTTCATCCTGGATTAGGAGGCTCGCTCGCGGCCGTGACTGCGAAATCACACCCAACCCCCCCCTCTTTCCCCCATATTCATGAAATACTTGGCGCAGGCAGCTTCAGCCATGGGACCTTTTGGTCGTCTGCACGGAGGCAATATCCCAGGCTTTTGATACCAGTGGCGTGGACCAATCTTTCGTTTTGGTTCACCCAAGACGCGCGAGTATAGAAACCGGCCCCTGCAGGAGCCTCATCTCCCTGTTCGAACCCCCCCCCCCCCCTCTCTCTGGCCACTTACACATGCATATACATACTACATACACACACCACCACCACCAACACCACCACCTTCGTTTGACCTCTCTGCGTTTTTCCGTTTGTCGTGGCTCGTCTTTCTCCTCCTCCTCGATCCTTTTCACAAAGAAGAAACAGTATTGTTTATTGCGCCTATTTGTTTTCTTTCTTGCACGTTTTACAATATCATTCATTATTTATTTTTCTTGCTACTGCTTTCCTTCTGCCGCTCTCTTTGTCGTCGCCAAGCCAGACGCTGCCATCTCAGTCCATCACTTGTTTGCCCGCGTGTTTTCTTCAATCTCTACATTGTCCGCGTCCACTCTACATTCCTTTCTATTATACCTATCTGTTTCATTCTTTTTGGGGCGTCATTTCTACGAAAGCGAATCACTGCTTCAAACAAACCGTACATCTCGTCTTCGTCCCTTCCTCCAGACGGCCACCATCTTATCTCCTCCTCTCCGTCTCTCCTCCGCCACGCTTCACCCTCTCTTACCGAGCAGCTCACGATGAGGTCTCCCGTGCCCATTTCCGTCTTGTGCCTCGTGAGCGTTTTTGAACCTGCCGTGGCTGGTCCTCTCGGCAGGTTCAACAAATGGTGCGTTGTCGCCGTTGTACACTGTGCCCCTGTGAAGCACCGACTAACACGAATGCGTCATCAGGCTTCCACGATCCGATGCGGCGGCATCACCAGCGGCGGCGTCATCAGCGACCGGAAATCCCACTAGGTATGTAAGAAGAAAACCAAAAGAAGAAGAAGAGAAAAAAAGAAGATGGAGACAACATCGAGAAAAGCACCCGCAGTATACAAAGGAAGTAGACGGCTAATGAACAAGTAGCTCCGGCGAGACACCTCCCGCAACTCATCTAGGACCGATCATAAAGACGCTCTCAGGGTCCACCATTTCCCTCCCAGCCGATCTGCTTCCCAGCCCGACGCAAACCAGTGCAGCCCAATCCGTTACAACAAACATTGTAGTAGGGCCCGTCGAAAGCACTGCGTCTACTTCCGCGCCGGAAACCACAGCACCGTCGCCTGACCCTTCGTCTTCTCCGCCCGGCGCGGGTCCTCCTCCTACTTCGACCCTTCAGTCTGTTTCTACGAGTGTCCCGATTTCTCAGCCAACTACGGCACCTGTGCCTTCTTCAACGGAAAATGACCCCGCGCCGACGCCGACAACCTCCATCGCGTCAGAGGTTTCTTCTTCTTCTTCTTCTTCTTCTTCTTCTTCTTCTTCTTCTTCTTCTTCTTCTTCAACCCCGATCAGCGTGTCTTCAGTCATCTCCACTGCCTCGGAACTGAGTCCAACCCCAATCGGTGGCTCCTCGACCTCGGACGAGGCCCCTTCGTCGCCAGCTACGTCCTCGCCACCAATCTCACCATCAGTCAGCTCTTCTTCTTCTTCAACCCCGATCAGCGTGTCTTCAGTCACCTCCACTGCCTCGGAACCGAGTCCGACTCCAATCGGTGGCTCCTCGAACTCGGACGAGGTCCCTTCATCGCCAGCTACATCCTCGCCACCAATCTCACCATCAGTCAGCAGCTCTCCATTGGCATCCACGATTCCGTCCTCGCCAGCCATCTCTTCCACTCTGGAGCCAAGTTCGACTTCAATTACTATGTCTCCATCATCGTCCCAGACCCAGAGTCTGTCAACTGTCTCGCCAGAGTCAAGTTCGACTCCCGTTAGTAGCTCCGTATCATCATCCCCTCTGGAATCAACTTCGACTCCCTTCAGCTCGACTCCCACCTCAGTCGCTACCTCCAGCACTGTCCAGTCCAGCTCGAATGCGATCCCCACACCAAGCTCATCAGACACGGACTCCGCCACTTTGCCGTCTTCGTCGTCTGATTCTTCGCAAACAACTTCGAGTCCAGAGCTCCCCCAGTCAACTACGGCGTCGGGCAGTAGTAGCATTGAGTCAGTCTCGTGGTCTACCCTTTCGTCGGAGCCAAACCCGACATTGACTTCATCTACACTAGCCACTTCAGGATCCACGTCCACGTCTATTTCTACTCAACAGTCTACAATCTCTGCGAGCTCAAGCTCAACTTCTAGCACCGAGTCCGTGACTGAAACGTCTCTCCAAGGCTCGACGTCGCTCACTAGTAGCTCAACCAGTCTGTCGCAGTCAGAGACAGGCTCTTTGGTCACTTCATCACTGGACTCTAGTGTAACACCGACATCGTCAGATAGCACGACCAGCACGCTCATCACTACTAGCACAAGCAGCACAAGCAGCACTCTCGTCACCACCAGCGCGAGCTCCTCCAGCCTACTCTATCCCTCACTCACTTCCAGCACGCCCAGCACAACCACCACCAGCTCCACCAGCCTAACATCCCCCCCATTGTCTTCCAGCACAACCTCAACCTCAACGTCTCCTCCTCCCGCGACCTCCTCTTCCACCTCTTCCACCGCCCTCGTGACCCCCGGCCTAAACACCAACCTCCCCAGCGTCATCGTCGGCCCGCTCCCCACGCACAGCTCCGCCCTCAACCCCAACACCTACAACAACAACCTCGAATACGCCAAGCGCCTCAACGAGCTTTTTGGCCCGCTGACGCCCGGCGCAGAGTGCCGACAAGGCCAGGTCGTCTGTCTTGGGTCCCGCTCGCAGGGCGTCTGCCGCGACGGCACGTACTCCGAGGTGGCGTGCGAATCGGGACAGATATGCGCGGCGCTGCCCATGGATGGCGTCGACGGCGTCATGATTGGGTGTCAGGACCCGGATAAGGCGCGTCAGATTCTAAGTGGCAACAATCCGAGCGTGTCGACGACGTCGTCGTCTGCATTACAGTCGTCTAGTCTCATCGTCACACAGTCGCAGTCGCAGTCGAGTGCGGTGGCGTCCACCTCGTCTGCAACTTCGCTTACATCGACGCCGACAAGTACATCGGAGCCGGTGGCCACGTCCACAAGTCATTTGCCTATATCGACGATACCGGAAGAGACAACCAGCGTCGGCTCGCTCATCTCAGAGACGTCTCATCTCACCTCAACCAGCTCACATCCGGCCACATCCTCTCTCCCATCAACGACGGCTTCGTCGCCGCCCGCGCAAACAACAACTGGCCCGGCCCCGACGACGACGTCCATACCTGAGGCTTCATCGCCGCCCGTATCAACAACCAACCCGGCCCCGACAACGTCCTCTCTTGAGACTCCCTCGCGGCCTGCCACCTCTAGACCGCCTCCATCGCCAATAACTGAACCGACTCCAGCAACATCCTCTCCCAAGACTTCACTGCTGTCACTCACCTCATCTGCTCCGCCTTCATTAACAACAGCAACCTTCGTCCCGGAACCTTCATCATCACCTCCACCCGCTACCACCACCACCACCACCACCACCACCACCGCAGCCGTTGGCTCCTTCAGCCGCGGCGGCTGGACCCCCGGCGACCAGATCGTCATCACAGCTACGCCGTCGCACTCTCTTCCGCCCATTACCAGCCTCATCGTGGTTCCCATCGACGACGACGACAACAACGGCGGTAGCCTGGAAACGGCCGGTGCCGCAGAAGTCTCCCCGGCGGCGGCGGCGACGCCGGCAGCAGCAGCAGCGCCGACAGCAGAGGCGGCGGCGCCCACGACTAAAGTGGTTAGCGGCGTGCTGACGGTCGTGTACACCGTGACGGCGACGGTGACGAGCCGTGAGACTGTGACGAGTCGTGAAACTGTGACGAGCCGCGAAACGGTGACGGTCATTATTACGGAAGCATAAAAGTGCTTGAGAAAAAAGAAAGAGGATAGAGGTAAATCTGTTCCAGGCAGAAGAGACGGAAATAATGACACGTATTTTTCGTATATAGTGGTCGTAGATAGTTTTCGACACGTATTTAGCAGTGTCATAATGCGTGTATTTTTTTTCCCCTGACAATTTCCTGGACAAGTCGTTGTTGGACATTGTGATGACGTGATGTGTTATTTCATTCTGCCCTTGCGGGCTTGCTATTAATTCTATAGTGATGCCACAAGAGATGATGCAGGCTTTTCTTTTAGCAAACGACGAGCATGGACTTTTGCAGCTTTTCCTAGCTATTTACAAATGGCGCTGTCTAATCCGTAATACAGCGTTATAGCGCAAGTATTCTGCTAGCACACGCAAGAACCGCTAGTCCTGCTCCGGGACAAGGCTCACTCCTCCTTCCGAGACGGGGCTGCTGTCGCCCGCCGAATCTGGGCGCACCGGGTCCGCTGCCATCTCGAACCGTTTGAGGGCGGGCTGCCCTGCGCCGGTCCGCACCTCGTCCTCCAACAGTCCGTATCGCTCGCCCCAGAGCTGGCGCATCACTTGATAGATGAACATGTACTGCACAGAGCTCTGCACCATCAAGCGGCGCTGCTGGCGCAGCACTTCGACCGTCTCATACACCGGGTCCGCGTCCGCATCATTTGGATCGACAGCGTCAAAGGCTCCCATTTCGAGCTCCCGCATGAGGTGCTCCAGACAGATAAAGGTGCCGGTGCGGCCAACGCCCGCGCTGCAGTGGATAAAGCGTGGCTCATCAATCTCGACGGCGTGCTGCCGCGACACCTTCATGAGATGGAAAAAGTTGGCCACCTCGGTCAAGGCCGGGGCGCCAAAATCGGCCCATCGCCGGTAAAAGAGGTGCCACACCGTGCGCGGCTCCTCTTCCCCGCCGACGTGCAGGAGCAGCTTGCGCCGCTCAATGGCCCCGTCGCAGAGCGTCTCGGTCGACTCGTACGTGAGCGTCGCCGTCCAACCATCGCCCCAGGCATCGGCTGCATTGAGCACCCATGTCTTGTCCTCGTCGTTAAAAGGAAAATATTGCGCACATTTTATATGTCCGTTTTCAACCATGGTCGTGAGCTGAACTACAACAGCCGTCTGTGTCGTATTTTCGGCTACCATGCGCCATACAGAGTCAAACGACTGCGGTGTTGGCCCTTGCATGGCAATGTACCTGAAAGTCGGCGCCGCCTCGTCGGAAGCTGGCACGGCAATGGGCGAAGCGTTGACGTAGTCGAGTGTATCATCCGGGACGTCTAGCTTGATGCGATTATGGCTCCACGGTCGAATATTTAGGTATCGATCCATGCCATTCTTTCCCTTTCCTGGTGCGCCTTCATGATGAGCAAACGACCATCTCTCCTTTTCGTCTGTGGGGGGTATTGGCAGTATGCGATTCTCTTCTCTCTCCTGTATGTCGTTGAATCGACGCTGGAGCTCTGCTTGCGTGTTAGCTTCGCTGCCATAATACAGTCCCCTTGATGAACCTCATTCCATGTCAATCTCACCCTCGTCGCTCTGTGTAAGAAAGGCTGGGATTTTCAAGCTTTGCTCGTCGCCCTGCTCGTTTGTGGATATGGTGCTGTTGCTGACAACGGCTGCGACGGGCTCGCCCAACCGCGTAGGAGCCGGGGAGCAGCTTCTGGCACGCTTTCCTCCATGCAGTCGTCGAAAGGGCGAAAGTCGTGCAGGAAAGCTGGGCGATTTGCTAGCCCTGGATGCGGCGGCGTCATCAAGAGCGAGATGTATAATGTTGCTCGTCGCGTTGCGATCGATGGCGGTTTCGATGGCTAGCGGTTTCGGCTTGCGCCGCAGTTTGGCTATGGGAATCTTGTCCATTTTTCGGGCATCGGCTGAGTGTCTGTCTGGAACCGGGTCGATGGGCAATCCGAGGTGACTTTTGGTGATCAGACGACTGCTGCCCGACGGGCGCATACGCAGCAGAGATGGGGGTGCGCAACTTGCAAGTGACGGCAGCTTCGGCAGTGTAGAAGACGACGCAAGCAGGGAATTTCGATGAAGGCTGATGACAACGAGAAGAAAAAGGAGAAATGCTGCCAAACGAGGGTAGACTGTGTAATAGGAGTGGAGGGATATAACAACAGAACGTTAGGGATTAAGGGAAAGGTCGATGCTGCAGTACCGCCCACTCGGGTCACCAGAAAATCTGGGTGGATGCTCTGAGCCTAATAAAAGAAGGTGACGTGACTGACGCTCCGTCCTTGGTAGCGCTGGGCAGCGTCTCGCCCGCCCCTGGACCACATGGTTGGGCACCCTGCAAGACATGGTCAGCTAATAATCTGCGCTGCGCTGATCATGTCAGATATGTCATATGGGGGCGTCAAGAGTGAAGCCAAGTTGCACAAGAAAGCGAACGCTCTCGTGCCTGGCTCGGCGGATCGGCTTCTTCCCCTGCTGAGACAACCCTCCGAGACGAGACACTGGTGACGGGCGCACAAGCCATCTCAGCAGCTGGTCTTGATTTGCTACAGAGAAAAAATCATGTTTCAAGTCAAAATGGGTATAAACTCATTATAATACATCATGTGAAGAGAGTAGAGGATATTTTGATCCCCGAGTGACTTGTATCTGCCCAAGGCATCACAGTCTTGTACAAGTTATAACAATCGCAGCACACGGCCGACTCAGACAGCCGAGTACACGCCAGTCACAAACCGACCACACTCGACCTTTTGCTCGAGCGTCGCCTTCCTGCCCTTGCCATCTTTCCCTAGACGAGCCGTCTGCTTTGGTGTGAGGCACATGCGGTGCAATTCGCCCCTTCTGCCCTTCTCTCCATCAGCATCGCCACCATCCAGAGGACCGATATAGGTCGGCGCATTCATGTTTGTGCGTTTCCCGGTGCCTAGCTGATAGTGCTCGTTTCCGCCCCAGAATAGCACATCGGAGCCCCAGTTTGTTTCATTTGCTGATGATTTGCTCGAGGCGCTGGTTCGTGTCGCATTGTCCATGACGGCTGAGCAGTGCGTGGTGCCAATCTGTAGCCCCTTGACTTTGATAGGGCGCATCTCGTTCTTGCTTTCGTCAAACTCATACAGGCCCGAGAGGCCCTTGACCTTTGTGGGAGCTGTAGAAACATGCGTCCATTTTCCAGTGCCCAGCGTGCCGTAGGTGCCTTGGCCAGTGGCCCAAAGATCCGATGTGGTGCGCGGCATTCTCTTGGACGGGACAGCTTTGCTGGCATTTTGTGTTTTTCGCGCCTCGGCATCAACGGTGAAGTAGGTATTGACGCCGCCAGCAGCAATAGACGTCACATTGGCCACTAAGCCGCTCTTTGCATACAGCTGGTCGACAGCGATCATGTCAGGGATGTAGTTGACGGGCTCTCCATCTGAAGCAAAGCCCAGCTGGCCAAAGGTGTTATCACCAAAGGCAAAGATGCGGCCCGTCTTATCAAGGACCGCGGAGTGATGGTCTCCGGCAGCGATCTGTGTAATTTGGAATCCAGAGAGCTCCTTGATCTCCTGTGGTTGGTCGTACGGACCAGCTGGGCGTGTCTCCCAGGACAGGCCAGGAATTCCCATTTGGCCCTTGGAGGGATAAGAGCTTGCCGAAGAAGCGGCGGCAAAGACACGGCCCTTGGATGTCAGAATTAGGGCATGCTCGAGACCACTTCGAACATCCGTGACGTGCTCGCCCCAGCCCAAGCCAGTAGGGGTGAGATCACGGAAGTTGACCGCCGCTTTCCCGGGAGAGCTCCAGAAGGACCAGCTGTTCTTGTGCTCGTCTGGCTTGAAGCCGCCTTTGACATCATTTCGAGATGCTGGTACAGAATATACATTGCCGCTTCGCGACAGCGCAATGATGCGGTCGGCCGATACCTCAATCTTGGCTAGATCCTTGCCCCGAAGGGTGAGGCTAGGCTTGGGATCGGCTTGCGAGAAGCCAGTACCCCACTGTACCAAGTCACCGCTCTCCGTGACAGCGGCACCGAATTCCGATGTGAGCTTCAGGTCGCGCAGCAGCTGGTCGTCAAAGTAGGCGATTCGTCGGGGAAGTTTAATGTATTTTTCGTTGGACTCGGGATCAATGACCTTGCCGGCATTGGATCCCCAAGCGAAGACACCAGGATGTTCTATGCTCTTCTTGATTTGGACATGCTGTGAGCTGAGGAGGTCGCGATAGTCCTCTGTGGAGACGGCCCTCTGTCGTGGTTGTTCGAATTCCAGCTCGGCCTTGGGTCGTACGTTCTCGTCGGCGCCGTTGGTTGCCATTAAGCGTGGGTAATAGTATGCGCCAGCTGCCGCGACGCCAAACACCGCAGCAATTCCAAGAAGCTTTCCCCCGCGACGACGGGAAGGCTGCGTGAATCGTGCATTTGAGTATAACGCAGTCTGGCGTTGCGCTGTGGCGCGGAGAGATTGATGTGCGACTCGTTTCAAGGCGAGCGTCGAAGGATTCATAGTTATGTTGAGTCGAGTAGGCAGTGTTTGAGCGTAATTCGATGGCAGCGAGACCAGATCAATTGCGCTGGTGAAGAAGAATCGATGACGGCGAAAATGTTGGTCATAAGGAAAGCTACAGTGGGTCGGGCCTGCGACCAAAAAATCACAAGTGCGAGTGGCTCGTTGCTCAGCAGGAATCCGTGGCGCTTCATTGGTCAGTAGATGCAACCTACCCTTCAATCCTAGGAAGCTCTCTTTTATTTTCTTTGCACGTATGGATCAAATCAATTCGTATGTCGTCTTCAAATCCGAGACATGAAGCTGATTCTCCCTGGTTTAACGGCATACTTTGGGCTACGTTGGTCCCTGTTGTTGGCCCGATCAGCCGGATACACCCGACGGTTGTTAGAACAATGCCGATCAGGATGTACCGATGGTTCAAGCACTCATCACTAACCTACACCGAGTCTTTTGCGTTTACAAAGGTGACAAAGGTCCTTTGTGCTACCTTGAGTGATCATTTCCTGGATGCGTTTGAGATTTGGACTGGATATACTTGGAGAAGCTGCATTTTAGGCCGCGGTAATATTACTTTGTAAAAATAGAACGTCTTGTTCAGTCCAGATGCAGCTATAGTTTGAGGCATGTAGAGCGATTCCCACGACGCCAAAAAACCTCGAAAAACTTCCACATCCATCTTGAAAGGGGAAAAAAAAATCTCGATACGAAGCTACTAGAAACTATTTTCGAGCTCCGTGAATAATGTATGGCGAGATGCTAGGAGGGCCTGAAAGTTGCGAGCCGTTTTAGTGTGCGTCGCCTGCATTGCACTGAACCCTTGTACTGTACTTACTACATAGTTAGTCATTATGCTTAATCTACTGTAACTACACCGGCGACTGAAAATCATCTGTGATAGCCTGCAACCAGGCTTCACGTTGTCGCAGTCTGCGGGTGGCAGAGTTCTTCACGGTCCGAGAATAAACAGCTCACCAGCACGTCTTCTTCATCTCAAGAATCATCTAGACATGTAGAGTATTCCTCACATAGTTGCATCTGCCAGAGTCCATGCGCCTTTTTATTAGTTAGGGGCTGAGCAGAAGCTCCCAAGAAAAGCGGATATTGTCGGTGTAGCTGGGAGTGGATAAAAGGATTGAGCTGTCACAAATCACGACGAGCTAAAGATATATTAACTACATGTCTTCGGCATGCTCGGAAAGGAAGGCTCGGGAAACACCCCTTTGGTCCTTGCCGACACCCGTAGCTCTCTGCCCCGCAAGACGTGCAAAGACGGGGAAGAGAACAATCTCGGCCCGCATCGCGCCACACTTTGTTAGTGTACTTTTGTCAACAAACTCAAGATGAACCATCTGATAAAAAAGAAAAAAAAAATACGAGGAACAAGGTATTTTCAGCGATTGCCTCAAAAGACATTAAGAACACCTCAAGAGAGAGTTTGGATGACAGCCTCATTTCAGCCAGCTGTATCTACTGCCAAGACTACTATAGACGTAGAGTTCAATAATGGGCGAGATGCGAAAGATGACACAGGGGCGGGTCGAAGCTACTCTATATTCATCACTCTTTAATTAAATACTACTTTCGAGACTCGAGTCAGGCGATCTGATGATAAAACTGCAGCCGTGATGGCGTGGTTGACAACTGCCGTCTTACACTCTCGACAACTGGGTCGCCGTATTCCACAGTGGTGGTCGGGCCATCGCGTCGCCAAGAAGGGCGTTGACGACCAGGGCGTTGATCAAAACCATCCAACGGATGATCGGCAATAGGAATGAATATCCGCTGCGGCAATTGAATTGCCACAAAGTCTGTGGGGAGAGGTGGGCGGCTCCAGGTAACAAGCGGCGGGTCTTGGATACATCTGGCTATGCTTGAACCGTATACGGAGTAGAGCTTCCAGGACCACGCAAAGTGGATGGTTCTCAGGTTGGCAACAGTGAGGCGCAGCATAAACTTCTCCTTTGCAGCTTGTCGGTTCTCTTGCTCAAGGCTGTGTAGATTTCAATTCACGGCAGTTGTCTTTGTCGGTACATCGGTGACACATTTTGTGACGAGCAAAAAGTATATAAAGAACGGGATTCCTCGACAAAAGAGAGAAGAGACCATCACTATCACAAACACTCATCTCACAACCATCTCAACACTCTTATCTTTCAACTCTTCCCTTCAACTCAATCAAAATGAAGTCTGCTATCGCTTTCGTCATGGTCCTTGCCGGCCTCGCTGTTGCCGCTGAGTCTGCTCCCAACAACACCCCCGACCTCGAGGCCCGCTTCTGCCCTGTTGGCAAGACCTGCGCTACTGATAGAGTGAGTGATGCTCCATGATAATGAAGACGAGTTATGCTAAAAAGTCAAAGGAATGCGGCTCGTGCCACTGCAACAACTGGAAGGGCAAGTGCGAGAACTAAGAGGCTAACGGCCTCGCTGTGGCTCTTGCTGCAACCTCGGCTATCTTTAAGAGAGGTCCCAAGTGCTAGCAAAGACAAATCTTGCCGTCAATCTCACAGCTTTAGGATCAATGCACAGTCCTGTGGCCGTGTCAATGATTCAAACAGCTCCCGGATCAGCGCTGCAGTAAGGGTCAAGGAGAATCGAATAAAAAGTTGGGTAGATTCATCGCCTTTTAGTTTCTAGAAAAAGGTAGCAACAAGACAAAAGAGTTTACCCTATCTAATGGTGTCTTGGGAGTGCTTTGTGACTGGAATCATACTGTTTCGACAAGCTGATGTTGCGCGCAAGCTGAGTGTGCGGATGCAAGGCGACGGGGAGCTCTTACTGGAAGACACTGCCTGTGATGCGCTGTCCGTTGCGAACAGCTTTTCCAGTCTATGCGACGTTACCATGATTAGCTGCAAAGGTTCGTAGATGGGATGCCAAGGAGAGTCTCTGTCGAAGGAGCTTGTTTGGTGCGCGCGGGTAGGATCGGGCACTTGATGGGCAGCCGTTGGTTGCGATACCGGAGCGGCGTCAGGCACAGTCTCAAGATCCAAAACCCTTTACTTTAGATATGAGACCCTTCAATGTCAGGTTCAGTCTTCGAAGCGACTTTTGAAAAGTCAGGCTAACGCCTTGGCACGCTCTAGATATATGGTTAATTTATTTGTTGTTGTGGTGGTCGTTTTGGTTGGACTGTTGTGAAGAGTAAATGTTTTGGGCCTATTTGCGGCCTCGTAAATTGATAAAAGATTTAGAAAAAATAAAAGGAACAGTCCTGTCGTGTGACCACGCTACTTCATTGACAAAGGCACTTGCTGAGATACAAGATGTCGTCAAGTAGGAGATTAATGACTGGTTTAAAGTGAGTTCAATTCGTGCAATAATTTTAGAAAGTTTAAATTACGGCAGTCGGCTGACATTGTGCACAGACGCGCTGCCGCCAGCACCGGCGGCCGGAGTCTCTAGCTCCGACCGTCTCTCCACCCAACGCGTGGCTTCAACGCTGCATAGCTCCCTGCTTCAAAAACCCCAGACCTGTCGCTCCCGGCCACCATGTACGAGGATGCATGGTACAGCTTTGTACCAGAGGCTACCGGGAAGCCTGCCACGAGTAACAATGTTTCCCACGGGCACAAGCGAAACGAATCGCTTCTGCAGCAGCCCAACGTCAGTCATCTCCCCCACTGCGGGGTGTGCGAACATACACTTACGATCCATTAGGGACTGGGGAAAGACCAAAAGATATCGCAGTCTATAGGAACATCTATAGGAAACTCAGAAGATCTAAGCGGACCCCCGGAAGCGTCTGTACTGCGGCGCGCAGCGTCATATGCAGACCATCGTTGTGCGCAGAAAGTCAACCATCATGGGGCCACACGAAAGAGGCAGACCGGTCGCCAGAATAGGAATTGGGAGGCATTGTTTCTCAGCACGGACGCGAAGCACACCCCGAAGCTATACACGGCCGATCTACAAACCAACAAAATATTGAACGAGCAGCTCCTCGAAGCTAGTCAGCAGGAATACCTGTAAGAGCAGCTTACGCCCACGCGGCAACATACACTCATGCGCTTTAGACTATACCGAGACCAACTATCTCTCACGGAGCGGCATCTCGACGGACTTATAAACGATGCCAATGCTGCTCTTGAGCTCTTGGCCCAGCTATCCCACTCCTTCCAGTCGGTCGAAGTGCAAACATCCACGTTCCAAGCGCAGTGCGAAGAGGTTCTCACGGAGCAGAAACGGCTGGAGAAGCTTGCGAACGAGGTCGGAACCGATTACTACTACTACTCTTACCTCGATACTGCGACAAGACGACTCAATGCACCAGGCGCTGGTCGACTGGTCGACGACGAATCGTTTGGAGAAATGGTGGAAAATATCGACGCCTGTATCGCATTTATGGAAGACCATGTGCGTGGCTCAGCCCCCTCGTCCCGGATTTAAAGGCTAATATGGACTCTAGGAAACATATCGCGAGCGCGACTCGTACCTCGCGCGATACAATGCGCTGCTGACCAAGTGCCTGCATCTGCTGGACCACGGCTTCAGCACCAGGCTAGAAAAGGTCTCATCAGACATAGCGCGCCAATTGTTGGCGACCAAATCCGAGTCAACAAAACATGCGCTTGCTTATGGACGATTCGAGGAAATGCTCAGTGACTCCTACGCTCTACTCCCAAACATTCATAAAGTAACTCGGCGCGTATATGACCAATACGGGCGTTTCGACAGCGGAGTACGCAATTCTTCCATTTTCTCCAGCTCAACACTCAGCATGCTTCGCACATATCTCACTACTCGTGACCGTGACATGAAAATGATGACGCAGCACGATGTGGAGGAATTCCAAAGGGAAATCAAGGAACTGTCCTTGGAGACGGCATCACGAAATTTCATCAAGCAAACGCTGGAGCGAGTGCACAACGAAAACAGCTTATTCTTCAAGGTTTTCAACATTGAGCCCGCATGGAACAATGCTCACGATTCAGTGTTTCAATCCATCAAGACGGTGCAAACGGTCATGGTCCATCCGGGAAATCTGCAACCGATGGCTACACAACTCCAGACTGCGTTCCAGACTGCTGACATTCAGTCTGTATGCAACATTGTCGGGTGGATTGCCAGCGAGTATGGCATATCGGAGAATGACGAAGACGAAGACCCGATTGCGCCGAAGCAATATAGAGAATACGCCGCCCGTCTACTTGTTGAGCACCTGTGGCCCTTTGTCGACAATTGCTTTGAGGCGGAAATTACAAAGAGAGTTACAAAGGGCGTTGTAACAGATGACGCACTGAAAATTGGCCCAGTGGTGGATGGCGTGTCTTCGTCCAATGCATACCCCTTGGTGCAGAAGGCGGTTGACCTTTTGCGGATGTTTGACCGGGCTATGCCCAAAGAGAGATCCGTGAGTTCCAAAGTGTACAGTGTAAACTAGATGCTAACATCTTGTATAGTCGCAAAACAGCCAGGTGGTATTCCGCGTCGTGCGTGAGGCAATTCAGGTGCTGCAGCAAGCTTCATCACGCATCCAATCACAGAAAATTGCGACGGACGCAGACCTTTTTATGATAAAAAATCTGCTGATTATCAAAAATGAGCTGCTATCGCTGGAGATTGGCGACATTCGCAGCCAGCCGCCGGCCATGCAGCACTTTGGCCAGATCTGGGAGACACTCAGCCCGCAGAATCTCGTTGGCTTTGTCGGCAACATCCTGGGCGGTCAGCTGTGGTCGCGCGGCGGGCCGTCGGTAACGGCAAAGACGCTGACTGTCGAGGATATGAATGAGCAGCTGGACGAGCTGCTGCGGCAGTCCATCTACGGCTTCACCAAGCGCTGGGCGGGCCGGGTCAAGGACGCGGGGAGCGGCAAGTCCGGTTCTCAGACTCTGGCCACGGTGGAGAGTCAGCTGCAGACGATACTGCAGATGGCATTCAGTAACCAGCCGGAGGTGATTGGAAAGCTCAAGGAGGCGGTTGCGTATTATGAGCAGGACACGGCGGCGCGATCTGGAAAGCGATAGACAAAATAGAGGATGGTACTTGAGACAATGCGTCTCTCAATGGAAGAGCATTTGGTAGTCCCAGTCTCTTGTACAGTTGAATGTTGTTGAATTTCCAAGAACGCCACGTACGACTTTGTTATCATGACGTGGCACCCGCTTGGGCTGTAAAAGATTTCTGAAAGGCTGAGAACTCGCTTCGGTCGATCCCATCAGTCCCATTCTTGTCGATTCCAATCTCGGGCCGTTTCAATCCGCCATCAAGTGGACTACAGCCTCGTCTTACGTATTGTATTGCTTAGTTTCCACTTTCGGCTGACTGGCCCAGATGGACCAACTCCTCTTAAACAAGCAACCTCGCAAGGGGATTGTTCTCCTACAACTGCTGTCATCGTCTCACCTTTTTACCCCTTACGAGGCTTGTGAAGATTTGGGAAAAGCAAAACCTTTCACCTTTCGTCATTGGAAACAAGAATCGGCCTGCAAGGATGACGTCAAACGACAGCGCCTCCTCGCTCCGCACTTATAGAGGCAACTGCCACTGCGGGGCATTTGTCTACGAGGCAGAGCTGCCCGAGATCACGGCCGCTTCCGAGTGCCCGTGCAGCATCTGCCGGAAAAAGGGCTACCTGTTTGTGGGCACCAACTCCAAGACGCATTTCAAAGTGGTCAAGGGCTCGCTGGAGAGTCTGTCCGAGTACACGTTTGGGACCAAGGCGCTGCACCACAAGGTAAAAAAGGTTGCGAGGGTGAAGGGCGTTGGGAGCAAATACTTGGCTGCTAACGGGCAATAGTTTTGTTCTCATTGCGGAACGGCGGTTCTGGCGACTGTTCCAACGGTACAGGCGCCGAGAAAGGATATTTATCTGAATGTAGGTGTCGTGTGGTGTCGTGAAGGTGGGCTAGACTGAGGTTGGCAGGTGCACGCCATTCAAGGCATCAATACTTGGACGCTCGAACGTACGCCGTGAGTGTCGCTTTTACGTGATAGTTCACGACTACAGATTCCCCAGCATTCTGAACAATCTTTAGCATCGATGGGACCAAGATTGGAAACCCTTACGAAGAGCCCAAGCATATCGGGCCCCTGCCGGCCGTCGAAGTTGAAGGCGGGCAGCTCTACACGGGCAGCTGCCACTGCGGCAAGCTCACCATTGCCGCCGTGATCAAAACGCTCGAAGACGACCGGGACTCTGGCATGATTGAATGTAACTGCAGCATCTGCGAGCGTGTAAGTCCCACCACCACCACCCCACCGCCTTCTACCTCTACTAAAATCATTTCTTGTCAGAATGCCTATCTGTGGGTGTACCCCAAAACCGAGCAGGTGGTGCTGTCAGGTAAGGAAGAGGATATTGCGCGGTACCGCTTCAACCACGAGGTGCTGGCCAAGCCGTTTTGCAGGACGTGCGGCGTCAGCATGAGCAATCCGGTCAACGAGAAGACGACGGCCGACGAGGCGGCCGCCAGAATGCCGGACGCGGACGCGGCGCAGCGGGACAAGGTGCGTCGGATCATGGCGCATCACCGCACCATACACCCGGTGAATGTGCGGACGCTGCACGGCGTGGACCTGAGCAGGCTGCACGTAAGGAGGTTGGACGGGGCAAAGTTGATTGCGCCGCCGTACGTGAGTCCGTAGGCCTTGTTGGGGGGTTTAATGATGAAGTGGGCGTGATTTGATGAGTTTCAATAGGCATGGCGATGGAGTTGTGTTGAAGCATAAGGGCGCGCGTTCGCGGCTGCTGTTGAGGGCGTCGGAGTGGAAGTCGAAGTAGTGATGTTATTGATTGACCCTTGATATTATTGCACAATGGAACATGTGTTGAAACGTGACTGTTATAACATGTCCTTTGGTGGATAGGACGATTTAGATTGATGAAAAAGAAAGAAAGAAATCTGCTGCGGGCTCAAGAGGCCACGGCTATCGGCGGTCAGCGCAGAGAAAGATTGACGAATTGGCCGGGCCGACCACCGAGATGCGCTTCTTCTTCTGATGCCCACTGTAATTGAGTTGAGCCCAGCGGACCTATTCCCCTGTAATAATGGAACAGGGCCCAGCCGCGGGGAACCTTGGAGGGCGCTACCTATCAGTACAGCGGAAGAAACAAGCGCTGTGGGTTTTGCTTGTGGGCAGCGTCAAGTGGGTCTGGCCCTCTTCATTGACAAACGAAAATTGACCCCAGCCTGCTAAAAACCGTTTGTCATGACCGCTGCCGAGCACGACATCGGACCTCTGTTGCCCATCGGCCCGTCGCCGCCCCTCCTCTTGTCTCTACAGAAACATTTTCCCCTTGGTTTTTTTTCCCTCGTGCCATTGACTTTTTTCTTTCATCAAGCAGCGTCGTCGCTACTGTTTTTTCTCAAACAGTTTACTCTTGAACCACCCTCAATTGACCACTTTCTGGCCCCCAATCGCACCCCGGAGTAAACGCCCGACAACCAAACCACCAAAAGCTACTCCGAAGCCAATACACCACCACCACCACAACCACCGCCACCATGGGCGCGCCCATTGTCGATCTCGAACCTCCCCAAGGCTCCTCCCAAGCCGCCAAGGACCTCTTCTCCGGCGCCGTCGGCGGCATCGCGCAGGTCCTCATCGGCCAGCCCTTTGACATTGTCAAGGTGCGCCTGCAAACCACGACGCAGTACCGCGGGGCCCTCGACGCCGCCGCCTCCATCTACCGCCACGAGGGCGCCCTCGCCTTCTACAAGGGCACCCTGACGCCGCTCATTGGCATCGGCGCCTGCGTCTCTGTCCAGTTCGCCGCCTTTCACGCCGCGCGCCGCTGGTTCGAGCAGCGCAGCGGCACCCTCCCCGGCGAGCGCCTCGCCTACTCTCAATACTACGCGGCCGGCGCGTTTGCGGGCGTCGCCAACACGGTGCTCTCCAGCCCCATTGAGCATATCCGCATCCGGCTGCAGAGCCAGCCGCACGGCGCGGGCAGGTTGTACAGCGGGCCCGTCGACTGCGTGCGCAAGATTGCCGGCGAGGCTGGCGTGCTCGGCGGCTTGTACCGCGGCACCTCGGTCACGCTGCTGCGCGAGGCGACGGCGTACGGCGCGTGGTTTACCGCGTTTGAGTGGATGATGAATGCCGACGCCCGCCGCACGGGCGTCGACCGCAAGGACGTGCCCGGCTGGAAGGTGGCCTTTTACGGCGGCCTGGCCGGCGAGTGCCTCTGGCTCGCCTCGTACCCCTTTGACGTGGTCAAGAGCAAGATGCAGACGGACGGGTTCGGGAAGCGCCAGCAGTTCAAGTCGATGCGAGACTGCTTCGCCGCGACGTATAGGGCTGGCGGGCTGGCGGGCTTCTGGAAGGGCATTGGGCCGACGCTGCTGCGTGCCATGCCTGTCAGCGCGGGCACATTTGCGGTGGTTGAGATGACGATGCGCGCTCTCAGCTAACCATGTCACCTGGAAGCCTTTTTTCCTCTTCTTCTCTTTTTTTTTCGCTTTCGTTGGTTGTCTGATTTACTGCCATTTTCGTGTTTGTGGGGTTTGTTTGGGCTCTGTTATATCCTCTCGATTTGCTTCACGCAACTGAGATTTGCGAGCATTCATCACCGGCGCAAAAGGTTAAACAAAATCAAAGATAAAGTAACCATGAAACGGCTAGTTCTTCCCTTTTGTCTAGTTCATGCAAGATATCAATCGCTTATATAGAGAAATCTCAAAGACTTTATACCTCCACCCCACGGCGTTTTCCCCGCGCGTAAATCTCGTTCATGTCCTCACGTCTATTATTGCTCGTCTCCCGCGACGCACTCCCGCTACCAGCCCGTATTCTCGTTATTCTCTACCCGCCGCTGCAGCACCTGGCGCGCATTCGCCGGCGTCAGGCTGTGCAGCTGCATCTCCTCCAGCAGCGTCCTCGCAGCGTCATTATCCGTAAACGCGCGCTCACTGGCCTGCCCGAGCGTCACGCCGCCGCCGCCGCTCATCTCGTCTGGCAGCGTGATAGGTAGCCGCAGCAGCTCCATGGCCTCGCGGAGCTCTTCCAGCGCCGACGAGCCCCCCGGCAGATGCCGCTCAATGACGGCGGCGAGGGCTTGGCCGTCGTGCGCAAACTGGACGGCGCCAAGCGTCGTGAACTGGTGCTTCATGAGGACGCCGTTCCAGAGCAGGTCCTGGAGCTTGTCGAGGGCGCCGTGCCACACCCGGCGGTACGAGGCGCCGGAGAGAGCGCGGTGCAAAAAGTCAAAGCTTTCCTTGAGCTTTGAAAGCGGGAGGTCTAGTTCAGCGGTGATTGATAATTGCGAAGGGTCTTTGGGCGCGAGGTTAGCAATCATGGGACAAGCGCTCCTGGTCAGTACATACCCAATGTGTCGGCATCGCCGATTGTCGTCCACTGCGGCCGTTGTGTGTAGGCGCGAAACGCCTTTGACTGCGCGTCCGCCAGCGTCGACACCAGAATCTCTTCGGCAGCCTTGCGACGGCTGCTGTACGCCGCAATAGTCTCGTCAAAGATGGCGCCGTTGTGGCCCGAAGAGCTGGTAATATCCTGTTCCCCGTCTAATTCACTGCTGCTGCCCGACCCAGACGCTGTCTGCAGCTCGTCCCACAGCTCGGTGAAGAACTAAATTTGTCAGTATGGAAAAAGGCGCAGCTGCAGAACATGACACACCTCTTCGTCACCCCATTCTGTCAAAGCATTCACAATGTGATCTGAACTGCCAATGACCTTGCACAGCGTCTCGAGAGCACCCAATCCCTCCAGTGCAGCGAGTTGCTCTTTTGTCGTACCGTGCAGTGTGCGACCCAGCGCCGACGTCATGGACTGGTATGCCTCGAGCGATCCCTTAAGCCGCTCGTGGTAGCCATCCAAGATATCCAGCTGAATACGCGTCAAAAACCGCACCTTGTGTTTCAACGAGCGTAGTCTCTCGTATTTGGTCGTAATGGTGCGCAGCAGATCCGCCACGCGCACCGCCGCAAACGTCGGCTTCATCTTGCCCGCCACAGCGTAGTCGTAGTCAATTTTACGCGCGTCTGGCGCCTCAAGGATCGTCTCAAATCGTTCGAGCGCAAACTTGCGTTCTGCTTCAAACCAGACCTCAAAGTGGACGGCGAGAACCTCGGTCGTGAGCCCCGACCATCCATTTTCCGCGTCGCCGCCGTCGTAGCTGAAACGCGACCGAATCGTGTCGTCAAAATTGATGAGCTGGCCGATGAAGGTGCTCAGGAATGGCGTGTTGCCAACAGCTTCTTGTGCGACGGCGTGAACCTTTTCTTGCATCACCATGAGCATGGACGTAATTAGCGCGCAGACGGGGTCGGCATAGACAGTCTTCTCCGCCACGGGGGTATCATGGAATTTGGCAGCTAGTACAGGTGCCAGGTTATCGCGGAAGAAATCCTCCCACCTTTCGATTATTGACAGAAACCACGGGAAGCAGTGGCTGCCCATGGACTGCGGCTTGCTCGTCGGCTTGTCGCTTAGGAAATGAAATCGGAATTCCGCCACGAAAATGTGCGCCATGACATCCACCGGCAGCAGTGGCACCACTTCTGGGCTGTGAATAATCTCAGGCATCTGAATGTCGACCAGCTTCTCAACACACACAATCCATTCGTCGTCCATCTCCGACTGCGGGTCAACCCGCGGCCAGCCGCGCTTCTTGAGCACCGCCTCCAGCTCGTCCGACATAATTTTCTTCATCTCGGCCCACAGATTTTCCGTCACGGCCTCGACGTGGCTCACGAGGTGCAGCTCTTCGCTACCTGGCAGGCCGCGCAGCTTGAGCGCCAGCTCCTTCAATTGCGCATACGGCTCCAGCGCGGCCTTGGGACTGCCGGGCAGGTGCACTGTGGCCTCTCCCCGCAGCCGCTCGACGTCCTGCAGCAGCACGAGATATTTTCGCGCGAGCTCGACGGCCTTGCGCTTCTGCATCGGCCGCTGCAAACGGGCAATGGCCTCGGCGGGCGCGTCCGACGCCGCGGTCGCGCGCACGCGCTCGTCGATATCGGCCTGGAGCGCGCGGAATTCGGCAATGCGCTCCTGAATCAGACCATGGCGGTCGTCGGTCGTGCGGCGCGCGAGGTCGAGCTCCCGCACCGCGGCGTCAAGCTGCGCCTCGAGCTGCGTGCGCTGCAGCTCGACCGTGTCCAGCAGCGCGTCCAGAGCGTCGAGGTCAGCGGCCGACTGCAGCTTATCTTCGAGGTAGTCTTCGACCCGCGCGTCGAGGGCGCTTTCAGGCGGTTGCGGTTCGATGGTGGCCATATTGTCATTACTGGCCGGCGTTTGGATGGTGGGATGGTGATGGCAGATGTCACTGCTGAGTTGGTCAAAGCTAATCGATAACGGGAAGTGGTGCGAAGCTCCCCACATATGCTGCAGTGTAAGTCTAGCCATACAACCACGCCGACTCGAAACAATTGATAAAATGGAAAAGACTGAGAATACATGTTATGAAATTGGAAAATATGTCTCGAGTACTATATAGAGGTTGTGACTTGGACTTGACTCTACATGTACTTTTGGCTTGCTCGCGTGGTGTTGTAAAATGATAGACTATCAGCTTCATCTGGGCCATGAAGATGTCATCAAGCCTTGGCGGAGAGGGAAAGCAAACAAAGAGTTTTACATTGAAATCGGCTTTTTTTTCTTGGCGGCAGCATCCAGTTTATACCAAGTACTGGTTACGCGCTGTATGCATTGAAAGCAGGCACCCGTTGGACAAGTTGGACAGGTCATGACGCTAATATCTCAGTGGTGGTAAAGAATGCGTGGCGATCTTTCTTTGGCGTATTGGATTCAATTATATATTTGTAATATAGCGCATTTTCAATGTACGAAGCGACGATGATGCCGTGGATCTTTTTCTCACCGTTAGGGCGTCTACACCAGCAGGATGGCATGTTCTAGCGGCCGCCCGACGATCTCGGTCTGTGCTACTGGTGCTGTCGAGATGGTAGCAACAGTAACGTTCTGCGAGATATAGTTCTGTAGCGGCAAACTCTACATAATTTCTTGCATGATGACAAAGGCGCCAGATTTGGCTAAAAACGAGCGAGTACCGTATGTGTGGCTCTGTCGACGTGACGCACGATAGGTAGCCAACACTTGCAGCCGGTTTTAGCGTGACTCAGCAGATGTACTTGCAGGAGTGCCTACATTGCACCAACGCTACGAAGCAAGGAAAATCTGCGTAAGCGATCAGTACGTGAGAGTAGGAACCGCATCCTTGGTACTTCTGAGGTGTTTCATAGGCTGAACAGTGGACTCGTGTTTCGAGAGGTGATATTCGGGGTATGTGCTCGTGAGGCCGTGACCATCGCCCAGCCAACGCACAGCCTCAGATAGCAACAGCACGCAGGCCATTCATCCTTTTCCATACGACCTGGTGCCTTCATTGATCTCATCAAGTCGTTGAACACGGAAAGCATCACTGGCATGTCCTTTTCAACGCCTCTGAGTCAATCGCCTACCAGCAAGATTTCTGGCGCCCAGCGTGGCATCGATTAGACGGCGTCATCTGCCGATGCAACCTGTCAGGAACAAGTCATGATCAACCAGTCATGCCAGCTCCATGAGGAGACAGCTTCCTCCACTGTACTCCGTAAATAGTTAGCTTTGCTTGGCCGATCCAAGAAAAGAAACCCTGCGGTGCGCACTCGGAGAGGAGAGAAAAAAAGACGTCTGATCCTGGCCAACAAGCGCCCGCCACTCCCGATTGAAGCGGCCCCACTTGTGGCCGACGTCACCCCTGGTTGCCCCGTCAACAATGCCGTAACCAAGTAAATAGCACTATGCACGCCTTGGACCTGGACGTAAAGTGCGGTGGCTGGGCCAACCATTAGGCACCGTTGGCGACTTGCCATTATTCGCAAGGTTGGGTGTCACCTAGTGACAGGCACACACTTTGTTCTTTATTTCCCTGCCTCTTCCTTTTCTTTGCAGAAAAACCAGCCATCGACTTTTTTTGTGAAACCAGTAAAGCAGCCGAGAAACCCTTTAATATTGCCCAGAGGAAAGTTGCATTCCAAACCAAACACACACACACACACACACACACACACAAAACCCACCCGAGAAAAGAAGACATCATTCCCGCATTCCTCCCGAATTCGTGTGCACCTTGTCGTCTAAAAAGAAAACGGTCTAGATATACTTCGAGAATCATTCTTCGTCTTGGCCGCGCATTCCAGACAAACGACCGACCCCGCCGCCGTCTACGAGATTGACCGTTATCCGTTCTCGCTACCAAAGTCGCCGCCGTTGCCGATTCTGGGGCCGCATTCCGATCTCCATCGCCAATTACTCGTTCTGTTTGACAAAGGCAACTCGACGGTCGAAAGCGAGACACGGGCCGGAGACCAGCATCGGGCACACCGAGTCCTAACAACACGGCGCTTGAACGGGCTTTACAACCTCGTTCTCACTCCCGACATTGCAGAACGCCTTGGTGTGACAAAGGCACCTCCTTCAGTCGGAGCAGAGCAGCTCTCCTCGTGAGCTTTGCCGCTCCCACGAGCTTTGGATCCCCATCGCGGGATTTCCAACACCATCGCCAACCAAACCACCCAGCACACAGCCGTCGGGCACATAACCGCCCAGGATGCCTCGCTTCCAGGTGGGATGGACCCGGTACATTCCCTTTCTGGGGTACCACCACGTGCTGATGATTCTCATCGCCATTGCCATTATCCTGCTGTCGCTGCTCCTCGCCGGCTGCTCGTCGTCGTCGCCCCTCATCCCCAATATCTTCCTCCTCTCCCTCTACTACAAACGCTACGAGGCCACGCCCGACACGGCGCAAGTGTACTATAATGTGCATTCCGCCCTCGCCAACATTGCCGGCGGCGCTCAGCTGCAGGCCCGCGTCGGGTACTTTGGCATCTGCGTCAACCCCGACGGCGGCTCATGGCTATGTAGCAACAACGCAACGGCGCTGGCGCGGCAGGTCAGCCAGGACCAGGATCCGCTGAATCTGATTTGGCTGGCGGCGCAGTTCAAAGACATGATTGTCTTTCCCTACCTAATGTACGTCGAGACCCCTGGATATCCCATCCCCTTTCCCTCACCAAATCCAAAAGCCACTAACATGTTTCCCTAGAATCATTGCCATCATCTTTGCCTTTCTCTGCGTCCTCCTCCTCGCCACCTTTCCCTCGTGGTATGAGGAGGAAGACTCGGAAGGCTCCGAGCGCGTCGTCCGCGCCATTCCCTCGCGAGCCGTCTCCCAAGTCTCGCTCGCCATCATCTTCATCGCCAGCATCTTTGTGCTCGTCTCGGTGCTGTGGCAGCACACGGCCTCGGTCGCCGCCTCCGTCATTGCCCAAGATTTCGGCAATGGCGTTGTTAAATCAGGCGTCGGCACCTCGGCCATGGTGCTTGGCTGGTTTTCGTTTGCGCTGCTCATTATTGTTACGATTGGTCTCATTGTCACGATATTAACAATTAGCGTCGTACATCAACTGGTGTAATCCATCGCTTCTTTGATTTCGTTGATACCTTGAAATTTTATGCGAAATGATGAGTTTTTTTCCCTTTCAAATACATATTGAGACCATGTACAAAGAACCACAGAAAAGAAAAGCAGCGGCAACCAAAAGGGTCATGTACATCTTCGAGCTTGGAAAAACACACAACCCAGATGGATGGCGATTCTTTTGGGAAATTGGCACAACGCATCAGCACTGGAGTTGGTTTTATATACTTTTCTTCTTTTTCCCTTTTTTTTCCCCGCACCGTTTATCAATACCTTTGCTCATGTCGTTTTGGAGATTGGGTGCTGGACGAGGAAAAGCAAACACAAAAGATGTGGACTTGTTTTGAACGAAATGAAGAGACAGATGAAGGATAATGGATCGAATGTGAATAGAATATATGATATCTAGCCAGTCGTAGGGATCAAGTTCCCCGATAACGAAATATTGTTTGGCTGCCAAATTGCCGTGTTTTGGAAATGCTTGTGACAATTGTCGTAATTACTGGCTCGACTTATTACCTAGTGACACATCTTGAATGTAGAATGATGAGTGTTGAAAAATCGTAAATAATCAATTTTGGCTGCAAGAGTTGACACCCAAAAGCAGCAACGCCTAACACCTGTAATGACCATCGATGAAATGCACGCCATGTAAAGTTTCATATGTGTCCCATCTCTCGTTTGCAAACCCCCCCCCCCCCCCCCTCTTTCTCACCGCGTGTTCATCACCAAAACCCGCGACGCCAGGTTTACGTTGGACGTCGGAACGGATGCGCTTCTGTGTTGAGTACCCATTCGTCGAGGCTGATGACATCGGGCCCGGCATAGAGCATGTAATAGTACTTGAGCGTCTCGGCGATCCAGAAACTTTCCATGGCGTCGTCCTTGGGCGGCTTCTCAACCATGACATCAGAGACGGCTGTATTGGCGAGGTCCGTGTCGGTAGCGGCCATGGTCGCCTCAAACATGCCCCAGCCCTTGTCCATCCACGAAGAGTCTCCAGTGATGCGATACATGTACCACACAGATTCGATGGCTTCCGGACTGCGAGGCGTTAGTATCGGCTAGTTCTGAGACGTTGGATGGGTACATACCGCAGAATATAGCTTTTATACATGACACGGGAAAAGCCAGCTGGAAGCCCAGTGGAAGCAATATAGGACTCGACGTATTCCTCATGACTTTCTGGGCGACCAGGGATACTGCTATCACCAGATTTGGCGGTGGTGCCGTACTGCAGCTCCCACTCGCTAACTTTCGAGTCGCGAAACTCCTTGTTAGAATCCAGATCCTCATACCACTTGGCCTTGTCGAACTTGCACCGCTCCAGCGAGGGACACGGCATCATAATCGCGGCTTCAGGCATAAGGCCACTCGGCGTCTTGTGATAAGCCCATACGCATCCATCCGTCAGACGCTTAGCGGTATCCAGGTCCTTTGGGCGATCAAAGATTTTTGCGCCGAGACCGTACATGCCGCCGATGAAGCAGGTAAGATGCGTCGCCTCGTACTCGACACTAATATCGCGGCTGGGATCGCCTTGAGTCCTGACTTTGGCTGAAAAGTACACATCCCAATCCGTCTCATTGATCATCGGCCGATACATTAGCCATTCGTCGACGGCGCTAACGGTGTTTTCATGAAGCTTTCGATACTTGGGCTCCAATCCACCAAGTAGTAGGTACTCCTACCAGACGTTAGAGGCCTGCCAACATATCAGTCAAGGTAAAAGCTTACTTTGGGAAAGTATTCGTAGGCAGAGTCCTGCGAGCCACCCATGGAAAAGGATTGCGAGTACGACGACGCTGGGGCCAGGCTGTCACCACTGGCATCGACGTTCTCGGGAAAGAGGCCAGGAATCGCTGCTTTGCCATCTGTCTGAAACTTGACGAGCGCATTTGTGATACGATCGATGGCGTCATAATACTTGTTCTCCTTGGTCAATTGGGCTAGGCGGGTAAACTCCATCGACAAAGTGGCAAGCTCGGCGATGCTAACCCTGCCAGCCTTGTGGGGCTCCGATACATGTTGCGGCTGCCAGCGGTAGTAGAGCACCGGCATACGATTGGGAGTGTCGAAAACACCATAGAGAACCTCGGCGAGCTCAACAGCCTTGTCAAGGAGAATTGAATATTCTCCTTTGTGGCCTCCACTCAGGTCAAAGGCGGAAAGCAGGCCGCCGAGGTAGCGGATGGTGGTTTCAAAAACAGGAATGTCGGACTTTTCGCTAAAGGTAAAGTCAATGTTGGCAACACCATTCTTGACGGCATCGTCAAATTCATCCCTGAGACCAGCGATCCAGAGAGTATCGAGCGAATCAACAAGAGTGGCGGCCCAGCCGCAGAAGGGGTCCTTGAAGGAGCCGGAAATGGGTCGCAGTTCGTCGTGCATCCAAGCATTCGCGCGATATGAATTCCAAGATTTAGAAATGACAGCCTTGACTTTGGCCAGACGAGCTTCGCGCTTAGTCTTATCCGCGGCAGACTCTGGCTTAAAGGCGTGCTGAATCTTGGGAATAGACTTTGGTTTGCCTGTAGGCAAAGGCACCATGGACTCTGTTGGCACAGGATAGCTTTGGGTAAAGGACTTCGAATGAATTCGAGTGTCTGAACTCGAAGCCGCAGCCGCAGCGGCCGGCTTTGTGGTGGCGGGAGCCTTGGTCGCAGGGCTAGCAGCGACATGGCTGGCGCTCAGTTTGGCCGTAGGTGCCTCCGGAGGGGTTTCCGCAGGTCGCTTTTTCGGCGGCGACGGAGAATCATCCTCGGAGCCGTGCTGAACAAAGTCGGCACCAGAAAAGGACCTTTCGGCTTCGGCATTGTGCTTCTGGAGGTCGGCTTGTGCGGATCCGGCCTGCTGCTGAGGCGGCTCCTGAGGCGCTGTGCTGTCCAGACCCGGATGAACAGCCTTCCTGGGCGGAGCGCGCGTGTCGGAAAAGGGGTGCTGCTTTGTGTCCCACGAGTTCTGCACGACGTGGTAGAGCATGATGAGGAGGATGACGGCGACGAAAATAAACAGTCTGTATCTTCGTCTAGCCATGGTAGGTGCTGTGCTGTTGTGGCGGGTGATGGCCGGCTTGGCTTGGCGGTATACGATTGATCTGATGCAATAATGACCGAATTTGGGCCAATACAGGTCGTCGAGAGTCTCGATGTTCAGTCGTTGACCATTGTTTTCGAGTTTGTCGTTGGGTGCGCGGAAGATGGGACTGTCTGCGGGGGACGCTCGAGACCAGGACAAGCTTCAGCGAGCCGACAGAAAGACGATGAGGATACGAGTAAAAGTAGCAAGGCAGATGAAAGAGAGAATAAAAAGACGGGGAGTACTGTTGAAGTGATTCAATTCAAAGAATGAAGCAATGAGAAAAGAAGAATTGGCCGCCAAATGAATTGACGAGCGTTGTAGATGCAAGCAGCAAAGAGGTCGAACGAGTGGTGCATGCAGGTCAGTGATCTATCTGTCTGCTTGGTACATACCTAGTTACACAGGTGGCAGGTAAATAGGTGCAGCGACCAGGGAGAGAAACCCAATATTCATTCTCCAGTCAGCAGAGAATTGCGACAAGACAAGCGGGCTGCAAGCCGATTCATCAGGCTTGTAGACACTGTGGCTCGCCACAGCCAAAACCGTTTGAAAAGGTACACATGTTCATACTAGGAATTGCTAATTAACCAAAGTACCTATCTGTCCTCAATCCATCATCCCTACCTTAGGTACCTAGCAGGCAAGCCACCCCGAAGAGTGGATTCTTTTGACCCTTCTAGCGGGCTGCTGCCCAGCCTGCCTGTACTAGGCCAATTTCGCACCCACCAAAGCCCCTGGTATTAGTGGGACGCTGCTTAATCTGACAACCTGATGAAATCGCCTAATTTGCTAGGACACGACTGGAAAAAAGTAAAGCGAGCATGACCAAAAAAAACATCAGTAAGAGAAGAGAAGAAAAAGAAAATGCAGAAAAGGACAATAGTATAATCAAAGAATTACATATTCTGAATCTGCCCTACCTCAGCCACAATCCTCACCTCGTAATATCTCAAGCATAGACCCACTACCAAAGTCTTGGCCCATCCTCCCCCCCACAGCGAGACATAACTCAGTACATTGGCAACGCAACTTGTCGCATCGTCCGTGTAGCACTACTCTTCAAGTATAAGGGTCGTCCGTGTAGCACTACTCTATTATTATCACCACTCTGTGTATGAACTTCACTAGAAATATCGCCTTTTTCTTGGCCAAGTGGTATACACACTACATGTACGACGCTAATTTTTATACAAAAAATAATATAGAAAAAGAACCGGTGTTCGTGGATATACTTCCTCATCTCTTTTCCTTCCCAATCACGATTTGTAAGAGTCTTTAATCTTAAAGTACAGTTCCGTGTCGTAAAAATTGTAGCTCGGGTCCCATTCGCAAAAAGGATGCTGCGATAATAGCACTTCGGCCGTCGGTCTTTCACCAGGGTTCCTGCGTCGCATCAGTTAGCTGCCATCATCATCCACAGTTTACCACCCGACTTACACTTGGAAACAATCCGCCATAAACGCCACCGCCAGCGGGGGAATCAATTCTTCCACATCCTCGGGAATTGGCGGCACCTCTCCATTCGCAATCTTGTAAATGGCTCCCACTGCCTCCTCCTTGCTCCACGGTCGACGACCAGCAAACATCTCCAGCACAACGCACCCAAGACTCCAGATATCTACCTTGGCGCTGTACCCTTCGCCTTGCGATCGAATCACTTCTGGCGCCATCCAAAATACCGAGCCCTGCATATTATTGGTCTTATCGTTGCCGTAAATGTTGTCAGTCTTCTTCGAGATGCCGAAATCGCTAATCTTGCACGTGCCGTCCAAGTCCAGCAGAATATTGTCCGCCTTGAGGTCTCGGTGTAGAATACCCTCCCGGTGCAAATACGCCAGCCCTGACAGTGTCTGACGCGTCAGCGACGACACCACCGATTCTTCGAAACGTCCGTGCTTTCGCAGACACGACCCAATACTGCCACCAGAAATATACTCGAGAAATATGCTGATACTCGTTTCCTTGCGCTCGCAACCTAGATATTGCACGATGTTGATATGGTCCAGATGTTGCATAGTGTCAATCTCCTGGTCTAGCGCCGCAACCATTTCTCGCATCTTGTTTTTGTCGCCACCAGCTGCCTTTGCATTCACCTCGACCTCCTTGACCGCCAAAAACTCTCCAGTCGTGGCATTCATACCCAAATACACCCGACCATAGGTGCCCTTGCCAATCAGCTGACCCTTGAACCAACGGAAGGTTGTCTGTCGCTTTAGCCCCGTTTCCAGTCCACCACTATCGGGCATCGCCACGCTACCGCGCTGATCAGGCCGAATCTGCACAATGTTGGCATTGAACATCTTGGTACTCTTTCGTCGCATCAAGTTCGAGTTGCTTTTGCTTGCACTTTGTGACATTGTAGTAAACCGCTTGTTGGCTTCATGTGCACCACGCGCCACTTCTCTGATGGATTTCATTCTGCCAAGACCGCCTGATCGCTTGAGGCTTCTGGACCCTCCACCCTGTGCAGACATCGGTCGGTCAGACGCCTTGAGCGTCGATTCGTCAGATCCGAGCGTGTCTGCTTCTCCATAAAGTGATGGCTGTCTTGAAGGTGGAATTGCCGCCGGCATATTGGAAGTATCCTCGCGAGCGGAATTGTTCGACGCGCTGCGCTGGTGCCCCGCGGCGTCAGTCTCGTTGACGATAGGCGAAGCGGTCAAGTTATTCCCTGCGCTATCTTCCAGCACAGGCTCATCAAGGTCCAAATTCGGAAAGAAATCGTCGAGGTTGTTCAACAGATCATCCGTAGGGGGACGATTGGCCCACACATCCTTTTCGATGAATGATTTACGCCGAGACACTTTATCATCGGCATCAAAATTGCTCGATCCAGGCGTTGTAGGTGTGCGTCGTGAGCTCATGGCGCTTCGGCCATCGTCTAGGCTTTCAGTAGTCGTGCTTGCCTGAGGCGACTGAAACGACACGGATACAACCTTGCTCTTGGGCCGCTGTGTATTGACAATGATGCTCGGTCGCTTGCTACTAGCTCCAGCCTTGGCCTTACCCTTGTCTTTGTCACGCCCAGCCAGGGGAATCTGGAAGAGTCCATCATCTGAGTCATCACTGTCATCATTGGCGGGGACAGCGCGTTTTGTTGCCGCCGGCGTCGCAAAGCTGACTTCTGAGCCCTTGCGAGAAACAGCATTGCTGCCTTGTTGAGGGTGATGAGGTGCAGAGTCAAAGTCAAACCGCTTCGGCATGAGAGTGCTTGGGCTCAGTTCCGATGATGATGGCGGTTGCACTCCTACTGAGTGTCGTTGATCATTAGCGTGAGCGGTCTTTGGCACTGCGACGAGGGTACCGCCAGGTGAGTAGTCAGGCACAGCAAATGACATGTTGCCAGGGCTCCAGGTCAAATTACGTGTGCCACCACTGGCCCGAAGCCCCCCTGACGCTGATTCCTTGACAAGACCGAATGGCGAACCCTTCTTACCTGAGCGTTGAAGACCACCAGCAGAGCTGCTCGACTGCAAGTTTGCCATGCTGGAGACAGAGCGTGGACCGTTGGCGCTTGACTGCCCAACAGCACCCATGCGGCGGCCGATTCCTGCTAAGGCGCTCCCGATACCTTCGGATCCATCCGGTGGTTGTCCGCTAGCCTGGCGGCTCTTCAACCCGTCCGGACCGTCGGTGTTAGAGGTAATCAGGCGTCTTGGGCTGGGGAATCCGTCCAGACCTGCAGCAGAACTACGCTTGGCATGTCCAGGCTTCTTAAGGGAATTGGCCTTGAGCAGTGTGGCTGAAGGGTCGCTCGGTGGTGCAGGTGGTTTCCTCTGGGGAAATAGGTGCTCAGAGGGCTTCCTGTCCTCAAATGGAGAGTCTCGAGGTTGGTCGAAATCGACATTCCGTCCAACGATGCCAAATCCAGTCCCTAGCTCCGGAGTATTGGGGGTGCTGCCTTTCTTGTTGGCCTGTTTTCGCTTCTCCAGATATTCACGCTGTTTTCGCTCCATTTCGGCCCGGTACTCGCTCGCCTCTTGCGCAAGTGTTTTTTCGTCCACTCTACTCTCCGATGTGGTATTGGATCTCGATGTCGGTGGCGATGAAATGGATCGCTGCCGAGACCCGTTCAGTTTCGCGTACGCTTCCTCATCCATGCCGGGCGGTAAGTGATTTGATGACAGTGGACCATTTTCAGTTCCTGTATTGTTATTGTTACTTCCATTGAGATCCACGAAGAATTTCAACGTTGTTGATTGTTTTGGATGCGCTTCTTTGAAAGAGACAATCTGATCATCCATCAACTCTTCTTTGTGTGAAAACTGCCCAAGCTCCGTTGCAAATAGTCGAGCATTGCCGGAGTCATTGATACCCAGGCTCAAACATATTGCTCGCTTGATCTCCGAAGCTGAGTCGGCTGGGGTAATGTCGCACATTCGAAAGTTCCAGGAGTCAAAAGTTGCTAGCACAAATACCCGGGCGGATTTTGTTGGGCTGCTGTTATCAAGGTTTGCATCGCTGGCATGCGCTTCACGACCACCTAGCGATGTGGTCTTGGGGGCACTGTTGGGTGAGTGTGGATATTCTCCTTCGTCCGGAGACGGTATCGCGCCCTCATCACGCTGCTTTTTCTTTCGATGCATGAAGCTGAGAAAGCTCTTGGAATCTTTCCCCGAACCAGGCTCCGTACCGGCAGAACGATCCCCAGATTCGTGAGGTGAGTGGCTGGAGCGGCCGTCCAGCGTACGGCTGCCGACAATGTCTCCAATACTCATCCCTCGACTGAACATACTTGCCGCATCAGCAGGGACGCCGGACCCATAGATAGCAGCATTGGAAGAGACAGAATCTGTGCTGTGTCTAGAGCGGTGACCGAATTTGGCAGAGTTGGGGGACGCGGTCATGGGCGCAGACGTAAACATTTTCTGCTGTGGAACGGGACTTCCATTTGCAGTTGGACTCTCGGAGCGTTGCGCTGTGCCACGATAAAGTGCCCCTTCGCTTATTGTGTTCTTCATAACCGAAGTCCCGGGCCGCCCTGTGTCGCTTTCCGACAATTTGAGCGCAAGTCGGTGGCCGCCCTCCGAGCTGGACATTGTCCCGGTATTCAGTGTGGGCATCGTGGTCGCTCTTGTTTGCGAAAACCGTCTAGCAGCAAAGCCCGGTCCGGGGGGGTTGAGGGGGGTCTGAAGATCATTGTCAGTATAATAAAAATTAAGTTAAGCGCAGTCGAGATGATACATACGTTTGGGGAATCAGACGGTTCGGTATTCGCGCTTGCGATGGTGGCGCTCTGCCCGCTATTGGTAGAGTCTTGTCGGCCGTGGGATTTGGAGGACTCTACAGGCTCACCTGTCACAATACTTCGAATCAAACGTCTCATTCGCTTGCCTTCCCCGCGCTCTGCAGGCTGGTTCCAGGCCACGCCATTTTGAGTACACTCTCGCGCCAGTCGGGGATAGACTTGCTGATGCATCATGCTGTGGTTTCCGCGCAGTCCATGCGGGTTACCGAGCTCCAGAAACTGCTGTCCGCACAAATGCAGCGCTCGAAAAGTCTCCTGCCATTCTCTCGAGAACATGTTCTGCGCCAGCCAAATGAGCACCGTGTCCAAGGGCCACTGCTCAGCCATCTCCGGGGGAATAAGTCCCGCACCTGCTATGCCAGATCCACTGGCAAGCCCTCTAACTTGTGCAGTTGAGTGCATGTATTGTTGCGTTCTGGAAGAAGAATCTTCGAGCACCGACGCAGCGCTACTTTCCGGCATTGACAGTGCTTGGGACGATTCTGATAGCAAGTGATCTTCACCGCCGAAGCCTGGGATGCCGACTCCTTCACCGTACGAGTTCGCGCTGGGTATATATGTCGCGCTCATGGCGTCGCTTGGGGGTGGAGGTGGAGGCATCGCCATGGCATGTTGTCGGGCAGCCATCTGAGCGTGTATTTTCGGGTTGTAAGGTTGGTGCTGGCCTTGTGTGGGTGGCGGTGGAGGCAGATTGAAACCTCCTCGGCCATCATACATTCGACCGTAATTACCATGCCATGATGGTTGCTGCTGCTGCTGAGCAAGAGGGCCGGATGGAGGAGGGCCAGGAGGCGGGGGGATCATGGCACCAGGCGCAGTCCCAGGTGGTGCAGGAGGGTATCGTGGCGGCGGCGGGGGGACGTTCATGATGCTGCCCATTTGCGGCCCGTTCATCGGAGGCGACGACAATGGCGGCGGCGGCGGTGGCGGCACCTGGAATGGACGTGTCGGATCATTATTCGAGACATGTCTTTGACCACCCTGATACATGTTGGGCGACGTTTGAGGCCTAGCCTCGTCGTAACTGTTTGATGAGCAATGAGGAGCTTAAAGCGAAAGCGCCAGCGCCAGCTGGAACAATTGCTAAGCAGGGAAACCAGGCCCGCTACCTAAAAGCGAACATGGAAAGCCACAAGCGACTGCAAAGCAAGAAGTCTCAGCCGTCGTTGATGATTGCGAGGCTGCCGCTGGGCTGGAATTGCTTGGAGGGCCACCAGCCCGCTAGACGGTCGAGCGGGGGAAGGCGCTTCCAGAGAGTCGACAACTGTAGCTCGTGGACAATCGCCGTCGTCATTCGAGATGGCCAGGCGAGCGCCGTTTGAGGTGGTAGAAGAAAAACAATATATTTACAAGACAAAGGAAAGAGGGACGACGAAAGGTCCGTGGTGCTTTTGGCCGCTAGGATAGTGGAGAGCTGCCCACCGTCCAGCTTTCTGTTAGGCTGGAGTGACGCTGGCGCAAGTTGCTCAGCTCCACCCGAGCTGAAGGAGCGCCAAACAATCGAATGCCACGATGTGGTTGGCTTAGTCAGGACTGTAGGTAGGAAGGGACCCTGTGAAGAATGGAAGAGCCGAATACTAGCAAGAAGAGTTCTCCAAGCCATTGTTGTCCCTCTTATCCCAATTATGTCCCAAGCCATGATTGCCTCAAAGCTTTGGAATATTTGACTGGTTTAACATCGTGTTCAGCCTATGTACGCGCCGCGTAAGACGGTCATCAGTAAGGGCAGGTATCGTATCGGTGTTGTAGCCGCAAGTCCGATCACATGCATCCACGCTGATTGAACAATAAATCGCTAAAATCATATGGCAACTTAGAACAGCGATGCCCTCAAAACAAATGAATCAAAACGCAATCTGAATCCTCCCATACGATTCATCACCAGCTTCCCTCAAGAGTTGTCGTAGCAAGCCAGACCGTCCTATGCTCTCACATCAGACTGCAGCTGTTGAGGTAACCCTGCTGGCATTGTTGCACATACGAATCTTCTTCTGCTGTGCCAGAAAGAACATTATGCTGGCGGACCAGTCCAGTTACTGTAATGATCTGCTCGCCCTCGGGGTGCCACCATTTCAGTCTCTGCAGTGGAATGCCCTCGTCTTCGTCAACGCTAATCTCCCACTTGCCCGAAGTAACGGCAACCTCGCATTCATCTCTCGGAAAATGAAACTCGGGCAAGTACACGACCGTTGGAAATTTCTCATCAGTCACCCTGGGCGCCATGAGCTTCAGATCATACGCGCACCGTCGCAAGTCGAAACCAGCTGATATCACCTCGCCTGCCACCACGGTGGCGGTCGGTCGAATAAAAGCTTCCGCAGCGCGGTATCCAGGCGCATTGGTAAGTTCCGGGTTGTTGAGTGACGGCGTTGAGCTGATAGACGGGCTTGTCATTGAACGACGAAGATTCGCGGGGCCAACGCTATTCTCCTCTGGCAGACTGATGTTTGAGTCTGAATACTTGGGCAGGGCAGATGTCGGGGGAACAAGATCATCCGGCGAAAAGATGGATAGATCTTCCCCATTCCAATTCTCACCCCATTGATGCACATTCTTGGCGCTATACACCCAGACACAGTGCCCCTCCATACCTGACCCCTCGGCGGCAAAATAGTTTGCATCTAGTGCTGCAGTTTGGCTGCTATAGTCGCCCGTCTTATATGCCTTCTTATCGTCCATATCGTAAGGAATGCCAAACTCGGTCAGCAAACAGGGATGATTGCCAGTGCGATCAATTCCTTCCTGTCGAAGTGTGGCAAGCTGATCCCTTAGACAATTGCGAATTGCAGTTTCTCCAATCTTGATGGCAAAGGCTGGGTGCAGGTATTTGCCACGCAAAACACCAACTACGTCGACGTTCCAAGTGCTGTTCCAGTGCTTCGTCATCAACGTGATGCCATCATAGTAATGCGGCGTAAAGACAAGCAGCTTGTCGTCATCAGGAGTGCCTTTGATCTGCGGAGGAAGTTCCAGAGTCGGAAACTGCATCAGCATGATGCAGTCCTTGTGAATGGCTCTGCAGGCAGTTTTGTATCTGCGCCAGAAATCCATGAAATATGTGTTTGTGAATTCAGGGTAGTCAATGTTCTTGCCAGTCTCCGGGTTGTTCGCAAAGTAATCTTTTATCAGCAAAGTATCGGTAGTGGGATCCCAGACACCATGCTGCGCCCAGATACATTCTCCGAGTTTCCAACCAGGGTCTCGCGTCCAGCCGTATTTCGTGTCATCGTAGCCCTCAGGCAACCATGCAATCTCGCCCTCCGGGTCAACCAATTCCGTGCCTGTCTTGTATGGCCCCAGGCCACCCATGTCCCAGGTATCAACCTCGCAAGCGCGGCCCATGCCCGTCAGAAATGTCTGCCATATAGTTGGAGAAGTGCCCTTCTTCAGATGCTGAGCTTTGGGGATGACAGTGAGATCCTGATAGCCAATCATGCACTTATTTGGCTCATTCAAACTCTCCCAGCCCATGACAACCTCGTTTTCGAGGTCGCCGGCCTCATGTATGCGCTTTGCCAGGTGCGCGCATGCGTTGATGAAGTGATCTTGCAGGTAGTCCTGGATATTTACACCATCGATGATGCACTTGGGAGCAAACGCTTTGCCAGCAAAGAACATGGTGAAGATGGTGCCCGTAGCAAGCCGGAAGTAGTTGGTCGACCAAATCATTTTGGGAAATTGGCCTGGGTCTGGCCATGTGTTATGAACAATAGCGGCTTGAGTTGTTGCGAAGCTTTCTGGGTTCAAGCCACAAGCATAAATTGTCCACATTGGGGCACCTGAGCCTCCAGTGAATCTTGACCAGACATCTTGGTGAGGATCCATAAAGACGTAAAAGCCGAATGTTTTGGCGATTCGCAGGACGTCGATCGTTTGCTGAATGAACTCTTCGTCGTATTTTCCGGGACCGGCAGCCTCTATGGCCTCCCAAGTAAAGACATATCGTATGGTGTTGAAGCCGTATCTCTTGAGACGAGCAAAGTGCGTCGCCGCTTCGTCTTTGGGAAACGGTCGGTCGTGAAATGTTACGTTGTCGCCGTCGAAGAAGCGCTCGCCAATGTGCGATGGCTGGTCGGGTTCGCTGGGCAGCTTGGAGTCGCCAGCGACATTGATTCCGCGCAGGACTACCTGACGACCTTGCTTGTCTCGAAACTGGCCATCCTCAATCGTCAACCGGAATGCAGCCATAGTTGGTGTTCAGTCGCGTTCGCTGGCTGCACGGCTCCGTCTGGCTGCAGGCGTTGGTGGACCGAGAGCGACAGCTTGGCGGTCGGGTTTCGTCAAATGTGCTGTTTGAAACGGAAGCCTTGGCTGTCTCTTGTTTGTATGAAGAGTAAAATTCAAATCAGAACGACGCACTCTTGAATAAATGCACTTTTCGACGAATAGATGAAGATGAAAAGGGAGAAGAATCGGGAGGGCAGCAGAATGCCTGATGCATGACCGACAGTGCCCAGTTGGCGCTTCAGCGTGACATGACAGACTGAACCTAGCATACATGCATGCTCCCCACTCCAATTGGCGGGGTGTCCGAAACAGCGCTGGAGTGACGAGTCAAAAGACTGCCCCAGCACTCCGGGCGGGCCCAAAGACACTAAATCGCTCGCCGATCGGTGCTTTTCAGTCCTTTTCAGTGGCTGTTGCACCCATGTGTGGATCCACTCCAACAAAGCTAACCGAGCGGAACAAGCAGAACGCGACCAGAATCCGATATACGCGCAAGCTAACTTTGCGAGCAGCCAGATCTATTTACCATCTGTCGCAATTAGCTGTCTACACGGTAGGTAGTGCTAACTAATGAAGGAGGAAGTGATTTGATAGATGTCTCCTAGTGCAGTCATGTCACACACGAGGGCCTGTAACCGATAGATAGACTAATCAACGTCCACACACTTTTAAATGAAAAACATCGAGTCTCTACATAAGATACAAAGTCGTTATAGTCCAATACCGGAAGTAACCTCATTTTATATTTGCGACATGATTTATTATCCGCAGTGCATCAGCATCTCAGGGCCTAGCGGGGAATCTCCGGGTAACCCCACTAGAGCTCCAAAACCTCCACGGCGACAGTCAAAACTTCTCATTACCTCATCGTTAATTGCCGACTGTGGGCGCCGTCATCTCCCACTTGTTTAAAAAAACAAAAAACAACATTGTACTGCAGCCAGATCGAAGGACTCGACTCGGATAAATTACCAACCATCTGCGTGTTGCTAACGCGTAAAACTGACCCCACGACAACCCCCACACTTGGGCATGGCAAACAAGGTGCTTGACTGGCCTACGAAACGCAATATACAACACCATGTCAGGCTCTAAAGCGGCTTTGAAAGCGATCAATGATGCAATCAAATCCCAAAACTTTGATGACGCCATTACAAAATCTCAAGACTTACTGAAAAAGGATCACAAGAACTATCTAGCGTATGTGTGGCCGCCGGACATTCTTGACACCACCACGTCACTGACAGTCTCGGCAGAAATATCTTCCTAGCGTTTGCCTTGGATAAAAAAGGCAGAATAGAAGATGCAGAAAAGGTCTACAACACAGCTGCAAGCTTGCGTCCCGAGGACGGTCAAGCCTGGCAAGGTCTGATCAAGCTCTATGAGAAGCAGGGGCCGCAAAAGCTGGGAGACTATCAGCGTGCCGTCGTCAACCTCTCTCATATCTTCTACAAGGCCGATGATGCTTATAAAGCTCAGGATGTTGCAGATAAATATGTTGACTTTGCGCGCGTTAGAGGGGATCGTCTACAGTACGCCGATGCTCTATGGATCAGGCTCCCTGAGAGTCCTCTTTATTCTATTCTTGAAGGTCGATTCCCTGCACCGGCCAAGACCTACGAAACCATCGCCGTCATTCTCGAAGACTTTGAAAAGAAGCGCATAAATACACTCATTGGAGAGCGAAGAACTCGCCTTGGTGCGAGACTAAATGAAGTCACGCTCGAGGTGAAGAATGAAGTTTACGCACAAAGCAAATTGGAAAGTGTGTACCAGCAGCTCATCAATTGGACTTCCGACGACGAATTGAGACGCACGTACGAGGAGAAGCTCATCCATTACTGCTATGATCGCCTGCTGGCCCTCCCAGCAGGTGAACAAAAGGCTGCAGAACTCGCCAAGGTGATTGGCCTTGCCAACGACATGGTCGTGATCAAACACCCTTTTCGGCTTGCGTGGGATATCGCCATCAACTGGCAGGATCACAAGGAGATACGTGACTGGAGCGCCGAATTATTACACGCCTATTGCTCTCATTTTCCAGAAAGCGATCTTTACAAGGTCATCACAGCTTTCATGACTTCACCTATATCACCATTTCCAGCCGCTGCTGCACCATCAAGACCTTCTGCTGATGAACTGACAGACGACAGCGACGACGATGACGAAGGTGGTGTCCCCACTTCAGTTATCCCGCTCAGTGACGAGGATCGCATCATAATGATTACAGAAGGTATTGCTGGCACGGAGTCTTCGTTGGCGTACCGGCTTGTTGGCGAATTTTTCCTTCATTATGAAGAATATGAGAGCACAGTCGAATACATGCGAAAAGCGCACCGGTACATTGCCAAGGAGCAAGCTCTAAGCGCCTTTGACTTTACGAAAACGACGGATGCCTACTCCCTGTGCCTAGGTACATCGCTTGTCTACTACCAATCACCGCGCCACCACGCTGAGGCAAAGGGACTATTTGAGAAGGTTTTGAGCCATGACGCCACGACCACCCGTGCAATGATAGGCGTGGGTCTCATCTACGAGGAGGAGGAAGAATATGACCAAGCCATCGACTTCCTCGAGCGAGCCTTGCAGAAAGATGCCACAAATATCAGAGTTAAGTCAGAGGCTGCGTGGGTGAAAGCGCTCAAAGGCGACTATCAGCTTGCCGCCGACGGGTTGCGGGATTGTCTGAAGGCCTTGGATGTCAAGGAACCAAATAAGGAACTCCTCGCGGATGCGCAGTATCGCTTGGGCTACTGCTTGTGGAATCTTGACGCATCTCGGCAAGCTAGAAAGCAGCGCAAGGGAGAAAGCCCATACGCCTACTGGCTTGCAGCCCTAAACAATAACCTTGACCATGCACCTTGCTACACTATGCTCGGCATCTTTTACAACGACTATGTCAAGGACAAGAAACGTGCGCGTCGTTGCTTCCAAAAAGCTCTCGAGCTGTCTTCCGCAGAGGTCATTTCCGCTGAGCGCCTTTCCCGATCGTTTGCGGACGATGGCGATTGGGATAGAGTTGAGCTGGTGGCGCAACGTGTGGTAAACTCTGGCAAAGTGAAGCCACCTCCTGGATCCAAGCGAAAAGGCATCAGCTGGCCCTTTGCAGCTCTTGGAGTCGCTGAATTGAACAAGCACGAATATCACAAAGCCATTGTGTCATTCCAGTCAGCACTGCGGCTCGCGCCAGATGACTACCATTGCTGGGTCGGTCTCGGTGAGAGTTATCACAATTCTGGAAGATACGTTGCAGCTACCAAAGCAATAATGAACGCTCAAAAGTTAGAGGAGCAGTCAGAAAAGGACATGACGACTGATGCCTGGTTCACCAAGTTCATGCTCGGTAACATCAAGCGTGAGCTCGGAGAGTATGACGAGGCTGTTGAATTGTATCAATCCGTGATGAAGACTCATCCTGGTGAGGAGGGAGTCATTATCGCACTGATGCAAACTATGGTGGATAATGCACTTATTAGTGTCGAAAAAGGGCAATTCGGTAAAGCCATCGAATTTGCGACAGAAACAGTCAAATTTGCTACGACGGCGGAAGAGAATGTTCTGGCGACTTTCAACTATTGGAAAACTGTTGGCGACGCTTGTTCAGTGTTCTCTTCTGTCCAAAGTCGCATTTCCGACTTGCCCTTGGACGACATTCGTGCTATAATTGCCAAGGCCCCCAAAGAGGCTTTTGACGTCAGCGCCGATGTTGATAAAGTCAGCACGGATGTGATCTCTGCAAAGGGAATTTATCCTGAGGATGAGCAACCTGGGGTCGAGCTGACAAGATGCATTCAAGCTACAATTTTGTGCCACAAGGTCGCCGTTCATGCTGTATCAAAAGACATACACGCCCAAGCCGTTGCCATGTTCAACCTTGGTTGGGCTGAATTTAGGGCGCACTCCTGCTTGCCCTCTCAGTTGCGCAAGAAAGCTAGCAACTACCTCAAGGCGGCCATTAGATGCTTCAAACGAGCCATCGAGCTCGAAGCTGGTAATGCCGACTTTTGGAACGCACTGGGTGTTGTGACGAGCGAAGTCAACGGGTCCGTCTCGCAACACTCGTTTGTGCGAAGCATCCACATCGACGAACGCAGTCCTGTGGGATGGACTAATCTTGGCGCGCTCGCTCTCTTGTCTGGCGACATCAAGGTAGCCAATGAAGCTTTCACCAGAGCACAGTCTACTGATCCTGATTATGCGCATGCATGGCTTGGTCAGGCTTTTGTCGCCCTCTTGTATGGAGATGCCAAGGAAGCCCGCGGCCTATTTACGCACGCGATGGACATTTCCGAGGCGTCATCTTTATCAGTCCGTCAGCAGTACTCTTCGTCCATCTTTGACCATATCCTCGTCGGCCCAACGAATACTACCATCGCTTCCCTCTTGCAGCCTGTTTTTGCACTGAATCAAGTGCAGAGCATGCGGCCGCAAGACTTTGTCTTTGGCCACCTCGCTAGCTTGTTCTTGGAACGTACTCGCGATCACACCCGCGCCGTGGAGATTCTCGAAAATATTTGCTCCAGCATAGAAGCGGACTATGAGCAGACGGAATCTCCTCTGAGCCTGGCAAGATTCACACTCGCACGCATCGACCTAGCTCGTGCTTACCTTGCGTCCAAATCGTATGAGCAGGCTATCGAATGCGGCGAGATGGCGCTCGGCCTGAGCAGCGATGAGCAGGACAGCGAATTGACCAGCGACCAACGCAAAAAGGCGCGTCTCTCGGCGCACCTGACAGTCGGACTTGCACAGTTTTACGAGAAAAATTTTAACGAGGCGGAGAAGTGTTTCGAGGCCGCTCTACAAGAGTCTGACAATAACCCTGACGCGACCTGCCTGTTGTCACAGGTCTTGTGGGCTCAAGGCAAAGAGGACTCCAAAGAAAAGGCGCGGTCGTTGCTGTTTGAAGTCATTGAAGCGCACCCAGAACACGTGCAGAGCGTGCTGCTACTGGGTGTGATTGGTTTGCTCGACGAGGACGATGGCAGTCTGGAGGCTGTCGTGGAGGAACTGCAGGGTCTGCGCACAAAGGACAAGGTTACGACCAAGGAGCAGGCGCAGATTGGCGAGGTGCTGCGCGCCATTGCCGCGCTGGCCGAGGGAAAGACGGCCGACGAGGCCCTGGCGCAGATGCAGACGGACATTATGCTGCACCCGCATCTCCCGCACGGGTGGTCGGCGCTGGCGGCTTCTGCGGGCGACGGGTACGCTGCGCAGACGTCGCTCAAGGTTGCGCAGAGAGGCATCCCGCCGCGTGGACAGCTGGACGCGATGGACCTGGCAGAGTCGTATGGTGGTACCGGCGCAGTTGCGGATTCGCAGAAAGCAGCGTTTCTCGCGCCGTGGGAGACGGTGGGATGGTCGTCGTTGAAGATGGCGACGGAGGGGATTTAGAAGCATATGCATACGTACAGGCGTTGACGTGAAGGAAGAACTGCTACACTGCTACAATGTTATGGAAACCCATAGAGATGGTAGATATACGATGAAATGAACTTTTGTACAAGTAGCCCAGTATTCTTTTTTGGGCTTGCCCTTTGGGTATCAAATGCTTTGATGATCAACGCCGTGCCAAAAATAAACAACCCCATGTGTAGCTTCATTGTGGCCTGTCCGCTCCCACCGCAGCCTTTAACCTCGCCAGTCTCCCACTCGTCCACGCCTCGTGCCAACTCTCAACCTTGCCTCCCAGAAACACCGTCTTGTCCGGCGTCAGCAGCACCGAGCCCCTAGCCACCACGGAGCCCGCCCTCAGCAGCATCTTTTCACCGATACTCGTCTTGCCTATCCCGATCCTGTCCATGCGCTTCATCTCGACCGCGTACACCGACTGTCCCTTGCAGTCCTGCAGCACCAGCCTATGCACCGCATTCTTTGCCGCCGTCACTTGCTGTGCGCCACCTGCTCCCCTACCCTGCGTCCCCGTGGCTCTGCTGCTGCCATCTCCCTCCTCCTCCTCCCCTTCCTCAGCCGTGACGCGAATCACCTCGCGGCCCTGCCTCCGCTCCCCGCGCTCCACCGACTCCAGCTCCTCGACCTGCTCCCAGCGCGACAGGCTCAGATTCTCCACGTCGAGCACCTGCACGTGGACGTCGCGCGGCAGCGTGCGCTTCTCGGCGCGCGCGCTGCCCACGTCGGCGGGAAGGGCGGCCATGGCGTCGGCGTCGAGAATGCCGCCAGTGCTCTGGGTTAGGTCGCAGGCTAGGAGGCGCGCCTTGGCCGTGGCGAGCAGCGAGGCCGGGGGCGGGGGCGGCGTGCGCGCTGAGATGAGGGTGGTGAGGAAGCTGGTGGACGCGGGTGGAAGGGATTGAGCGGCGAGGGAGGTTCGCAGCTGGCTGACGAGGTCCATGTTGGAGGAACACGTCGGAATTGAGTAGAAACTTTTGTTTGATTCCCAGCCTCTGCAGTTGAATTGATGCCGTGCCGTGCAAAGACGTTGGGGGGAAACGCGTGCCGTATTGCAGGTCGATAAACGTTTTTTGCAGTGGAGAAGATGGTTACATGATGCTCCAGTTGGCTCTGTATAAGCACCACATCCGGTTCAGGCTCTCGTACTATTTAATGGCGAAGAATTGTTTGACAAACAAAATGTATATTAATGGGACGGTTCCAGGAATTTTCCCAAGTATGTAGCATGACAATCGTCTACTAATCCACGGTGTTGCTGTCGCTTCGCTGACAAGGTCGCAGTACATCCTCCTACAGTAATTACTGTCTAATGAGAGACATGAACGAGAGAAGAAAATGATCATGACAGCAGTGTTTTTTGGGACAAACTTTCTACTGATAGAGTCTTATTCCTCCGCATTGTGGCTTGATCCCCCACTCCCTTCCCGTTCGCCTTACTGGTCAGCTGTCGCTCTGACTGCAGAACTCGGTCCTCGTCCGGTTGGGCAGCTGCTTTTGTAATCTCTCCAGTTTCCGCGTACTTGCGATCGGCATGCTGGTTGCCAAATGTGCCGTCGGCCGTAACTAAATTATTGATTGTGACCCCAGCGACTTGCACACGCTGCGGGCGCACTTGGGCCTGCAACGCCAGGATTGTCAGGGGCCGGGTTTCGAAGAAGGCCGGCGTAGATGTATCCAGATACTCACTCCGATTGGCGGCGTCTCCAGGTTTCGGCGTTGCAGTATTGTCCATGTTGAATTCCGACGCAAGTCGCGTGGTGAGGGCCACACAAGCCATCGTGGGCTCGTAGGGGCTGGGGCTTCCAGGACCACGTAACTGCGCAACTGTTGGGGGCGTTCAGCCAATCACTGAATATGAATTGTTGGTGGCTGACAACTGGTAGCTTCTCCTGCAATTGAGTGCTGTGTTGAATCATGAGATTGTCAACATTACCTGGTCCATGCTTGATGAGCGCCGCACAGCGACCAATTTAATGTCGCGACACTTTCCATCACCGACTTTCGCTCTGCGCGGAAAAGAGGTTCAGTGCTAGCCTCAGAGCTGTCTCGTCGATTGCGCGTCTACATATCCTTTCCGTACCCGTCCATGATTCATCAGTCTTGGCTATCCCATCGATATGGCTGGCATTGCTGATAGGCGAGAGCGCGGTGCGATGGCCGCGATGCAGATGCCCATATTTGAGAACCTGAGACAATTCGATGAACGTTTCCCATACTGAGGTTCCTAGCTTCTAAATAGTCTGCTGATCAAGGCTGCAGCTAGCTGTTTGAAGAAAACGCTGACAAACGCGTGAAGAGGGTCGTTCCTGCCTATTGGTAATTAGCGACCGCGGGGAGTATTATCCGAGTAACACCCAGGTACGGAGTACTGTCACATCTTTTCTTTATCAATGTCAGACGGTCTGAGAGAGCGCAGATCCAGGTGACCAAGCCGGTTTGCCGAGGCATGTTCTTGGCACTGCTTCATCCGCGGGTCGACAGTTGACGGGCAAGTCGGGGAAGGAATTGCCAAGCCTTTTTCGCAGCCTGATGTATGCACTGTGATTATTGATGAGCTGAAAGCTATTAATATGCAGTCGAGGAGGGCTAGCTGAAGAGTCGGGCTTGAGGCTCCCCGCGTCCAAGTGCCCCAGATCTAACAAGACATCCATCCACCAGGCTCCGGAAAATAAGAAACTCGAGTCCATGTTCTGGATTGCATCTCAAGATGGACCCAATTGCATGTCGAAATGGAGCTCCTGTTCTTTTTCCAGAAGCAAACGGCGCCCCGAAATGCTCCATCAATCTTATAGTGTGGCTTGCTCTAGACCACAGCCCTTCATTCAGGTCGCAGGGCTGAAGCCACGGTCCCCAATCACATCCTACCGCGACTTCTTGGGGGGTGGCAGCGAAGAACGGCATGATGCGCCCGCACGGAGTAATATCGAATGCGGGGTAAAACGTTGTCTCAATCGGGTTTGATTTGCGACTCCAAAATAGATAAAAAGGGCAAAGAGTTGCTGCTCCGGCCAGCTTTTCTTCGCCAGCGTTCTTTGTTTGGACAGAGAAAAGAATGGCGGCTCGAGCGCAAGACGAGGGCCCAGTGCCTATAGCGGCAGACCGATATCACAGTGAAAAGACGGACCGCATTGAACCCGCGACTGTTGAGCATTTGGATGATGCTGAAGATGAGCCCAAGCTGTCCAAGCCGGCCACGACGTTTGACGTTCTTACGCACACGATTCACCTTCAAGATGATACTACCTTGTCCGCAATTACCTTTCGCTCTATGCTAATTGGTAAGTCATTTTCAAACTCTTGATTCGTGTCCACAACGACCAACGTGGTTTCAGGTCTCGGCCTTTCCGTCTTTGGCGGTGTCCTCTCGGGCATCTTCTTCTTCAAGCCGCAGCCCGTGGCCATCCCCGCCGTCTTCATCGCCGTTGTCGCCTTCCTGCTCGGTGAGGGCATGGCGCGGCTGATCCCGCGCCGGGGTGCACTCGGCCGCCTGCTGAATCCGGGCCCCTTCAACGTCAAGGAGCACCTGGCCATCACCGTCATGGCCAACGCCGCCAGCACGTCGGCGCTTGGGCTGGAAATCATCGCCGCCGAGCGCCTGTACTACAACCGACGCGTTCATGGCGCGCTGACGTTTTTTATGCTCATGTCCTCGCAGTGCCTCGGGTACGGCATGGCCGGGCTGATGCGCAAGACCATGGTGTACCCGGCCGCCATGCTCTGGCCGTCCAACCTGCCCATCAACACCATGTTGGAGCGTCTGCATTCGCGCGCGCCGAGCAATCGCAAGCCGTTTCGCGTATTTCTCTACGTATTCATGGGCATCTTTTTCTGGGAGATTATCCCGCAGTGGATTTGCCCTCTGCTGACGGGCGTCAGCATCTTTTGCCTGATCAACAGGAAGAGCCCTACCTTTACCAACGTCTTTGGTGGTGCCGAGGGCAACGAAGGCCTGGGCCTCTTTTCTCTTTGCTTCGACTGGCAGTACATCTCCGGTGGCACATCGCCCTTGTTTTTCCCCTTGAGCAGTCTCATCAGCCAGGGCATCGGCATCACTGGCTGCATCATCCTTTTTTGCGGCGTCTACTACAGCAACATTTGGGATGCCAAGAAGTTTCCTTTTCTGTCGCAACTCATCTTTTCGGACGAGTCGACGGCCGGTAGCCCGGTGGAATGGAATCAGACAGCTGCCATTGGACTAGACGGCAAGATCAAGATGGAGGCGGTAAAAGAGCTCGGCTTGCCCAACTTTGCCTCCTCCAACGTCCTCAACATTTTGTTGACCAACATGTGTATTGCCGCCGCAATCACGCATCTGATCATTTGGTATCCAACCGAGATCAAAGCCGCATTCCAGTTTTTGAATCCAAACCGCATCCTTGCCCGCTTCAAATCGGCACAAGGTCGCCTGCGCCCTTCATCTCAGACCCAGCCTGCTAGTGCCCAAGCAAGCAGTGGGAGCGAATCCGAGGCGCATTACGATCCGCACTACCTTTTGATTCAAGAATACAAGGAATGTCCCGATTGGTGGTATGGTATTGTGTTTGTCCTCTCCGCTACCGTGGCCCTCGTCGTCATCTACACGAGCAAGAGCACTCTGCCCTGGTGGGGGTTTCTCGTCGCCTGTCTGGTCGGCTACTGCCACCTTCTCATCTTTGGGTCCATGCAGGGCATCACGGGCGTCAGTTTCACGATCCAGTCCATTATTCAGATGATTGGCGGCTACATGCGCCCCGGATTTCCCATGGCCAACATGTATTTTTCGCTGTACAGCTACAATTCTCTCCTGCAGGGTGTGCTGCTGGCCAAGGACCTCAAGCTCGCGCAGTACGGGCACCTGGCGCCGCGCATTACCTTTTCCATGCAGATGCTGGGCACCGTTGTCGGCGCGGGCCTCAACTACGTCATGGCGGACAGCATCATTGACAACCAGGCCGACATCCTTCGCAGCGTCCAGGGCACCAACATCTGGTCCGGCGCCGTCACGCAGCAGTTCAACGCGCAGGCCGTCACCTTTGGCGGCTTCCCGCACGAGCTCTTTAGTGTCGGTAGCAAGTATCAGTGGGTGCCGCTGTCCATGTTTATCGGGTTCGCGGTGCCGATACCTTTCTGGCTCGCACACCGCAAGTGGCCGCGTCTGGGCCTCGATATGATTAACACGCCCGTCATCATGTTTTACATGTGCTACCTCAACCTGGGCATCAACTCGTCCGTCATGACGTTCTTCATGGCAGGCTTCTTTGCGCAGTGGTATGTGCGCCGCAAGTACCCCAACATCTTTGTCAAGTACAACTACCTCATCTCGGCGGCACTGGACGGCGGGACATCGGTCATGGTTTTTATTCTGTCTTTTGCCGTGCTCGGAGCTTCATCAGCGGCCGTGGCATTCCGTGAGTAACACGTCAACTCCTTGAGCAGCTAAATCTGCTGGTATTCAAACTTGGCTAATTAATAATAACGAAATAGCCAAATATTGGGGAAATCCGGCCTCTGGTCATATCGACTATTGTTACAAGACTCCCTCCGAGTAGGCTTTTCTACTTGTTGAGATTGTGTTTTGGTTGGCCGGCTGTGCGTCAGCACTGTTGGAGAATTTGGGCAGCGAATTGATTCTTGGCGACGTTTGTTTCCTCTTATTAGCGTGTTAATGTTGACCTTTTTTTTGCACTCTGTATTGTGGTGGAGTGAAAACAATTTGCCTTGGCAAACGTACCAAATTATTGAGGGAATAAAGAGCATCATGAGCAAAACCATCATTGTCGCAAGAGAGACTGCTCCAGCGGTCATGACAGCGAGTCTGAGCATTGTGGCGCGCAAAGCTGGCTTCGGCTCTCGGCCCGGTTTAGCGTCTAGCAATGAAATATATGGTGGATATTATCGTCGAATGAGTGTGAAAGCTGGATTTGCAAGGTACGCTGCAGTGCAAAAGAGATGAAACGACTTTAGTCTTTTGTGTCTGTGTTTATATTTTTTTTTTTGCCATCCGGGTCAGGGGGTCACGTAATCCCATTGTCACCTTTCCCTGCAGAGAGGCCGCGTTACCACTTGTTGCCAAATCAGGGCGCAGTAATCCGCAATAATAACAAGGCTGTGCCGAATACCCATACGTGCCGTCATAAGTTCATAAACTAGCTGGGTTGCTGGGCCCTGGCCTGGGGCATGGTGTCATTATCAACTAGTTAATTGCTGTACTTGCTATAATTAATTAGGGCTACCCGAGCCCCAGGTTGCCGACCAACCGAGTGCTGGGGAAGGGTGCTTGATGATGTTGCCTTCTCGCGCGCTCGTGTTTCGAATCCAGATTAGATCTTCGGACGGGCTTGTTCCTGTAGTCTGCAACCAAAGTGTTTTGCATGTCCATGTTTGCAAAGGTGCATGGAAAACAACGTGTGCTAACCACCGACTCGAGCCTTATTATATAGGGGTGTTGAGACGACTCGCCCTAGCGACTCCACACAGGGGCGCGTTTTCTTGTTAGTCGATGCGACAGTGGCCACAGATAGGGAGTGATACTGTGGGTGAAGATGGAGACTTTATATATTGAATGCGGACAGCTTCTCTTGAGGCTCAATGCTTGTAAGCATGCATGGCTCATCAACTTTCCGACATCCCGGAGCTGGGTATCAAAGAGAGCTGTGTCACCCCCGGGAGATGAGCTTAATTCTTTGCAACTACCATTTCGATCTACTGTTTTTTTGACTTTTACTTTCCGGCTTTTCTTCTTCTTCTTTTTTTTTTCTCTCAATGCCAACACTCCGGACCAAGGATTGAGGCACTGCAGATGGCATCACATGGAGCAGGCAGTGGTTGATGTAGAAATGTGTGGCGTTCCTGAGCGAATGGCGTTTTGTGCGCAAATGGGTGTTGGTGAGTGAGTTGGCGTTCCTTGAGTGAGCGGCGTACCTTGAGTGAGTGGCGGTCCTTGAGTGAGTATTGGCGTTCCTGAAGGGTTACGAGTGAGTGGTGTTGCTATACGTCTTTCAAAAAAAAAACACCCATCAACATCAGGCACCAGGCTCGTGTAATGATACAGGCTCTGTTGGCGTCTTGGCTACTGCTGCTGTGTGCCTGTATTTAGTCACCGGCACCCGCAGTCTTGCATCCCAGCAACATGAAAAGTCGGGGGATTACATAAGGTAGGTCACTACGAGCCGACGACGTACAGGGATTTCAAATTTCAGAAAAATCTGAAATCGCCCTGGGTCCCTGTGCTGGTCCGCACGAAAATGCGTGTCGATCGACCCTTTCACTTACTTGTATTGAGTGATGTCGGGGGGTTGCAATTTGGGGGGTGTGCCAATACGGCTTGGCTTGTAGTGATCGGCGCGGCAAACGCAGCCGCACGAGGGCAATGCAGTTGGCGTCCAAGCGTCCTGATTATTACTGCTCATCATTTGTTTAGGTACGGATACATGGCCATAAACACAGTACAAAGCACATACATAGGACAAATAACCGCAAAGAAGAGCGCTTTAGACCTGAAAAAGAACGTACGCGGGATAAAAAAATCTGTACCTAAGGAACTGATCTCAGGGGGCCTTTAGACATGTATTCTCTAATAAATACTTACGCTTATGATCGTGTTTCTGCAGTAAAGATGTAGTTTTATGTACGGAGGAAGAAACAAGAAGTCATGGCCCATAGGGATTTGACCCCTGTTAAACTCGATCCTGACGCCTTCGACAGGGGTGTGAGTACGTTGTCTTAAACGTTCACCAGCATGATCATCATAACTAGCATTTGACCGTAGCTGGTAGGGATGCATCCCTGGTGTATCAATGTATGTATGATCTTTCTTATTTAGGTTGATGGCGTTTAATCACTGTGGGCCAGCACTTTTTGTTTCTTCCTCCGTATGTACGTGGCTCATTTTCGGCTGAGTTACGGATTATCTTGCTCTGATTAGCTAGTTTTTTTTTTTTTTTCTCCATCCTAAGCAGGTCTAGCTAGTCTGAGCTCTAAAAATTCAGGCTAAGTCTGGGTCGACATCCTGCACTGCCACCAAACCGCCTGCACCAAGGCTGCTCTTGTATATAAATAAAAACGCTCGATACCCGTCTCTTTTGATTGCATCTGCTCTATATAAGCGCCTGTTCTCTCATCTTCAAGAGTGACCATTACAACTATCATTTTCCGCTGGCTTGTATTCTTCTAGTCGTCGTCACTCCTCAAGTCATTGCCACCTACTTGGCTACATCGCACTCCACCACAACACACGAGCTGTGTAAGTGAGCATTGCATCATCATGCCTCTATCTACAGAATCCATCATTGCCATTGTTGGTCTGCCCGCTGTAGTCGTACCTGCTGTTATCCACTTCTGGAAATGCTGCAAATGGAGGAAGCTCGCGTTGGCCGCCCATCGCGCAAGGGCTGATACCGAAAGTATGGTTGCAACATTCTTTTGCCATTTCTCGCCTTGCACTTGTGCCTGTTCTGGCAGACAGCAACGCAAGCTGACTGGGTTTAGGGCAATTTGTACCAAGCGACCAAGAGGAGCCATTCGACCTGCCGTTGTACTCGTCTCCTCGCACCTATTCTCGCGCTCCGCCAAATGAATACACGGGCAACTACACGAGAAACTACACGGGAAATAGACCCAACGAACAGAATCAATTCTTCTTTTTGACTGGTATGGCAATCTATCAGGGACTGGACAGGAATCGACCGATGAACCTTTGACAGGCCGAGACCCCCGTCAGTAGCAATGGCATTCAGGATGTATCTAGATGTCCATGGTCAAATAAATCTCTATTACATAAATGAAGAAAATTTACCCTCCCCGCCTCCTCACCATTGTGCCATCTTATTTAGCACCCAAATTATGGGGCACGGAGCAATTGTCGAATAGGTATCCGACATTGGCCCTTGTCGTCGGCCCCGGCTGCGACACCATTGTTTCGGTCAATATCATTCAAATTCTTAAAGATGGCCAGTAAACTAGTCATGATCTCGCCCCAATTCTTAAGCTTAACGGGAATGCCCTTGTATTTAACTAGTCGCTAGTTAAAAGATGATTACTGGTAAGATCTTGGTGGGGGTCCTGGGGGCCCTGGGGCGCTGATCGACGGTGCGTATCCACAAGCTCTCTGGGGGCCTGGGGCCGCCTAACATAAGATATCCATTCTCCTTGGCAAGATCGACAGAGTGCGGACCTGGAAGCGGTCAAATAAATCAAGCTTTTCTCGAGGTGCACTGATGAAGAGAAGGGTCGCAGGCCTTCTAGGCGAGTTCAGAACGGACTTGTCCCTCGCCAGTGCAGCGCTGCATCTCTACTTGTTAATGGCACTACAGGAACGGGCGAGCAAAGTGTCCACTTCAAGGTAGAAGATGACGGTCCTTGCAAATAGATGACGTAGCACTAAATGGAGCAGCAGACAAACCTCAACGAATGTCTGCTGCAGGGTATTAATTATCATGCGCTCAGCGCCGAGAGCAAGGGCCTTTTTCTCGACAACCTCTAATATGGTGACTCGAGAGAATAAGACAGATCTAGTACCCAAATCCTTCTTGTAAGCCGCTTATTGCCTGGCCTGTAGCAGGTGTAGCAGTGGACGAAAGATTGCGGTTGCGCAAGTGAAAATTTACCAACACCATCCAGCCCTTCTTTGTCAAAAAGCTACACATGCAGGCTGGAGCTGGGTGCACGAAACTTCCTCAGTCTCCGCGTTTCCGCCTGTATTATGTCGGCTGGCTCTGGGACTCACGAACTTGTCGCTGCTGTATTATCTGTCATGTACCTGCTTACCCCTCCCCCTCCCCCTCCCCTCCTAGAACCAACAGGCCCCCTCTCGCGTGCTTTGACGACACGCACTCTTCTCGACCACGGTAAGCTGGCATTACATCCTGACTATTTGCTACATGCTAACAAAAGTACGCATTAGTGAACAACCACCGCCGCAAAAGAATCGCCAAAAAAATAAAATTTCACGCCCAGCAGCAAGTCAAAGTCGTCACCCAGGTTCCTACCATTGCCATGTCCTGCCATCTCCCGTCGACATTGTCCGATCGCGGTGACGCAAGCACCGATTTCGAAATCACCGTCGGCAATGTCAAATATCTTTTAACCGAGAGCCAGAAGGTTAATAACTTCCTTTTGCTGGTGATCCATTTGGCCCTATGCAGCCAGCTCTCCTCATCAGATGGTCATATCATGCTATTCGAATAGAACACTGCCATTGTTTGAATCCGTCAGATTCACTGACTTTATATTTGCTAGAAATTTCTTGAATGTGCCGATTTCGACAACGACAATGGTCAATCCTGGTGCTCGTTTATACCATTGGGCCCAACGATCCTATTGAGAACTCAGCGCTCCGCGAGTTTCAGGCCAGTACACTTAATCGAGATGACGTGTATCAACCTGATTTCGCCTCCAATATGGTTTTCTATGGATTCTCTGAAGAATGTACCATCCTTGACCCGGATACTCTCGCGGGGCTTCGCTCTTGAAATGTCAAAATAATCTGATCCTGCCAGGGCGGCAAGAACTTGCGCCAAACTCGGTCGTCCCCAGGCCCTATGTCATTTCAAGGGGCATAACATGGCAGTCGTGGCGAGTCTATCATGATTTTCAACGACTGTTTCATGATCGGGCTGAGGCCCTCGCCGCTTCACGATGGAAGATGAGTGACTCATCTAACGAGGACTTCTGTCCTCGATACGAATATTTTGGCACTCTAGTCGCAGTCAACGCCGCGTACGCTGCACACAACGGCCGGGTCATTGTGCCTTCGCGATGCTACTACAAGCCATCCAAGGATCGTCCTCTTGCCGGTGCAAGGTTCAGTGTGAAAGACAACATCGATGTCGCGGGTCAGAAGACCACTCTGTGCAATCGAGCCTGGACTGAATTCATATCGGTATGGTATAGAAACTCGCGAATGATCCGGTACTCACTTCATAGCGACATGCACTTGTACTTAGGTGCATACATAGGCGGCCGTCGAAATATTATACCCGACAGACTATCTTCCGACGCCAAACCCAGCACAATCTCAGCCTATTGACGAAATTTGTTTCCGGACTGGAGACTGCTTTACATGTCTCACGCTCAAAGATATCTCTAGCACAGTTGTGGAAAAGAGATTGTCCGGACGGCGCCGAACACGACGATATTGCAGCGTACCTCGAGACAGTGAGTCATCTGACAGCTTTTTCACGCTGGTTTGGGCTAATGATTGCTAGGCGGGCATATATCATGGCCCTTCCAATCGAGGTTGGACAGCCTAATTACCGTGAAGGTCCACTTCCGTAAGTTTCGAGTTCTCTAGATGGCCTTTGTGGCAGAATCGGACCTGATTCTCGGCCTCAAGGCTGCCCGCATACCCACCGAGGTCGAAGTAGGACGTTCCATGTATTAAGCTAGACTGTCACCACGCCTATATTGGCTTAGAGTCTTCAAGCGATGATTGTAGAGATGATATATAACGTACAGGACATTATCATGCATACATGGATACTGGCGTCTATCAACTCACAGCTAGCTCTTGCTGGTCAAGAGGACCAAAACCTGTCCCATTTTCACTAGACGCCCGCCCATATATGTGCAAGACGGTAAAGGCATATAGAATAGAAAGTGATGAAAACATAGATAATTCGTAAAATTATAGACGAGGTGATTTAGGCAGTAGATATTGGTCTTATCTTGATTTTGCGAAAGGACTCTTTTCTAGACTTTTGTTAAAAATAAATAGCTGTAATTGAGTATTCTCATCGTTGGGCTACCTAGTGACTACCGCCCCCCCGCTGCCGGGGTACTTTCCCCACGCTATTAAGCGCTGTAGCCTCTAGAAACAACTACCTATTCCTCCACGCTGACACTACGGCCTCCTTCACCTTTGTCTGATTTGCTGTCAACTACCCGACCAACCGACCCATTCGGCGACGCATCATCTGCCGTCGTCCTGCTCTACGGAAAGCTAGACACATCTTCAACCTTGCCCTTGCAACAAATTACGACGACAAACCATCTGCCACGACGCTTCGCCAACCACTCGCATCTGCTGCTTGCTGAAACGTCTCTTCAACTCCCATACCCCCGACCGACCGGTGCACACGTCGCCCCTTGCATCCATCCCCCTTTGCGGCCGCGCAGCACCCTCCACACAACCACCACCCCGTCAACATGTCTACGATTGCCAGTCCCAGAGACCCCTCGGCGCCCCTCCGTCGCGTGCCCTCAAACGTCATAACCCCGACCTCATCCACCAGACCCTCCCTCGACGCCGCGCGTTCCTCCGTCACCTCGCCCGTCAACAGCAGCGGCCCCGGCCCCGGCCCTCTTCCCGTCGCCAAGCGCGCAAACCGCGCCGCCCTGCGCGAGTACTACAACCTACGCAACGCTGCTGCTGCTGCCGCCGCTGCTTCTTCGCCACCGCCGCCGCGCATTGGTGTCGAGCTGCCCGATTCGGAGGTGCCCGTCAGCGACCTGGACATTCCCGGCTTCACGACGGACGAGTATGTTGCCAAGGTCGTTGCTGAGAATAGCCTCGAGGACCTGCTGCGGCTGTATACGCGCGTCGTTGGCGAGGTGCGCGCGCTGGACGCGGAGAAGAAGGCGCTTGTGTATGATAATTACAGCAAGCTGATTGCCGCCACGGAAACGATTCGCAAGGTACGGTAGACAACAACCGCCCTATCCTCCTCGGGCCGCCATGCCCCTCTCCCAATGCTTGCATACTAATCCCCGTCCAACAGATGCGATCCAACATGGACCCCCTCAACCCCATGGCCTCGACCCTCAACCCGGCCATTGCTCAGATATACAGCCAAGCCGCCGAGATTCGCGAAACCCTGCGCGCTTCCATCCCCGCCCCCGACTCGGACCAAGGCAAGCAGCGCGCCGCCGCCCAGCGCCGCAAACGCACCCGCGAGCTCGCCGTACAGGTCCTCGCCACCCCGGAGCGCCTCCGCCGGCTCGTCGCCGAGGGCAAGCTCGCCGAGGCCAGGAAGCAGTGGGAGCGCCCGAGGCAGCTCCTCCAGACCTGGCACGACAAGGGCTTTGGCGGCGACGAGGTCCAGGCGTGCATTGACGAGGGCGATGCGGCTGTGGCAGCACCGACGAGCAGCGAGGGGCGGGTGTCCAAGGACGGACGAGACTCGACATCATGAAGATCAGGCATAAGAGTTTTTCCTACATACGTGTACAACATTTACCATGATGCGAAGCATTTACGAGCAAGCATGTTATTCGAGAATTCAACCTTTGCTTTTTACTACATCAGTTACTACACCGGTGGTACACGTCCCTACAACTCCGCAACTTCAACAATCGTAAACGGGTCCTTGTCGTACTCGCTCAGCACCACTGCCGCCTCGGGCACAGCCGCCCGCAGCTTCTCCTGCAGCGCCGGCCTCAACACCTGCTGCAGGTAGCTGCGCTCCGAATTGCTGTGAAACACCTGCACCAGCGTCCTGCCCTGCTGGATCGCCCGCAGCGCCGAGTGGTGGCTCGTCTCGCCCATGAGAAGCAGGTCCACGTCGGCGCTCTTGAGCACGTCGTATCCGCTGCCCGCGCAGACGCCGTAGCTGCGGACCCGCGTCGTGCGCACGTCGGCGCCCACAGGCGACGCTACCATGACGTGTCGCAGGCCGCCGAGTTTCCCAGCGAGTCGCTTGAGGATCTCGGCGACGGCGACGGACTTGCCGTCGGTAAAGGTGGAGAGCGTGCCGTAGCCTGCGCCGGCGTGGCTCTCGGGCGCTGTCTTGCACGGGATGGCGACGGAGCGCGTGGTCGCGTGCGGGCCGGCTACAGCGTCGGCGAGCCACGTGTTGAGACCAGCAGGCGCGGCGTCGACGGCCGTGTGAGGGCAGTACACGGCGATGCCGGCTTGCATGAGACTGATGAGGGTGGACTGTTGGGGGTCCTTGTCGGTGATGGACTTGAGGCCGGAGAAGATGAAGGGGTCTAGGGCAGCCATCAGTATGGGATTGGACAAGGGAAATGAGAATACGCACGGTAGCTGACAATGACGCTGGCACCCTGACGGATGGCATCCATGGCGACTTGGTATGTCAGGTCATTCGTGACCAGCACAGTGGGCCGCTTCTGGCTCGACTCTTGCTCGTGGTTGCCAACGAGCAGGCCGACATTGTCCCACGCGCGATCAGCGATTTCTTCAGGATACCTAGTCTCAGTCAGAACTTGTATAGATATAAAACGCTACTGTATTGACCGAGCACAAAACTCACAATGCTTTCATCGAGTCCGCGACGAGCTTGGTAAACTTGGCCGGCTCAACCTGCCACGCGCCCCATGCTCCTTCAGTCCCAGCGGCAGCCATTTTATCGGAAGCTTTGGTAGCTGTGGAGCTAAAAGACCGGTGTTTCAAAGTTGTGCGGCAACGAGCAGTCAATGGCCGTGTTGATGTGATGATGATGTGCGTCGAGTAAAGTACAGCGGCGCCTGGACAAGCAGTGGTGAAGCGCCTCGAGATGGATGACAGTGGTACGCTTTGGAAAGCTCGCATGCCTAGCAAGCTAAGTAATTTGTTTGAACAATTCAACAACAACAACAACACAACGCCTTGCTTTTGTAACACCCCAAAAATGCAATGGAAACAGGGGATCAAGGTGAACAACAAGATAAAAAAGGTTGCTAGAAGTCAAGCTTGGGAGTCAAGGTCAAACGCTAAGCCGTTTCCCCCCAAGCTCCACCTCGAGGATACCTAGGTAGGGAAGGGGAAAAAAAAAGGATGAGCTCATACCGTGCCAAAACTACAGCGCTGCCACACTGTACCGCCAAACGCGCACAGAATCGGGCGGGCGGTATTATTACCAATGAGCCGGGCGAACATCTAATCAATCGCATCATTTTTTTTGTCTTTCTACCTTTTTGTTTTATTGAGCCGTTGAACACACACAACTCAGCGCTAACAACGCATAAAAGGCGACAACATGGCGCAAATAACAGACGCCAGCATGCGCGAAATCATTGTTCAGCGCCTCGCTGCCGTCCACGTCGAGGTCGCCGACATGTCTGGTGCGTAGTTGTCTCTCAAACCCCCACCAACACAACCAACTCTCTTCACCTCCCCCCTTGGCCCTTTGCCCTTTGCCGCCTGTTCACCCATAGAGGCCTCCCTTCTTCAGACAGAGAACTGTCAAAAAGCTGACCCGGGGTCTTTGACACAGGCGGCTGCGGCCAGGCATTCACCTCACTCATTGTGTCGCCCCAGTTTCGGGGCCTCGGCGCGCTCAAGCGCCACCGCCTCGTCAACGCTGCTCTCAAGGACGAGATTGCCGCCATCCACGCTTGGACGGCAAAGTGCCAGACCCCCGAGGAGTGGGAGCTCACGAGGGGGGCCGCGGCGCCGCCGACAGACGGCACCGTGGGGGGCCAGGTCGAGGGCACAGCGCAGTGAGGTTGCGCGCAGAGACAAGGAAGGGCGGGGGGGCATGGTTGTTGGTCGCGCGTGGGATAACGACAATGATGTTGACATGATACCTCAAGGAATGGATAGATTTTGGATGAAAAGTGATCTTACGAATTGAAACTATAGAGCCGGCTCACAGAAAAAAAAATTAATACATGGGACTCTATCAGTCCGCGACTATTACAATTTTAATCTTTCTTCTTTTTCAAAGAAACTGCCTCGTATAGACTACTCCTATCTAGCAATGCACGTCGACTCAGCAGTCTTCTGTCACATCATTTTTACCACCTTCTACTTTCAACCCCCTCTTCGGATTTACAGCAATCCCAACAGATCATCACTCGCTCCCTGGGACTGTTGCTGCTGCGGTTGCGGCTGGCCACCCTGCGTATTCTGCAGCTGCATCGCCGCCGGCAGGGGTTCACTAGCCGGTGCCCCAAAGCTCATGCCCTCAAATCCGCTCATCAGGTCATTCATGCCGCTGCCGATACTGGCCGCCGGCGGGCTGACCGCGCTGCTGCTCTGGGCCGGCGGGGGTGCGTCAAACATGCTCATCATGTCCGCCATACCACCCGAGGCCGCGCCGGCCGCGGGGCTAGCCACGCGGTCGGGAGTCTGAGATGCGCTACCGTGTTCGCGCGAGGCAGGTGCGGCACCATCAAAGTCAATGTCTAGCAGATTCTCAATGTTGCTCTGCGATCCCGCGGTGCCGTTAGCCGCGGCGACAGAGGCAGCAATGGGGTTCTCGGCGGCGTTTTGGCGCTGTTCTTGAATGGCAGCGCGCTGAATCTCGTCGGCGCCGAAGCGGCCCTTGCCGACAAATGACTCGGGAGGCCTGTGGTAGACGGACGCCAGTGTGGACAGTTCCATCAACAGCTGCTCCAGAAGAGCTGGCGGCAGGCTGGTCATTGTCGTCGTAATGGTTGGCTTTTGTGAGAGAATAATGTTCTGCGCCTTGTTAGCACTGGCCATGCATGGCGTCAGGCGATACACATACCTTGGCAACATCTAGGTCGCCAGAGAGCAGTCGCCAGTACACGTACGCTCTGTCGCGGATATCGGGGTTGTCGTTTTCTACAGTGGCAGCTTGCAGCACCTTTTGAACCAGGTTTTGGCTATTGCTGGGCTTCTTCAAAAACAGTTTAACGACGGCCGTCAATATTTGCAATTGGGTCTAGTCTCGCGTTAGTTTAAACTCTGTCATCTCGGCGTGCACATGTCATACCTGAGTAAATTCCTCCATGAAGCCCTCAACAAAACTCTGCAGAATCTCGTCGGCATTGTTAATCTTTTCGGCATACTCTCCAACGATCCAAATCAGGGATCCGCGAGCCTCCGGCTCATCCAGCTCGTCAATGTACTTGCAAAGCGTGGGGATGACGCCTTCGTAGCCAGGATATTTGCGCAGAATGTCCTTGATGACAACCGCCACTTCTTGCACGACGTAGTTGACTTTCGTGGAAATCAAGTCCTCCAAAGCCTCCACACACTTTGCGCTGGCATTCTCGATCTTGATGGCAACCTGACCGATAGCCTTGACGGCTCTGCGGACAAAGTCCATATCAACTTCTAGAGCGTATTCCTTGAGCTCGGAAAGGAGCTGCTCGTAGTTCTTTTCGTTTGCTATTCTGACCATGATCTCGAGCTTTTGGAGTTTGACGTAGGGAGGGTCGTTGTATTTGCAGAAGAAGACGCGAAGCTCTTTGCTGAGAATGTCAGGCTTCGCCTGGAGCAAGAGATCGATGTTTCTGAGTGCAACGTATTGTACTTCGGGAGCCGAGGCAACGAGTGTAACTAAACAATGTCAGTTGACGCATCAGGTGGAGCAGGTGCCGAAGCTTACCAAGAGGGGGGGCCATCTTCTTCAGGTATGAGCCCACGAGCTCGGGATTTATCGATCTCATATGCGTGAAGACGACTTTGATCGCAGCGAGGACGACGCTGGGGTTGACATGCTGGAACTGAGGCGCAACTCTCTCACAGATGTGCTCCGACTCCTTGACGTCGTTGGCGGCGTACGCTGCCAAGGTGCTCAGAATAGTCACGCGGCCCCATTCCGTGCACTCGTTGAGAGCGAGCATCAGTTTCTTCAGCGTCGCCGGTGTGATGATGAGCGCTCGCGTCTCAGGCGCCGTCTCAGCAATCTCAGAGAGCGCCTGGACCGAATTGGCCACGACCATGGGGTTGGGGTCGCCAATCATTTCCTGCAGTATCTCCAAGAATCCATTTTCGAGGCACATGGCCGGGTTGAGGTCAAACAGCTTGGCAACGCAGATGGCGGCCGTCTTTCGAACGTAGGGCGACTCGTCTCGTAACGTTTTGCGCAGCGGCTCTTCCATGTAATCGACCATTTTGTCTACCCGAATGCAGCCCATAGTTCGGATGGCTAGAGCTCTGACTAACGGGTTCGGATCTTCTGAGTCTTGTACAAACGTGTTGACAGCGAGAATACAGAGATCGGGATGCGATTTGGCATAGTTCCTGGCATGTCGGTCAGAGCTGAACCCGTAAAGCACCTATCTGCACAATTTTGCACTGCCATCTGGCCGTCAACTACACCAAATAACTCACATGAGATATAGGTAGACCAGCTTCTTCTGGTCCAGGTCGGCGGTCGCGATATTCTTGAGCACGTCGGGGAACAGGGCGGAGACGTCCTTGCCTAACGTCATGGCCATGATGGTCTTTTGGATCGACTCCTTGCGCTCATACGCATACTGTGACACGAGGCCAGCCCGCAGCTCAAATGTCTCTCCCTTTCGAGGCGGCGCAAAGGCGCCCCGAATGCGGTTTACCGCCATAGCTGTGATGCTCGGGCGGCGATGAGGGGCAGCGAGGACAAGGAGTCGGTGGAGGGGGGTTACGGCGCTGAGTCTTTCCTAGCGAGCGAAGCACACGTACGAGCTGGCGAATTGGTGTCTGAGTCGATTGATGCGCGAAATGAATTGTTGTTTGACGGCGCGCGGGTTGTGATAGCAAGCCTCCCGCACACGTGTACTTTGGAGGATCTTGGAGTTCAGGTAGCAGCTCGCAGTTGCCAGCTCGCCCGCCGCTCCAGTGCGACTGGCGCTATCCGGCAGCCCCTGCGCTTGGCTCTGCACGCACGGTGGAGTGGGCGGCCAATCGCTGCAATTTGTTCATCGTCGCAGCTTAGTCAGGCTCGGGAGTGACATCTCATCCAAACAATCACTGGTTGGCTTTGCTCGAGTGGTTGAAAGGCTGGTTGCCTTGTAAAGAGTCATGGTGTGTTGGTTCCATCTCATTACTCGTCTATATTAAAGCTCACCTGGATAGGCAAATTTTCCAAACCTAAGGCGGCTCTTTATCGAGTCCCGCACCGACGACGAAGAGCGTGACATTTCACGGAAAGCTGTCAGTATTTATTACCGAGCACTCGATTTTCATCAATTAATAGTCCGATAGTTTTACAACGCTGTGTTGTTTATGGGATCGGTGGCCATCTTCAGTCTTATCGCTCAGAAACTCAATGCTGGCAAATAATGATACGACGCACCACCAGCCACCGTATATAGTGTACAACATGTTTTATACGTATTCTGGAATTTGTACTTGATGACTTATATCAAACGCGATCTATTCGGCCTCTTCATCTTCTTCCATAGGCTTAGCCGGCCCCGTTGTGCTTGCCGACACCTCTTGCTTACGCCACAGCCCCGCGAGAAACTCATTTGTGCTCGCCTCCTCTATGCCTTTATCGTCTCGCTTCTTCAGAAATCGTGGAAATCGGAGACTCAGTCCTCTCTCGTCACTCACCAGCCCAATCGCCGCGGTGTATGTGGGACTCAGCGTAATGTCGGCAAATGCCATCTCCCACACTTCCTGCGGCTCAAACCAGACATCCGGCATCGGCCCAGAATATTCAATGAAGCTGGGCATCTGCAGATGCGTGTTCTTTGGCTCACCCGTTTCCGAACCATCGTCATAGAAGGCCTTGTTTGCTTTGTAAAATACATCGGTGAATCCAGAGATGCATTTGCAGACAGCTTCCAGCATCCCTGACTCTTCGTTCCTCACAGCCAGTAAAATCGGCGACCACCACTTGGCCTTGCGACCTTGGCCATGCCATCCTGCAATAGGGATCAAATCCAAGGTGTCAAAGCTCGAATTATAGTCCTTCTTGACCTTGAGCCAGGAGTCCAGTCGCTTGTCAGGTTCATAGGTCGCCAGTAATGCCTTGCGCCTCGATTTCTTCTTGGCAGGCTCATTTGACTCTCCATCTTCTGGTTTCTTCTTCCCTTTGGCCTTGGATTTCGACTTTGGTATCTGCAGTTTGGGCTCTTGCTCTTTGATCTCGCCATCTTCGTCTCCCAGATAGGCCACATCCGGCAGATTGTCCAAAATCTTGACCATAATGCCCTCGCATTTGCTCTCTGTTGCAGACTTAAAGAAGCTCAGCACCGACTCTGATTCGGACGACGTAGCATCCAGGCTCTTGACCCAAGTGAAACGGTTAGGCACCTCGATGAATAAAGATCGCAGCAGTTCTCGCCTCTCTCGAAACGGTCGTTCCAGTAGCGACTGTCCGTTCAAGTACATCAGATCAAACGAGAAAATGCATACTTGTACAGTGATACTCCCAATCTCAACGTCCTTTCGTGCTCTATTGGTGAGCGCCTGGAAGTTCTTCAGTTCGCCGCTGGCACTGTCCACAGCAACAACCTCCCCCTCCATGATGAAGCTCGAAACACCGTCTCCCCGTATCTTTGGCACAAGTTCCACCAGGTCCGGGTACTTGTCCGTCATCAATTCCAGATGCCGGGAGAATATGGAAACCTTGCCGCCTTCGTCGCAATGTACCTGCGCTCGCTGTCCATCGTATTTGTACTCGCAGGTGAAGTCACGACCTTGCAACTTTGTGAGCATTTCCGACAAGTCCCTAGTAATGCTTCCCAGCATAGGCCGAAGTGGGATATGAAGGGCCAGGCCGCATCGGACTAGAAGCTCTTCGCACACACCAATCTCTAGTAGATTCGGGATTAGGTCGTTGTAATTTGGACGCTTGGCAAAACAAGCTTTGACGATTTCCTCCGCCTTGGCCCATATTTCGGCGAGCTCTTCCTTTTTCAACTTCGCTAATGCAGGGATATTCCGTGTTTCGTAATCAGCCTGCGTGGGTTTTGAGAGCAAAAAGGCTCGCGACAGAGCGATTAGCATAGTCGTCTTTACTGCGCCAATTCGAAGATGTTGGCAAAGTGTCCGCACGATGAACCGACTCTCTTCGCCACCACGAGCATCTTGCAGAAGGCGATCGACGATCCGCTGCTTGATCTCGTTGCTGCCTTGTCCCTGCGTGGTAGCAATTTTGACGAGGGATTGAAACACGCCTTTGATAGACAGCGGTTTGGGCTTCCTTAGTGTGAAACTTTGCTTCTTCTTTGCTTCAAAGGCGACATCACCCGCATCGCCATACTTGTCATACAAAGTCTTCAGTGATCGGCCATCTAAACCACATGTCTGCTTCAGTGCCTTGGAGATAGCTGATCCACCTAGACCCAGCTCCATCGATATGTATGCTGGCGAGATGGAGTTCGTCGCCAGCCAAACCTGTTACTAATTAGAGAATGGCGCAAATATTGAAGCGCTTGGTACATACTGCGGGTAGAAGGCTCTCAGGGTCACCTTCAATCAGTATCCGCAAGCAATTGACCAGAGTGTCCACAATCTTGATGCGACTCGCCGTCCCACTGACAAGAACAAAGCATCTTGTGAGCAGAGCGTAGGATGCATTACCTCCGTCTCTGGACCAGTGCTCTTTCAACTGACTGACATATTTTGATGGCTCAAATGTGAGCGGCGGTTCATCCAGCGGTATAGAAATTGTGATGGAATCTTCATCCATTCCCGCAGATTGCAGTGCAAGCGTTTTCTTTCCGCCAAAGACGGCCACGGGAGATGGTTGCTTGGGAGCATCTGTCTGTTGCTCCTTTGAGACTTCGACAATATCGCAATCTTGAACATTGCTCTCATTCGTCGCCATCTCAACGGCATTGGGCTCTTGATTGTCTGCTCGAGCCGACTCCTTGTCCCATTCGGCCTGCAGCTTACGCGCGAGCTCCTCATCCGTTAAAGCAGCGTCATCCGTCTCAGAATGAGAGCTCCTTGGAGCAGCAGTAGAGCCATTCTTGGTCTGTTTTTGCTTCGTGAAAAAATACTCCAGTCCTTTTGACTGTGATTTGTCGCTTTTCACTGCATTGTTAAGCTTCCGCTTCTTTGCAGGGCTCGACATGTTAACGGCCAGCCAAGTCAACCAGCACGGGCGAACCTGGGCACCTCTTGTGGAATGCAACAGAGTTCCGCTGCCATTCACATCATTTTCGACATGATACGGCAATTAACCTCTTTGAAAAATTTGGCCGCTGTGTATAAAGTCACAGTTGGGTTCCTATTCGCGTTCAGGTCAATTACACGGTCGCGGTGATGACATCGATTGACACCAATGCACGTGACCCATCTCGAGAGGTAGCTCCTACCAGCCCCGAGATGCAACGCTAAACCTATTCAGGTCGCCCACAAGAAACACGAATTTCTTCTCATCCAAGTGGCCCCACCATCTGGATTCTCTCCGTCGACATCCCTCCTTCTTGTCCTCCAAAGCAGCCCAACATGAATAGCGAAGATCCGCCCGAGAGACCGGAGTACGTCTCCAACATCATCAGCGGCCTCGAGCGCTATAACCCCGAGGCCGTCAGCACTCTGGAGAACTATCTGCAGGAGCAGTGTGACCAGAAATATACCGACTGCAATGCCAACCGCACACTGCTGAAACTGTGAGTGCATTTTCACGAGGACACGTTTCTCGAGTTGTTTGGTTTTCTCTGCTTTTAAATGATGACTACTGTAAACGTTTCCTATTATCCTGACCATGACGGGTCATCAGCCCAGTCACGAATGACGTGAACATTAGTGTTGTCTGAAATTATACACGCCCTTTTCTTTCTTGCTTGCAAAGACTCCGCATTGTCCCCATTGCAGACTCATTTTCGCTAACGCGCGTCTACACGTCAGGTACCAGCTCAACCCCGACCGCATGAAGGATGAGGTCGTCACAAACATCCTCGTCAAGGCCATGACACAATTCCCCTCGCCACAATTCTCCCTCGCTCTGCACCTCATCAACCCCTCGGCCGCCGCCACCGGTGAGCTCAGCGAAGCTCTGGCCAAGCTGCGCTCGCTCAACGCGCAGCTCGAGGGCGCCCAGTACGCCGACTTCTGGGCAGACCTCGACGGCGACGACCTGTGCGCCGACCTCATCGCCGACATTGCCGGCTTCGAGGAACTGGTCCGCGAGCGCATCGCCGTGCTCGTCTCCCAGGCCTTCCGTGAGATCAACGTCTCGCACCTCGAGGGCTGGCTCGGCCTGAACAAGGACAAGACCAACAAGTTCATCACCGAGGTTGTAGGCTGGTCCATCGATGCCGACGGCAACATCAAGATCCCTGCCAACCCGGACAACGAGGCTAAGAAGGCTGAGATTAGAGAGGATGTCAACATTGAGCAGTTTTCCAGGGTCATTCGACGCACATGGGAGGAGACTGTATAATGGGCACGATGTGTGACTTTTGGGGTTTCAAAGCAAGGGACGTACACACATATATCATGACTTACGGAATGAACATGTTTCATGGGGTGGTGAAGGGTCCAAGCTATGGCGTTTCTAACAGGACATTTTATGGTTAAAACAGTAAAAGCGATTATACCTCGATCTTGAGTAGCGGTTGAGAACAGCTTCTTCGATCCAAGAAAAAAAAAAGTTGAAATTTCTAAACCAGTTGCCACTTGATTCCTCATAGTTTCAACTACGTGAGTGTACCATGAGTGTGCATCACGAGTGTATATCACGAGTGTGTACCACCGTATAGGAGCGTTCTAGGTGTCTTTGTTCTCGTGATGATTCATACGTAAATATCAAGTTGCTATATGCGTTCAAACAAAACCCCCTTACTTCTTCCCTCCCGCTTCTTCCCACTGTACACCGGCCCATTCTTCCAGATAACCCGGCTCCTCGTCCTCCAAGTAGCCCGGCACGCAGTCCCTCTCGCAAACCCCCACAATCACCGTCCCCCATTCCATGCCCTCGAGGCTCAGGTCCTCGCTCTCGAGCTCCGTAATCGCATGCGGCGTCAGCTGTACCTCGAATGTGCGCTTCCCGCCGCAACCCCCGCAGCGCGGCATCGCCGCCCTCGTCACCATCTGCCCGACGGCGTCCGTCTTTGAGCACAGCAGCGGCGTACCGCCAAACTCGTACCGGATGACCTGCTCCGGGTTCTGCGCGAGGCGGTCCGCAAACTTTTGAAACGTCATGTCCATGACGCTCTCAAACGCCTCCTTGTCCGCCGCCGACGTCGTCTCGGGCGCGTCCGCGTCCTCGATCCGCGCGTTGGCGGGCAGCGGCATGTCGGCCGGCTCCGGCTCCAGCGTCTCGTAGTCGGCGTCGGCGAGGTACAGCGTCGGGTACGGCGCGGGCTGCTGCACCGCGGCGGGCCACGGCTCGGGGGCCGGCGGCCGCACGGCATCCGTCTTGGGGCTGTTTATGGAGAGCGTCTCGGCAAATGTCTTTGGTAGGTCTTTTTCACTTGTTGTTTCCGTAGTAGTCGGAGCAGCAGGAGCGGGTTGTGAAGAAAACGAATTCGCGCTGAACGGGTTGCTGCTGGCAGCACCGCTAGACGAGGAGCTAAACGGGTTCGCATTCGACGAGAATGGGTTCGCGCCCGCCGAGGCGACCGGGCCACCGCCAAAGAGGGCATCGCCGAGTCGTTGCTTGGGCGGCTCTGGTTGCTTGGGCTTCTCCTGCTGCTTCTTTGCGTCTTCTTCCTGCATCTTTCTCTTCTTCTCCGCCGCCGCGGCCGCTGCCGAACCGTCATCGGCCCACACGCGCACGCTGCGCAGCGCGCGGATGCTGCCCTCGCGACGGCTGCAGCTCGCGCGCTTGCAGGCAAAGACGTATATGCGGCGGTCGTGGTTGGGGAACCGGTCGGGCAGCTCGCCGTTGAGCTGCAGCAGCAAGACCATGAAGTCTTTGCATATTTTACAGCGGGCGAGCGCCGCCGAGGGGGGTTTGTCTGCATCCAGCCATTCCTACATGCAGGCGAAGAGGAAGAATAAAAAAGTGAGATTGGTGGTCTTGGTGGGATAGAGGGGCAGAGTGGAAGCTGGAGAGAGAGCTTACAGGACGGCCACCGATGCGGCTTATAGTATCTTCATCGGCGTCTTTTGATGCATAGCCCAAAAGAACATTCGTCTCAGCAAATTCGCCATCCGAAGAGTCAGAGTCGTAATCGGCCATGTTGTGTTGTTTGGTTTACTGCAAACCAGACTTTTAGGTGATGGTGGGGTCAATTTTTTTTTTTCTCTACTCGAGCTTGATCTTGGCGCGGGGCAGCTTAACTACAGCAACCAAAGCCCCGCGTACTTGAGAGACCGTGTAGATCTTGTTAGATGAAAAAAATGATTCTGGTATATCCACTATGTAAAGAGAGCTTTTATTCTAAAGCAGATCTAACCCCTTTTCCTTTCTTTTAAAATTTTCTTATATGTGATCATCAGGACCATCCATGCCTGGGCCAGGACCAGCTGCTCTGCCCATCTGTCGGGCCTTGAGCAGCTCATCGCACAGCAACAAATTTGAGGCAATGCTTGCGCTAGAGGCCACGCAGTTACGGAGAACACGGAACGAGTCAAAGACACCCTCGAGCTCAGGGTCCATAGGCTCACCAGTCTCCAAGTTCAGCCCGACAACGTCACCATCGTTGACGTCGTCTTGAAGGGCAGCAACTATGCATCATTAGCATCCAAGTCTTCGTGTTCATTCGTTTTCGGTGGACTTACTTGAATCTTGTACGTCATGGCCAGCGTTGGCAGCAAGAGTCTTGGGAATAATGAGGAGAGCGTTGGCAAAGGCCTCGACACCAAACTTGGCCTTGCCCTTGATCGTCTTCGAGAAAGCATCACTGCGCAGGTGAGCAGCGCAGGCAACCTGGAAAGCGCCAGCACCAGGGACAACACTCTTGTCGACAATGGTGTTGTAGACACTACGCAGGCCATCACGGACTGCATCGTTGACCTGCGCAATGGTGTGCTGGTTGGGTCCCTTGATAAGCAGGGTCACGGACTTGGGATCCTTGACATCCTCGATGAACGTGTACTTTTCCTCTCCAAGAGTCTGCTCGTAGACGAGACCAGCGTATCCGAGACACTCTTCGGTCATATCTTCAACACTGTTCTGGGCGACACCGCCGCAGATGAGCTGCAAACGCTCCATGTTGCGACGCTTGGCACGTCGCAAAGCTAGGATGCCGTTTTTGGCCAGGACATCGAGCGACAGGGGATCGATACCCTTCTGGTTAATAATGACAAAGTTCTTCTTGCCATCGTCTCCGCAAACCTCCTTCTTCAGCTCAACAATCTTCTTTAACTTGGCATCGACAAAGCGTCTCTCGCTCTCAACGAGCTTGTCACGCTGTTCGGCGCTAGAGTAGAAGAAGCTAGAGTTGATTTCGGATTTTTCGTATTCGAGGCTGACGTTGAGGGTCAAAATAAAGCAGTTTTCCAGACGCTTGGGCATGTCGGGGTGTCGGGCGCCGTGGTCGAGAGCGAGGCCTTTGATTAGCTGGGTATCAGCAGCCATGCGGTGCTGCATCTTCATGATCTCAACCATGTGCAGGTCGGGTTTGACGCCCTCTTCGTAAATAGCGAGAACAGCATCGACAATGTCGGGGGTGAGCTTCGCAGCCAGAGTCGCGTTGAGCTTTGTGGAAAGCGATGTGCGGGCGACATTAAGCAGGAGTTCTCGCTCGATATCTTTAGGGAGCTTGAACGTGTCGAGGAACTTTGCACGGCATGTTAGCAGGTTAGCAACGCCAGAGGCGCGTTTGCGACTCACCTTGAGAGCCTCGACCTTAGCAATCTCGAAGCCGTCAGTGATGACACGGGGGTGTAGACCCTCGGAGATGAAGCGATCGGCCTGCTTTAGCAGCTCGCCAACGAGCAAAACGACAGAAGTGGTGCCGTCACCACAAATGTCGTCTTGCGCGGTGGCAGCTCGGGCAATCATGACGGCGGTCGGGTTCTGTATTTGCATTTCGCGGAGAAGAATGTTACCATCCTTTGTGAGCTTGATCTGTAGTGTTCGATACGCGTTAGAAGGTGGCGTCCTCGAGCGTTGCAGCGCGCCAAAGAAGCGGCGTCTGGGTTGTGCATACCTGGCCGGCGCCGTCGACAAGCCTAACGCAGAATCAGTCAGTATACGGACAATTAATCTTCGAGGAATACGGCGTACATCTTGATTGTGCCCAGAGGGCCCAAATTGGACTTGAGGACATCCTGAAGGCCCTCGCCCGCACTGATGTTGACCTTTAGAGCTTCGCCCCTCCTCTGCTACCAGTTAGCCACCTGAAATGTGGGATGTGTCGGTCGGGGTCGGTGTGTGTGACGAGATACGCACGCGGGACTCGGCCTTTGGGTTAAGAAGCTGCGCAGCAGACATTGTGGGCGATTCGGTGCTGGGCTCGCGGGAGATTTGTCTTGACAGGGCCGCAGCGAAATGATGAGGATTCGTAAAGGGAACCGCGGGCACACAAGTCGATGGAAGCCACTGGCAACCAAAAGGTGGAGGTACACTTTTTTCTGCCTGGAGCAGCGCTGAGGGCGGTGTGGGGCCAGCAATCCTGGAGCGCAAAGGGGCAAGCTTGCGGCGGCGCCTGCTTTGTGAGGCATCATACGGAGTAGAGCTTCACAACATCAAAGATTTCACTCTATTACATATCAATCACTGCATCGAATTTCGTTTCGATAAAGGCCGATTCATATCTCCTGAGTTATCCGGGGAACGAAAAAGGAAGAAGAAGCCACAGCAACTGCATCCAATCTTCACGCCCCAGATTTACTCACTGTGACTACCCTTCTTCTCAAAATATAAATCCGTCCATCCTTCATCGAACATTAAAACAACAAAAGAAACTCATTCGAATCATCCCATCGCTTTAGTTGTACAACAGCAAACCAGATCAAAAAGAACCAGACACCGCCCTTGCTTCCCAGATTCAGCAAGAGTCATATTTTCATACGCATGTTCCCGTGCGCAAAACCAAGAAAAGACGCCATAAAAGAAAGCCAAGTCCCGCCGTAAGGAGCATCATTATACTGTGGATCTGAAAACCTGCTCCTAAATTATTGGCGTTTCTTCGTAGAATCCATGGCGTAACGCGGGAAGAAAATATTCAAATGAAAAGACATATGTGACGCGAAAGAATAGTCATACAATAAACACAACAAAAGAACGCTTGTCAGCCTCGTCAGATCATGAGGTGCCGAAGAAAAGCTCATCATCATTCGTGAACATGTTAAACTCTTCATCGTCAAACTTGCTCATCATCAACATGCTGGGATCACGATCGAGCTGAACGAGACCGTCGTCGTTGGTAAATTGCAGCATAATGTCTTCTTCTTGCTGGCCAATGTTCATTGGCAGGGTGCTGTTGCCCGCTGCTGAGTCGATCATGGAGTTTCCTGGAAGCATGCCAGACAGCTCTTCTGCGCCAATGGGGGTGTTGCGGTCCACGGCGAAGAGAGCGGCTGGTGGCGGCGAGGACGACTGCGTCAGCGAGGGGGGCGTGTTGTAGTGACTGGCGGCACTTTTGGCAGGAGACACGGGCTCCTTGTCCATGATGGCTTCGGGAGAGACGTATGAGTGCGCACTGGCCGCAGAGGGAGAGGGGGCCATGTCTGCGGCGCGGCGGCTCACCATCGTGGGCATGGGGGCAGAGGAAAGGGCGGCCATGCTTTGCATGGAGGAGTTGATGGGGCCCATATCCATGACCTCGTCATTCAGGTTGAAGTCGGCCTCGGGGGAGTTGGCGACCGAGCTGTCCGAGTGACCAGAGAAGGAAGACATGGAGCTAACAGACATGTTGTTCTTTCTCCTAGTTCTGGCCGACTTCTCCATACGCGTTTCCATGTCTGGTCTGTTCTTCTTGGGACGGCCACGCTTAACAACCTTCCGTACGACACCATCAAAAGCACCAATGCACATGCCACGTTGGCGGTGTCTCGTCAGAGCATCATGGCGAGCGAAGCTGTTGCCACACTCGCAAGGGTAAGGCTTGATGCCAGTGTGGATCTTGGCGTGGCGCTTGAGATCATGCTGACGGACAAAACACTTATTGCATGTAGGGCACTGGTACTGGCGGTCGTTGAGATGGGTCTGGACATGTGACTTGATGTTCTCCTTGCGACCAAACTCCTTGCCGCACTCCTCGAATAGGCAAACCCATTTGCCATCGCTAGTATCGGGGCTCTGGATGAATTGGGTAATCTCTTCCGACGTCACTCCGGTGTCGGTCTTGGTCTCTTCAATGTTGATGCTGGCAATGCTGGCGGCACTGGCGATGCTGGCAAGGGACTCGGTGCGGCGGTGCATGGATCTCTTTTGGCTGTGCGCCGCAGCGGGTTCCTCATAGTGTTGATATTCGGATTGGCTATCATATCCATTGGCAAAGCTGCCCATGTGCTGAGTCTCTGGAGTTGGGTGCTGAGAGAACTCATCAGTAGAGAGGAAGTCACCATCACATGAGAGCGTGTCGAATGCCTCCATCTTCATAAACTCATTTTTGAACGAGTTCATGTTCATGAAGTCGGGTGTCTGCATTACCATGCCATTGAAGGTCTTGGTGTTGGGGAGGGGCGTGGAACGTGGAGGGCTGGGCGCAGTACTGGTCATCTCGGCTTGCTGACGCATCTCTTGGAATACATCTTGGGCGCGAGGCTGACCTCTGGCTCGTGTGGGCTTGACAGTGACCTCCATACTGTCATCATAGCTATCGGAGAACCTGGCCGGGCGAGCTTCTTGCTTGGCAGCTCGGTTGTGAGGAGTGTCCACGGGGGTGGGTGGAAAATAAGCTGCGCAGGTTAAGATGATATACATGAAGTCGGTCGACATGAGTGGACTTACAATTTCCATTTTGACTGGGGGGCGTTGAAGGAACCTGAGTCTCTTCACCGTTCATGGTCTCAAAAATTGCAACACGGCCCATGATGCCGTCGCTGATTCGGCGAGCTGAGCGACGGATAGTTGCATTACCTCCATCTGTCATCCAAGCCTGGCTAGGGCTCTGAGGAATGTTGTCATACGAGGGCATGGGCTGGTTGTTTTCGGCGGTGAAGAGGTCAAAATCCTTGGCGCTTGACAAGTTGTTACCATAACTCCCTTGGTTTCTCTGCATCATCATGTTCAGCTGGCCTCCATAGGTATCAAAGGGAGCGGTGCTCTGTTCAAAACATGACTGATCGAATCTTTGGCTGTGAGGGGTTTGGTTGGGGGAAATCATAAAATGCTCAGTATCACTATGCCTCATGGCGAGATAGGGATTCTGACTGGGTTGCTGGCCCGGGCGTGCTTGTGTGCGTTGCTGCTGCGCTTCTCGCAGTACTGGATGCTGCGGTGTATTGGCTAATCCTGTGTTGTTAGTACTCATACTTACCATGGTGTCCTGCCTTGCTGTTGTCGGTGATGTCATCTGCTGGAAGCGTCGGGTGTCGAGGCTGAGACCGCGGCGATGGGCCGCGGCTTGTCGTCGGTTGATGGTGGGCAGGTTCTGGACCTTCACTCCCTCAAAGGCAGAGGGTGTCGAATTCTGGCGGCGGTGTTGCCTCTGCCTCGAGTGAAGGCTTGTCGGTGGATCGGACAGCATATTGGTCGCAAGGGGAGTCCGGAATAAATTGTCGTAGGTCGATAATTGTCGTTGAATGGAACCTGTAGGTCCGAAACTGTGACGGCAATTAGCATCTCATAATTATCCAGTTTCATATAATTTAGCATCATCTTACCTCACGCAGCGCAAGCACAGAGCGCCGGGCTAAAAGATTGTTTTGTTTCTGCTCAGTCGAGGTCGACTTGCAAGAATACGTGTATAAGTGATGTAAGCCTTATTTCAGGCTGAGTGGCAACTTGTCAAGCGCTTCTTGGCGGAAGCTCTTTGTAACTCTGTAGCAGGATACGTGACAGAAGAAAAGTGTTCTTTTCTTAAAGAGAGATCAGAGGTATGAGAAGGTAAAGGTCTCGATGGTGGATATAGAATACATGGCGGAGAGACCTTGCATTGCATCCGGCTGGGGGGGGGGGGCCTTGGTCGTTCCTGGTCTGTTGACTTGGTCGCCACGGCAACGTCCCTTGCCATGGCGCAAGTGCGCGTCGCACCACCAACGCACCACCGAGCGCCGAGGGAGGCAGCGTCAGACAAAGAGAAAGTAAAAAGTATGTTTGAGACGGCTCGGATTCTTAGTTTACTGATATTAACGGAGTAGCTCACAGGGTCGGGGCAGTAGGTACCAAAAGGGCGATGTTGCTATTCCAGTATTTCTGACATGCTCTTTGTGAAGCGTTTCTACATGTCGAATCCCACAGTGTGAGATAACTACAGCGACGAAGAACAACAAGAACCCTCTCTGTACTATAAATTGTTGATCACGCCGTATATTGGGTGTATTGGATGGTTTCATGCGCTCAAAACAATATTATCGTCCATTCTTTTGACGCGCAGCGCCAGAATCGGGGCGGATCTGCCACAGAACTGACAGCAAGTGCATCCCTTGCCCAATTATCAAAGACACCTGGAATAATAAGACTCCACACAAGAACGGCGATGCAGCCGAGTGAATTGGGAGCGATTGGACGATGGATTCGGAGGGGCAGAAGTGGGCGCTTGCTAGATTGTTTACTTCCTTTTTGGGTTTGTGAGGCGACGAAGCTAATGTCCAGACTCTGACGTAAATTATAAAGAAACAGCAAATTTTTAGGTGATTAATCCCATGAACTTAATTATGACAGTCACCGTCATGTATTGCACAACAGCAATCATTGCAACTGCATTGGCAGATGCCGCGCAGGCGCTAACAAGTTCCCCAGCAAGTAGACAAAGAATGAGCAGGGTCCGCCAAGATGCCGTGTATACGTCATGACCACCGTAGAATGAAAGTCAAGGGCAAAATGAGAGACAACAGACACAATATAATCTATATTTTCCGATGAGAGGTTTCGGAGCTGAATACCGTATGGGCTTGTTGTCTTTGATCCGTGGTCGCCTAATATGTGACTTTGCTCTGTGGCTGCCGACACTAAATAGCTGTGATACGCCACGCATAATACTGGGTAGACTGGCAGGTGCCATTGGAATATCCGGCTTCAAATTGGTGGAACGCCAAGCAGATGAGTAGCGTTTGCTGGTGTCATTACTCTTTAACGATTATAGCCCCAAGGAAAACCCCTGAACAAGACAAGTGCAAAAAGAGTCGCAGTAGTTCAGGGTACGGGACCATGCGCGGAAGAGATGCGGGAAGCCACACGGCAAGCTATCAGCTTTGACACTTGGGCATCTCTTGAATGCAGGAACATGATTACAGGCGTAGTAAAATGGGGTCATTCGAGAATTTACCAAATTTCTTTTACTAGTCCGTGTGAAAGAGTGCTCGGCTGGGTATCACTGACGCACGAATATTTGTTCACACTGTGGCGTCACCACGAGCTGCTGTCACAAACTTGTTGTATTACCTCAACGCCGGCTGACGCGAGTGCCAAGCCTGCCCTGTATTCAAGAGGAAGTCGTCATAATTTGAGGCATATCGTTTAGTGCAGCCCGTCGTCAAAGTCTGTTTTCAAGATCGCTATTGCCCGTACAGGGAGGCTGTCTGGCTGAGTTCCCGCTAAACCTATTTTGACGAGCGAGGTTTCGTAGTAGAAACATACATGATTTCGCGGTAAGAAGTACTGAATAACGATAATCGAGATAATTTACAAGCTATTAATGACACTCTCAGTCGCTGATAAATAAGTGTCGTATTGCCTGTAGCGATTAAGCGGGGCGGAAAATTCTGGGTCCGGCTAGTGGTGAGCTGGACTGGACGACAATCCCAAATTTTGGCAGTCGGCAAAGCGGCCATGCGCAATTAGGAGCAACCTCTCTGCACAGCCATACAAGAATGATAATACGCAATGCTGCAGTGCGGCATGGTGAGTAGCCACACCTTACAACCGGGAAGTTATCATGTCGTCGTACTGACTTCCATTGCTAGGCCGCCGCCAATTGGCCGCCCCTGTCACACGATCCGTCCTCCTGCGCCATCTCACGACCACCTCTGCTCCGACCGCCACCACGCCGACCACGCAGGCCTGGCCCGAGGTACAGACGGCGCAGGCCGCGGCGCCCAAGCTCTCATCGGCCCCGAAGAAGAAGCAGCGGCGCGACCATGCCTCCATCAGCCTGAGCACCAACACGGGCCACGAGCACCGCGGCGCGCAGTGGACGCAGGCGCACGAGGTCGGCGGGCGGCAGCTGACGCCCAAGAAGCAGTACGCCGAGTTTGAGCGGGTGCAGCAGGCGACGCGGTCGGTGGGAACGCGCCTCGAGCGGCGCTACGTGCCGTCGGAGCTGATTGCGAACCCGCCGGCGCCCGAGGATGTGTCGCTGGAGCTGCTCATGGCCTCGCAGACGCACATGGGCCACAACACGTCGCTGTGGAATCCGGCCAACGCGCGATACATCTACGGCGCCCGCCAGGGCATCCACATCATCTCGCTCGAGGCCACGGCTGCGCACCTGCGCCGCGCCGCACGTGTCGTGGAGGACGTCTCGTACCGCGGCGGCTTGGTGCTGTTTGTGGGCAACCGCCCGGGACAGATGGAGATTGTGACGCGCGCGGCTGAGTTGGCGCGCGCGTGCCACTTGTATACGAAATGGATTCCCGGGAGCATTACGAATCGTGACGTGCTCCTCAAGAATAGGCTTGTCAAGGTCGTCGACGGTAGCGACGGGGAGCTTGAGGGCTTTGATGCGTACAAGAGCTCTGCTCGCCCTCTGGTGCCGGACTTGGTTGTGTGCTTGAACCCCCTGGAGAATTATACGCTACTCTACGAATGTGGTCTGGCGAATGTGCCCACCATTGGCATCATCGATACCAATGCCAACCCCACATGGGTATCATATACAATTCCCGCCAACGACGACAGGTATGTCACTGGTGCTCCCAAGACAGGCAAAGAGGATTCAACGCTAACAGATTACCAGTCTACGGTCTACCGCCGTTATTGGCGGTGTCCTGGGTCGTGCCGGTCAGCGCGGTCAGGAGCGTCGCCTCGCCGATGCCAAGAAGGGCAAGGTGACATGGCAGACGCCCCCAGCCCTGGCGACCCAAATGAGAAAGGACATCAAGGTCGCCGTGAAGCAGCGCAAGGAGGTCATGGGCCGCATACAGGCCAACCTGGTCGGCTTCACCGAGGACGAGCTTGAGATTCTGCGGACCGAGTACGGCGGCTCCGCCAAGTCGGTCAGCGAAGCGGAAATGGTCAACATGATGGCCGAGATGTCTGTCCAAAAGGACTCCGGGACAGAGGCTCCTCCGGCGGATACGAATGTCAAGGCTACCGAGATTGCGGCAAGCCTGGACACGGCCAAGGACCACGCTTCTACTCTCGAGACGGAGATTGAAGAGCTTCGCAAATAAACTGCGAAGCCGAATTGTACAAACAGCGAGTGAGAAGGGTGGGCCATGGGAATAGCATCAATGTAAAATTAGAATATCCAGCATGCAAGCATGTATAGTGAATGGATGTAAACTATGAAATTTGTCTCACACTGGTCTTACTCGTGCCCGCCCCTACTTCGGCCGCCTCATAGAGCCAGGCAAGCTGGCTCACAGGATTCCCTGGACCCCAGGGACTCGGTACCTGTTTAAGCGCCGGCCATTGCAATCGCCTCGTACAGGGCAAAACGAGACACTTGACACTTCCAGAACAGCGGTATACCGACACAGATTTTACCGACCAGGATTCGTTTTCTCGTGCGTACTGGTCGGAGGTGTGTTAAAGTTTTTTTTAGTCATATAGTACTCTTTTTTTTCTATTTCCTTTATTCCCATTAGCGTCTACTTTTTATAGGGCGGTAGATATAGTACAAAGAAATGAGGATAATTATTATACTTCATCCTAGTACTAAGCACATTAGGATTAAATATAATAATAAAGAGTATATAGATAGAGTATATTTTAGTCTCCTAATATAACATATAATTAAAAATATATTTACTAATTCTATTTGGTACCTAGTCAGACTTGCTAATAAGTGCTGGAACCAAGGCCGGCAGTTCAACCCGTCGGAGAATTAATATTCCTCTCCGAGGCTACACAGAAAATGCCGGCACACCTGCGTAAAATCTGGTCCTGCGAAGTTCCCTTACCAACAAGGCCCGAAAGCAGCACATTTCAGAACACGGGCCGCAGCTCTCAAACCAGGCACGCGGACAGGGCTGCTTCAGGGTCCCTGTTATTAGTGCCAAGGTACACTGCAGGAATTTTATTAGTTCACTGAGACGCACTGGCAGCAGAGCCCGCGCCGGCCTGCAAGAGCCCGTTCGGTGGGGCATTTTCCTACAGTGAACTGCGTTCTTAGACGGCAGCGCATAGAGCCCTCTCTGTCCGGCGCTCAGCCCGGTGTAAGTCAATACGGCAAGATCTTGCGAGGCCACAAATTTTGTTGACAAGCGCAACAGACTAAGCAAGTGTTGTACTGGCTGGTAATAAACAACACGCGTCATAAAACGAAAGTCGCGGCTTCTGGCTCATGCCGCAGTCATGCCTGCCGCCGTCGACGACCCGGCCAGCCCCACCATCTACCGCGTCTCCGGACAAGCTCCGTTCCCGGACCCGGGAGCGCCGCTGCCGGACAGCATCGTCCCGCGCAAGGTGACGCTCCGCGACCGCCAGACTGTCGCCACGATCCTGCCCATTGTGTCTGTGCAGCACCAGGTGCCCGCGGCGCTCATCACCTATCTCTGCGGGCAAATCAACCGCGAAATCGAAGGCGGCGACACGTACCCGATGATGGAGCCCTTTACGCCCGCGGGCTTCGCCGCGTACTGGTTCCAAAACTTTGGCGCCGTCATGCTGCTCGGCGACTTTGCCAGCGCCGATGCCATCCCCGACAGCCGCGACTGGGCGCGCGACTGCCTCGGCAGCTTCTACATCAAGCCCAACTACCCGGGCCGCAGCTCGCACGTGTGCAACGGCGGGCTGCTCGTCACCGACGCGTCGCGTAACCGCGGCGTGGGCCGGCTGATGGGCGAGTCGTACATTGACTGGGCGCCGCGGCTCGGGTACACGTACAGCGTCTTCAACTTGGTGTACGAAACCAACGTCGCGTCGTGCCGCATCTGGGACGCGCTCGGCTTCAAGCGCATCGGCCGCGTCAAGGGCTGCGGCAACCTCCGCAGCCACCCGGACCGCCTCGTCGACGCCATCATCTACGGGCGGGATCTGCCCCTGCCGCGGGACCCCAGCGGCGATGGCAGCGGCGACGGCGGCGATGACGGCGCGGGCGGCAGCAGCGTGCTCGTCGAGGAGCGTTTCGACAAGATCCGCTACTACCTCAAGGTCGGGCGGTACCCGGACGGCGCAGATCGCGCGGAGAAGAGCCGGCTGCGGTCGGCGGCGACGCACTACAAGCTGCTCGAGGACGGCGAGACGCTCATGCTCAAGGACAAGCTGGTCGTGTCGGACCCGGCGAGGCAGTACGAGATTGCGCGCGAGACGCACAGCCTGCACCACGGCGGCATAAACAAGACTACGGCCATCATTGCGGAAAAGTATCACTGGAGCAGGATCAAGGAGACGGTTAGCGACGTGATACGCCTCTGCAAGGAGTGTAAGGAGCTCGCCAAGGCACCGAGTGCAAACGGCAACGGCAACGGCGTCGTCATCGCGCCGACTACAATAACGACGGCAGGGCAACACTCGGGCGCCTCGCGCGTCACGGCATCCAAGCCGACGACGCCCATCGCCGGCGTCAAGCGCTCCCGATCTCCATCACCCGCCGCTCACCGCGACGCAGGTCCACGCTCCTCGCCGCCAAGAAGCGTGCCGGAGCCGCCGCCCCGCCGCCACGCGCCTTGCCTCGCCGCGACCGTCGTCGACAACGACCGCGTGCTCGGCCTGCGCACGCACCTCACCAGCAGCACGCTCCTGTCCAGCACGCTGCCCTCCGCCGTCAATTCCCTCCTCCACTCGCCCGGCCCGTACGCCAACCCCAGCGACATCTCCGTCGTGCGACCCTCGCAGACGACGCTGCACCACCACCATCATGGCGGTGCCGGCGGTTTCTTGCACACTCACCACAGCGGCGTTGGAGGCCAGGACGACGACGTTTACCAACCAATTGACCCGCAAATCATGAACCGTGACGACGGCGACGACGACGACCAAGGCATTCACGCGTTTGATGGGTACCACCCGCACGCGGATTTCCAGGCGCTGCTGCACGCGACGGAAGATGACGTCGGCGGCGCCGAGAGCGATGAGCGCAGGGCAGCGGTTGATCGGGACCTGGAGATGCTGATTGAGCACGATGAGGATGACGGGGCGGCGGCGGTGGTGGTGCTGGGTAAGACGGCCAAAGTTAATGGTAATGGTGGTGGCGTAGGCAGCGGCGGTGGCTCGGAGGAGGGTGCTGGTGGGCAGGCGGACGCGGACATGGACGATTTGGATGATTCGATATTGCGCGATACAAGGGGGTGGACTTGAGACGAGTGGTCCAAAGACGGTAGGCTTTTTTTGCAGTTTTTCACATGATACCCTTTAGAGTCGCTACACAGTACATAGATGAATGTGTGGCACAATTTTCAGCACGAGACTGCGTTCGTATACTTTTGACATGTCCCTCACGGAGACGAAATTTCCATAAAATCTATCGAGCTTCTTTATACTAGGTATCTCACAGATCCAGACGTCTCACAATGCTTTTATGAACCTCCTTTTCACGTGTCCGTCCTCATATTTCCATTTCTTTTTCTGATTTCACTTTCTTTTACCTACGAGGCATGCCACGGCCGCGTCCTCTCACAGCACGCTGCGCCGCGCCAGGAGGCAGCGCGCCGGGGGCCTGCGGCGCCGCGCTCTCCTCATTTCTAATGGTTTCGTCGACACCGAGAATCAAGCAGCTGGCCTCGGTCGCGGCCTGTATAGCGTTGATCTTGACCAGAGCGGGCTCCCAAACGAAACGCTTAATCATATCAGCGGTGCCTTCATTCTGGAAGTCGACACCTGCCCAGGTCGCGCCCTTGCGGTGCTCTACGCGTAGCTTGTTGAGGATGTCGGTGGCGTCGAAGCCGGCATTGTCGCACAGTTGGCGGGGAATTACCTCGAGAGCCTTGGCAAAGGCCTTGATGATGGCTTGCTCCTTGTGCTGAATGTTCTTGTCGGCGTACTGGTGCAGGTAGGCAGAGACTTCCATCTCGGCGGCACCACCACCACCCACAACCATGCGGTTCTTGATGGCTCGCTTAACAATCATGATGGCGTCGTGCAGCGAACGCTCAACCTCGGCGATGAACTGCTCAGCACCACCACGCAACACCAGCGTGCAAGTCTTGGCCTCGGGGCAATCTTCGAAAAAGTTGAATCGCTCACCACCAATCTGGCGTTCCTCGAAGATGCCGCAGGTACCGAGGTGCTCAGGCAGGATGTCAGAGCAGGTGGACTGTACAACGGCACCTGTGGCCTGGACGACGCGCTCCATGTCCTCCGAAGCGACGCGACCAGCGCAGAAGATGTCGCGGTCGGCAAAGTACTGGGTTCCGAGATCGCCGATGGGAAGCTTGGAGAGGACAACCTTGGCGCCGGTGGCGGAGATGGCCTCGAGCTTCTTGTAAATGATTTGCCATTCGGCATCGACAATGGCCTGATAGTCGGAGACCTGCTCGACACGGACCTCGGCATTGTCTTTCTCGGCCTTGAGCTCGAGCTCGACGTTGAGGCAGACAATCTTGGGCTTCTTGAAAGCCTTGGGCTGCTGCTCAAAACCGGCGTACGAGAATGTCTTCTTGAAGGCGACACCGTTGACGAAGCGGGATTCGGTGAGGGAGCCGCCGGGGATCTTCTTGATACCAATCAATTTGTGGTTGAGGTCGTCTTGGTCGAGTGAGAGAACAGCGTCGACAACCACTGGGACACGTTAGCAGATTAACATACGGGCGCAGATGTGCGGGAGCCTACTCTTGGTGAAGAATTCAGTGTTACGCTTGATGAGCTTGCTGGTCATGGCGGTGGCAGCCAGCTTGTGGAGGGTATCGCGCTGGTTGGCATCGTCGGTGGGGATGGCAATCTCCTTGATCTTGTTGACGGCCAGCTTGGAGGCTCTCCGCAGACCCTTGATGATGATTTGTGAGCTGACACCCTGTTCCACGTGCTCCTTGACTTCTTTGAGAATTTCGCCAGCAAAGACGACGACCGAGGTGGTGCCGTCGCCAACTTCGGCGTCTTGCGATCGTGCAATGTCGACCAGGATGCGGGCGGCGGGGTGAACAATGTCAAGCAACTGTCAAGAGTTAGAAATACACTGCTCAACGGCGGTGCCGTGTTTGAGATAGCAAAGTTCTCCACCGACCTTCATGACTGTAGCACCGTCATTGGTAATGGTCTGTTTGCCATTTTCATCGACCATGAGCAGATCGCCACCGTAGGGACCGAGAGTCGACTTTATCGTGGCCTGAACGGCGAGACAGGCATTGATGTTGGAGACAATCTGGCCCTTGCCCTGGGAGCTATCGGTCCCTTGCGAGTAGAGTCACGAGTTAGCCAAAATTCAGTTGCGCGAATCACAGACACATGGCGATATCATCGTGGGCGGCGCTGCCTGATGGTGTGCCGTTTTGTGTGTGGAAGCGGGCGGTGGGGTAGCGACTCACCCTCCTTGAGGACGATAATGGTGGGAGTTTGGCCTCCGAAAGACATGATGGCGGTGTTGTGCAAGAGACGCCGTGTCCTAAATACCGGCAATGAAGGTGCTGGTGCGGTTTTCTCGAGGATCCAGGAGAGGCGGTTGTCGGAGGGTCGTCACCGCGGGGCCTGTCGAAGCTCTCTGGAGCTCCAAAAAATTGTTGCCGCCTTTTCGCATCGCCGTGCACGGACCATGGGTGCTTCTGGTAATCCAGGGGCAGCCTAGTGAAATGATATTCGTCGTCTTCAACGACGGTAGAAAATATAATTGGATTTCACCAGTACAGAATTTTGAAGACATGTCTATTTCATTTACGATCGAAAATTCATCTCAAATCATGAAGTCTGACTGGTCTTCCAATTTCAATCTCGGCCATTGCAGTAACGACGACACCCGCGTACAATATGAGAGTAGGTGCAGGTCTTGATATCCCCAAGCCCATTCATTCTGATGCAAAAAAGGGTTGATATAATTACACCATCTAGACGACAAGTCTTCTTGATGGCATCTTGAAATTCTGCTAACATGCCACTCCCTTTTCCGACACTCACTCCGAAACGCAGGGACAAGATAATGTATAGTCATAAAACAAGGCTCATTCATATTACATAGTAAAAGTTCTACCCACGACAAAACACAAGAGGTCTTGTACAGTATGCTGCTCCCATAAATTTACATATCTTAGCGGCTGGTGGCGCGAGCAATGGTAAAGACACCGACAATCACAACGGCCAATGTCACAATAGCACCGGGAAGCAGCAAGTCATTGGGGACACCAGCGATGATTTGCTCCTGCACCGGAGCCGCCGCGTTGCGATTCCGGCGCGATCTGCGCACGGGCGCGGGCCCGTCCTCGTCGTCTTCGTCGTCATCGTCCTCATCTTCATCATCGTACGCCCGGCGTCTTTCGCGGACCACCGGAGCAGTCGATGTGGGAGGAGTGGCGATCACTGGCGTCTCTACAGGCGCGATCGGGGCAACAGGCGGCTTCTCTGGGTCGTGAACGAAAAGCTCCACCTTGTCGCGGCGACCCTGGCGAGCCAGCAGGATAGCCTCGAGTAGATCATTATCTGTCGTGATGGAGACGGTATCGCCCTCGTCATCCATGTAGCTTACAGCAAAGCCAGTGTTACCCAGCTTGCCATCCTCGGCGGTCGGCACACCACCAATGGACTCCACCTCGTTGCCGAGCTTAGACGCAACGGCAGCGACAAAGGCCTCAATACCTTGCGAGGCCACGACCTGTAAACGATGCACGCGGTTCGAAGGTGCCTTGAACTTGAAGGGAAATGGTACATCGGCCGGGGGGATTTCGGCATCGTGGTGAGACCCAACGTGAGACGCAGAGTCACCCGGAGCAACGCTATCCCCCAAGCGATCACGGGCGACATCGGGGGTCATCATACGCGATCCAAGGTTTGTGTGGTGTTGGCTACCGTCACCAGAAACCATGGACTCAGTCTCATTATCAATAGAAAGCCAGAACTTGCTCCAAGCAGGACCCTCGCCGTCACCAGTCGACATGGAGTTGATCTGCTCCAGTGTGGCGTAAGTCAGCTTGAGAACGTCGACCATGCCGACGATCTCGCCACCATCGTTCATGACGGGAAGGTTGAGGTAGTGACCATCGTGCATCTTACGAAGAGCAGCCTGGATGGTCATGTCCATGGGCGCAAAATCAGGATGGGGTGTCATGACACGCACGACACTGCAATTGGCGGGGTCTAGCCCGGGAGCAATGACACGCAGAACAACATCCTTGCTTGTAAAGATGCCGGTGATGGCCCCCTGGTCCTGAACAAGGACAGCGGTTGTGTGATTCTCCTTCATGAGCGCAGCAGCCTCCTTGACAGACGTCCGTACGCTGACTGTTGTGGGGGGGATGCCGTTGAGGACAGTCTCCAGTGTTGGGCCCGACATTTTGCTGCGAAGAGCCTCAACGTACTGAATAATCTGCTGGGGCTGGTTAGTACCCAGTTCAGAGTGAACTCCCTCCAGAGCATCATAAAGCTTTCTGGACGACGAGTAGGCGCGCTCAAGCTTCTCCATAGCATCGTAGAAGCACTTTGTGATATCGAGGACACCGGAAATATCCTGGTTCTCGTCCATAACAGGTAAGTGACGAAAGCCCTTGCGGACCATGAGGTCGAGAGCATCGGTAGCGCTGGTGTCGGTTCGGGCGCAGAGAGGGTTTTTGGTCATAATTTCGGCAATCGTGACGTTACTCGACTTTTGACCGGTACCGACGACGCGGAAGGCCAGATCCTTGGCGGTGAAGATGCCGGCAATGCGGTCGTCATCGTCGGTAACCAAAACGCAATCCTCCCGCTTGGCGGCCATGAGCTGGGCAGCCTCGGAAACAGTCGTGTTAGGCTTGATCTGAAGTGCCTGGCTGGGCTTGAGGGCCATGACAGTGCCCGGAGGTGCCTTGCGGGAGTGTCGAGCGCGATTCGTCAAGTGCTTCTTCTTGGAGAGGTCATTTTCCATTTTTCGCCGGATCGCCTGCCGATGGGTATTGGGATTAGTATTTCTTTACTCGCATTGCCTGCAATATGCAACGTTTACGACGACTCAGTTGCAGGCATTGAAGCCTCAACGCGATGCAGCCCTCGGAAAGATTCATGTCAAGCTACGCACCTCATCACGCTTGCTCTGCTTCTGGCGACTAGCACTGACAGACGAGCCAGCCTCGGAGGGCTGCGACTCGCCGGCCGGTCGTGGAATACCAGATGCTGCAGGACTGCTGGCAAAGGGAATGTTGCCCCTGCCTTGATTGCGGTTGGGCGTCCCTCTCATTGTGTTGCCGGACATGGTGGGCAAAGGGAGAGCTTTGTGGGGGACAGCAGTTTATAGACACACAAAGGGAGGGAACTCGCGCTTCGCTGGCGGGGTGAACCGATGGTCTGGCGGAAAATGGTTTGCCTTTGGGGTGCTCGAGGACGAAGGTTTCAGAAACCTGCACAGACGCGCCGTTTGAGGGGTGGAAAAGACAAGAGCGCTCCAAAAGTTTATTAGGGCGGTGGGCCGGCTTGGAGATGAGGTTGAGGAGATTGTTCCTGGCCAAGCCCGCGGTTGTTTACAATGGTAACAAAAGGGCAGGCGCGCCCACCTTCGGGCTAACAATGGGCACTTTCGGGACGTTTACGACACTCATCACAGTGCCTTGCAGCGGTCACAAGCCCCAAGAGCCCGCTGGAGTGGGGATCCTCCAGCGCGCCCTGGCGGCCAATCTCCACGACAACGCGCAATTCGCGCTAGTCCTCTCTGGGCTCAAAGAAAACAGGCAGTCGGGTAAGTTTGGAACAGTTAGTTATGCCATTCGCAGACAAGACACTGTTGTTGGATGAAACTTTAAAATGGTATTGAGCTGGTCTTTCTGTCCTTGGGAAGGTTCGTGGTGACACGAGTAGCCATGCTAACAGAACGAACCGAGGTCTTCGAAAAGTTGATGGACATGTTCGAGTACTTTTCAAATGCACTCGATATTCCCTGCCAGTATAAATCACGGATATTATAAGCCCTTTCATCGAGCTATGGCCCATGCCCTGTAAGCCTAGGTATCTATGTACTTATACTAAAACCAGTTAATTCGGGACATCGAATTCATCATTTGATTCGGGTTTCGCATGTGAAATTTGAGTGCTTGTATTGGTTGCTAAAGCCAGTTGCATCCTGTGCTATATCGAGTGTCCCAACGCTTGCATCGTCATCAACTTTCACTCGCCCCGAGACTAGTCATTTGCTCAAAACAAGCCAACTCTGCGCACGGTAGAGGTGTTGCCCAGACTTCTTGAATCGAAGTAGAATTGCCACCCGCTCACAGTGCAATACCGAAAATCAAGACCGAGTGTCTTGAAGAATAATTAAACACGGCGTAATATGCGCTCAGGCATGTCAATCTCCTCGGCACTGAAGGGTCCGTCGGGTAAAAGAGATACATCAATTTGGATCAGTGGTGCTTGGTACAAATGATACGCAATCGGGAGCAGTGCTGTGTGGCGTACTCGCCAAAATCACAAAGCCACTTCTTATCGAACGTAGTCAGACTGTTGATAGAAAGGTCTGGTTTAGTGTCTCCAACAAGAAGCCAATTCAGTCGTCGCATCCGTGGCGCAAGGAGCCTGCGTCCTAACTCCTCGGAAAACTCGACGCGAGTGCTAGCAATCAGCGGCCAATAAATCAGAGTAAGCTCCTCGAGGGCGGCAAGTGAAGAAAAATCGATTCCATCTGGCGCGATGCGGATGTCCAAGTAAAGCACGACAAGAGTGTCCTTGTAGGGTGAGAGAAGATTTTTTAAATCAATCTTAAAGTATTTATGATCTCGCGCCCTCAGACTCAACTCTTCGAGTGATTCGGACCACTTGAATAAAGATTTCATCGTCGCTTCGGGGTTGTTGAAGATGTTATGCAAGTGCAATTTTCGGAGTGAGGCTGTGTCATTGTTCTGTCGGTTGTCAATGAATGGCGTTTTAGCAGGGCTTAAGGTGCATTACCTGCAGTGGAACAAACGAAGGGATTGACTCATCGCAGCAGACCATTCCATCAAGAAACAATTCTTGTATACTCGATGGAGATTCTGTTAGAGCTTCGATTATGTCGCTCGTCGAGGTGTTCCTATCAATGTCAAGAACAGAAAGATGGCGAAGTGACTTAGAACTAGCCAGTGCCAGCTTGATGAAAGTCAAAATCATTTCGCAATGTATAATAAAACTGCCAGACACGATGAGAGAATTCAGATGAGTAGCCGAACCCAATACCTTCATAATCGTTCTGTCAACTGTTGCGTCGTTTCTGATAGTGTGTAGAGGGTATTTCAGTCTGAATCTTTGAATGTAGCGTCGCAAAGAGGTCTTTTCCTTCAATGTGTGACTTATAGCCCCCATCCCTGTCCAGTGGTGATTATTAAATGGGAGGGGGTATATGATTTCGATGCACTTGTACAGGAGAGGTGTAGCGAGTGCGTTGAAGCGGCGGTTCACCAAAGTTAGATCATGCAAGTCTTTCTTGGCCTTTCTGACATGCATCTCCGTAAGAATTTTGAAATCAATCTCAGGTCCTCGAACAAAATCGAGTACTAGGGTAAAGACCTCGTTCGGCAACAAATTGAAGTAGTCTCGTGCATCAGAGACAGCAACGTGGCTCTGCGTCACCAAATCATCGTCGCGAGGAGTAGACATCGTTGCTCGAGAAGGCGGAGGCTGAAGAGTTGAAAAGATCTTCGGAATGACTTGGGAAAGAGGCTGCGAAAGTAGCCGTGAAAGATCTTTCCTTCTGTTTGTCATGCGCGTTTGCTTTACTCGTAGTGCCGGCCGACGGCCAGCTCCCTCATGGGGTCCGCTGCACGCTGCAAAGGCATTGAGCGAGTAAAACAGCTCTCCGCTAGAAGGTCTCACTTATCGAGATGACTTAATAATTATACAATGCTTCAATATGTGAAAGACAATTATTATGTTGTTTATTCTCTATTGCATGTGGCGACTTCATGCAATTGTTGTTGTCCTTCTCGCGCCAAGCGACTCTGCTTCACACCAGCTCGTTTGTCCAGTGCCGTCAGAAATTTCTGACTTGCCAAACGCTCTGATTCTCAGTATGCTCTAATATCCCCGCACGAAATTTTTTCGTGATACGACCGGCAGATATTTCACTCAGTGACGGTGACCACCCGAGTCAGACCAAACACCGGCATGGGCACCAATGACTCTAGGGGCCTCCAAAACTATTGAATGCTCTTCTCTTCGAGTGCGAACTTCGCGCGTCTTGTTTTTTACAGGCGATGCAAGCAGCACATTCGGAGCTCCTCATGTATCGTGATCCAGCTTGACGTCGATTGCTTGACCTAAGAAAGCTGCAGCAACGCCTCGGCGTCCTGTTTCTCGAGTAATAGTTCACGATCATGCTCATCTGCTACGACGATTTTGCAGAGAATAGATTTGTCATCTTTGATGGTATAGTGCTCTGCGACCGTGGTTGAATAGTGATGTGGAAGATGCAAAGACGATCCTGTCGAATGACGATGGTGTTGCGTGAGGAAAAGCCTTGCTACACGATGCTATAGCAATAAGTTGAATTATGGAACACGGTGAGAATATGGCTAAGCCAAACGGGAGAACAGTGGCGTTGCTTCTGACGAGTGTGAAATCGGCTCGTGAATCCCCCAATGCCACGTCAGTATTACTACGACGACGGCGCGAAATGGCACAATGTGTTGATGATCCTGCGGTAATGGCTACAGCACTAAAGCGTATACCATTACGGAACCTATTTTTTGTGGAACAAACCAGTATTCAAGCGCCTCTTTCGTGATTGTGAAACCATCCACGATTGTGACGCCTTAATACGGCACCAAGTCACCTGTGCGTTCAATCAATCGGGGTCAGTCAGGGCTTTCATATCAATCATATCTGGAGCAAACGGTAGCTCATTGCTGTCAGCTGATGACAGTTCACGCGCATTGACACGTCAAGTCTTCTATCTGTGGTTGTCGAGATCGGTTCATCTGAGTCTGAAAAGCGAACTTCTCAGTCGCCTGGCGCAAAATTATCGACATGCTTAGCGGTTCGCTAAGTAAGTTTTTTCCGTCCCTGCAGGCTCTTCAATGACACTGTCAGGCGCGTAGCTGACGACCACGTTCCTTCGTAGGTCGAAGTCGGTGATGCACCAAGTATAAGACCCCCATGGAGCAGGTTGCCGCTCTAAGCTCTCAGACGGTCTTCAGCTCCAATCATGAACAGGTGGGCATCGAAATTGAACTGGAAAATTGAAAACGTGCGAGACTGTAAGGAGTGATAAGTCCGGTAGAGGTGCCATTTGTTTGCTCAATCGACGCGGGTTGCCCTCCCGTCCGCTGCATGTGGCACACTTATTGCGCTTACTTCTTGATAGCTAATTGCGCCATATCCCTCAACGAAATACAGCTGGGCGAATGGTTTAGTGGTATAATACTCCCTTAGCATCTGCGTCACAGCGGATACAACGATTGGGAGTGGTCCGGGGTTCGATTCCCCGTTTGTCCACACTTGATTTCCTTTTTTGCTGCTTTCCAGCAGCTTTCTAGCTGCGTGCATCTCACTTTTCTTTTTTGATGTTTCCTTTTGGTACGATCGCGAGCTCTTTTGCATTTTTTCCCCCGAGATTTACGACTGCGTCTGTCAACCATTGCGCCGACCAGTAGAAAGCCCGCGCCAGTCTTACACTGGTCAACATATCAACAAGTCAACAAGTCAACAAATAGTAGTCCTTTTCTTGAATTATATAGAGCATACTATATAAAGTACAAAGATAAACAATTCAATGCAAGCGTCTATTGGACATATTTTCAATCGACGTCCCTGCGCTGAAGATGACTGAACCTGGGTATCGCATGAGCAGCGCTGAAAATAAAAACTTGTTTTCTTTTTTCCAGAATTTTTGATTAAAGGGGATTAAACCTTTGCTCTTTTAAAACCAGCCTGGGCATAACGGGATGCAATAAAGAAAACGAAACTGAGAGCCATGGAGACGCCGCAAAACAGCTGCAGACCAATGTAGTCTCCGTGCTGGCGCGACACAATGGCACCACCAATGGGGCTGCCGGTCAGGCCACCGAATGCCATGACGGCGAAAGCAGTGCCGACGCGCGTACCAATGTAGCGAATGTCGGAGACTTGCGCAATCAGCGGAGGGGCGAGAGAGACGAAGCCCCCCGAGGAGAAACCAAAGAGAGCAGCAAATGCGACGATGCCTGCCGTGGATGTGACGGGAATCCAGATGGCCAGAACAAATACGGCAGATGAGAGGGCGATGCAGAGCATCACGTTGAAGCGGCCGATCTTGTCGGCGGCGATACCGGGTAGAACACGACCGAAGATGCTGATGGCGTTGAGAATGGGCAGCAGGTAGGGGACCAGTTTCTGAGACATGCCGGCAGCCTGCGCCTGGAGCAAGATGTAGTTGAAGGGAAGAAACATGCCCCACATGAAGAAGAAGGAGCCGACAATGGCCAGCACCATCTTGACGTCCTTGAAGGTGTCGAAGTACTCTTGCAGGACAAAGGGCCGCGGCTTGGGCGAGAGCCGCGACTTGACGGTGAGATTGACGATGAGGAGGAGAAAGAGAAACAAGAAGGCGACGGCACGAATGGTCCATGGGAAGCCGATGCGCGGGATGAGATGGTCCATCATGATGGGCAGGACGACGCCGGCCAGCGACGAGCCCGAGGCCATGATGCCAAACGCAGCGGCGCGGTTCCTCAGAAACCAGGTGACGAGGCTGGACATGGAGGAGTGGAAGATGGCGCTAGAGCCCATGGAGGCGACAATGGACTGCGCGAGGAAGATTTGGTAGTATTCCGTGGCGAGCGAGGTCATCATGAGCCCAAAGATGTAGATGACGGTACCAATTCGCAGGATCCATTTCGGGCCAAAGTTGTCGTAGAGACGGCCGACGACGATGCCGAGGAAATTCATCATAAAGACCTGCGTCGAGGTGATCCAGCTGACGGTAGAGGAGCTGTAGTTGCTGAGGGTATGGGAGACATAGTACTGCTGGAAGACGCCGACGCAGTTGATGAGGCCAAAGGTGCAGAAGAGGGCGCACCAGCCGCCAAAGACGACGAGCCAGGCTTCGCGGCCGCCATCGGGAAAGTCTTGGGGTAAATGGCCGCCGGCAGGCGCGGCGCCTGCCGACGGTGCGCGCTCGAGGTCGTGGACAGCCTTTTCAGAGGCATAGGCGGCGGCGTTACTCTCGACATTCTCGTTGGCAACGTAGGGCGGCTCCTCATAGGCCGTGGCTGAGGACAGGGAACCCGACTTGGACCGGCCCATTGCAGCAAGGTGTCAGATATCCGAGACAGTGTGCCGGGAGCCGACCAGATACCGGTGCAGAGCGGACCCAAATAGGGCTCAAAGCTTCCGTTGAGAGGGAGAGAGATGGAGAAATGAAGCAGATAATTACGAATGACGTGTGCTGATCCTATTTATCTGATCTGGAGCGGTTTTTCGAAAACAGTCAGCATGTTAGAGCGTGTTAGCTGTCGTCATGTTGCGTCATATCATCACCGCCGGCCGTGAAAGAAAGCTTCGCTAAATCGAGTGTCAATGTCGTCGAATTTGGGAAGAGAATTCGAGACATAAGGGCTCCAGGCGGCGCGAGATGGTAATTATAAGAAGATTGGCATGGAGCTAACGCCCCCATGCTAATAGGTCGGTCGCAAGTAGACGGCTCGCGTCCAGGCCCAAGGCCGAGCAAGTGGGGGGATAGGCAAGGCAAACAACGAGTAGAGAGACGTGAGAGAGGAAGAGGCTGACGGGCTGATGTGGCTGGCTGTACTAACCATGTCTGTCCAAGGACATGGGTGATGTAGGGATGAGCCGTTAACTCCATTGTAGATGGAGAAGGGTGAGCGTGTCCAAGAGCCACAAGGAATGAAGCTTGTGTACTGAGAGGGAGAGGGCAATGCAGAGGCCCGCGGGCCAATGACCCAAAATATGGTTTTATGATGATCGGTTCCATAGCAGAAGCGTGTTTATTTCGCCTCCTGGGGTTTTGATTCCTGATGGATGTGGCCTGCAGGTGGGATGCAAGACGATTGCAAACGGTCCCGTGCGGATGATTTAAAGTAGCCCACCAGCCATACCAAAGCTCCCCCCCCCCGCCAACAAATCTCCGCTGATCAGACAGACCCTCTTGGCGTCCAACGGCTGACGCTCGACGGCCTATGCGTCGTTGAAAAATCTGGTACATATTCTCTGCAGATTTTGACGACTGCAGCCAGCCGATGGCACGCGCTCCCGAGATAGGCCGCCTGTTGTCAAATGATCCCGGCAATGCTAAAAAAGGCGTCCACGCAGGACTCCCCTGCCACTACTGTTAAACAATCTGGGTTTGGAAGCCGTTTTTCAAGGTCAAGAGATCTGGACATCTCCATCTCCCCCTACCCGTATTTAGAGAAGGTCGCCATGATTAGGGAGTCGTGTACGGATACGGAGTACCTCTTTCTCTCAGCCGAGCCGCCACGCCTCGCCGCAACTGCACACTTTATTCCCTAATTTTATCCCATTGGACTTTGTCCAAATTTGCGTCGTCGGGTTCCCTCTTGGCGGCCCAGCATCCTGGACCGTGGAGAGCCCCGCCCCGCTCCAATCAGATACTCCCAGAGTCCCAAGAGATCGGGCCTCCGTGGCCGCGAGCTCCGACTGCACGTCAAGACGGGCCGCGATGCATAGTCGTGCCGTCTTTTACTCGCCTCTTATTCTCTGCTGATCCATTCTCCCCGTGTTGGTTAACAAGTCGTCTCCTCTTTTTCGACGCGGCCCCAGTGTGACACAATCGGCGTGTGAGACTCTACGCACGTCTGATCAGGCTCGCGCTTCGGCTTCAAAAGCCTTACGACCGTAGCACGGCGATGCTAGACTACCTATCGACTCGCATGAAAGCCTAGCCAGATAATGACGAACTAAATCCCTTGGAGTTTCCTACAGCCAAACTTTGGTTAAGCGTGGACGTTCAGTTATGCACAAATTGTCCATATTCACGTGGCTGCCTAGGTCTTCCACAGATGCGCTGCAGAGGGATGAATGGGCGAGATCAGCAAGAAGGATATGCACACTTAACAGAATGAGACAATCCGCAACACACTCGTGGCATCCACGGTTCGGCATAGAGTTGCTGAGGGTAGAAATGCTGTTCATGCATACTCCTTTTGACACGTCGTACCGCTGGTCTAGCAGATCGTGCGAAGTTACTGCCGCCATTTGAGCTAGTTCGAAGTGATGCGGTGACACTGGCATGTCACCCATTGAAGCAGCCATTTCGACAATTGGGTGTGCCGCCAACATAACCGCGCATAGCAATGCGGAGCTATACCATTCAGCAATAGTGGTTGGCCGGTAGCTCAGTTTACCGCGGAACAGCTGTAGTTCCCTCATAAGCTCGTTGCACATTGCACAGCCAATGACTGCGTCGAGAGGATTCCAGGCCCCTTTGCTACGCCATTGCCGAAGCGTATCGACCACCTCCCGTAGTAGCGAACTACCATTTTCGTTGATGATCGTGTAGTCACTGTGGTCATCCGTGAGAACGGTCAAGCGCAACACGACGCTCAGAACAATGCAACACGGCTCAGCGGTCATTGGTAGCATCACAAGAGAGGACATCTGTGCATGCTCGACGGCATTCTGTTCGACCGGGTCACTGCTGTTCGCCCCAACCTCTCCCCACAGATGACTTTGTTGACTTGTGACAGCTGGGCGGCTGCGACCACAGGCACCCCGGCCCAGGCCATTTGTACCGCGGCCATGTGTTTTGTCGTACGTTCATCCGCTGCCGTGCTGGACAATAGCATTTCATATGCAGATGAGCAAAGAATTTGAACACACTTGAATACAGTATCCGTTTTTCTGCAATATATCGCGGATTCCACTATAGGCTCAGCACGCCATATTTCACCGTAACGCAATATATCGTTCTGGTCGATCGCCCTCCGCATTTCTGATGCGAAGAGGAGTCGTTCCTCTGGATGAGAGCGTCCCACCAACGAGCCCTTTGCGTCTATGACATCCATGGAACTTGTATTCGGTAAGTCATTGGTGTTGGCTTTGTGCCAAATGTGCAATCCGCTTTGGTAAGTGACGAGCACCGACTCGCTTTTGTACCAGATGCTGTAGACATTACCCATCTCAGGTAGCTGACGAAGTTCGCGCCGATCGATACAGCGCGGTAGGGTACATGCAGCCTGAGTCGGGCAAGGGACGAACCACACGCTGTATCCGCGTGCTTTTATCAATTGAAAGACATTTTGGAGACGGCAGTGAAGATAGGTGTGAACCTCGCAATTTTCACTGATGCCTTCTTTGCATGGAGTGTCCAGGCACAAGGCACTTGAAACATCGTCCTCTAATAGGCGGGGCAGTAGATGAACGAGGGGTTGTCGACTTCCCCTCTTGCCTCTTCAACTTTCATTCCTCCGTCGTGGGTGAAAAAGAGTCGAGGAGAGTCCAGAAGGGCAGCAAGACCAGTGTCCTCGCAAAAAGAAACAGAACACAGAGGCGGCAAACTGTTGGTCAGTTGGATTCCTACAGCGAAAGCGTTCCATAACATAAAACATCAACGTGCCATATACAGTTCTATTACTCACAGAAGGTTTTGCTGTGCATGCTGCCAAATAATAATACACTCAATCATACCCCATGCCCAGTTTCCACCCGTCTGTCCATGTTTAGCGAACAAACTCCTTGAGGTCCTTGCCGTCCTCGAACGTAACTTTGCCGTCCCGCTTGACCTCGGCCACTTTGAACGCCGGCTCTTCCACCTTTGCCGTGCCCTGTTCCTCGACCTTGGCCGGCTCTAGCGCCTCCCGCACTGCCCCTGCCGGGGCGTCCGCAATCTCATTCACCTCGCGGTTCGAAAGCACGTCGGCCAGGCGCACGCCGCGGCTCGACATGAGGATCGTCGCCGGACCCTGAAACTGCAAAAACAGGCGGTCGCCCCAGATGGTCCGTCGCGCCATGGTGCGCAGCCCGAACAAGATGCGGCCGATGAACCTGTACGCCGCGGACTCGCGCACCGTCTTCATAAACGCCAGCTCGGGCAAAAAGCGTGACACCGACGGTACCTGCAGGCGGAAGCTGGCGCTCTTGAAGCGAAACGGGCGCGGCGCGCGGCGCGATACCGAGTACGCGACAACGCTGCCCGGGTGTGCGACAAATTCCTCACCTTCGGCAAGCGTCAGCTGATAGACCTGGCCGGGCGCAGAGACGGCGGCGAGACCACGGCCAGTGAGGAAAGTGGCGCCCCAGTTCGCGACGCTGAGGCTCGTCTGCATGCGTGGCGAAGGTGACAGCGTGTGGCCTGTCCACGCGAGGAGCGCGTTGCGCTGCGTCACTAGCCAGTCCGTCGTGCCGTCGAGATGAATGACGGAGAAAGTTGTCGTCGGAGATTTCGTCGAGATGAGCGCCGTGACAGGTGATGCGGCGGATATGCGCTGATAGAGGAAGGGAACGCCGAGCGGGGCGCGGGTAAGAGGATTGAGAATCGACAGCGTCGATTGAGCCTGTGCTCTTGTCAGTAGTCTCATAGATTGAAGCTTAATCCAAGACGTACATCTTCGGGATTGCCAGCGAGTGCAACGAGCGTGCCTCGTCTAGTGTAAAGGCGCTGCGAGGGTGACAACGTCACCGAGAGCATCGAATACGGCGAACCGAGGACCTCGAATCTGGCATCTATTGGATCCAGTCAGTAACAACTTTATAATTCCATCAGAAACCGAATCGTACCGGCCATATCTCGCGAAGGGTCAATTGGCGCCCCGAACACATCACTTCCGGCGCCGACGCTGCCCCTCGGAGCTTCCGTGCTCGGGGCAGCGCTGATCTGAATTGCTCTGCATTGTCGGCAAATATACGATGGCTGTGTGATGCGTAGGCTACGCATCGGTCGAAAAATTGCGCCGTGGCCCCTCATCATTTCTGCAGACGATGCGGTGCAATCGACAAAGGAAAAAGGCGCGATGAATTGCAAAGTGATGTGACGTCCCCGGTAAAGCTTCCGGAAGCACCCTAAAATCAAGCTCTCAGAGTGCGCCCAAAAAAACTGGGCGGCAATCGTTTGGAGGGCGGGCCGGCGGTACAGACGGCCCGACCTGTGCTGGTGTGCCGTTGGCACCCATTACGGTTGGGTTGCTGGGGCAACCATCCACAGCGACAACCACGCTGTACCACACAAACCATAGGCGCTTCGCTATACATTAAGCCACAGCAAAATACGGCATCCAAGGTAGGTCCCGGAGGTATCAATAGGAGAAAAGGTCGACCTATATCTCACGACGAAGAGTGTCGGCCGCGTCGAAGGAATCGAGTATTGTTGAAATATCGGCATCAATTCATTTATGAAAAGCATACAATTATGTCTGTACGAGTAGTGGCCCGAATCCGTCCGTTACTAGACGGTGAGCACGAAAAGGACATCATCGTCCGCGCAGACAGCACCGAGACTGGAAAGCCCAATACGATTGTCAAGATTCCTAGCCCCAAAAATGGCGCCGAGGAGTTTTCGTTTACCTTCAACAGCGTCTACGACCAGTCGGCGTCACAGGAGGCCCTCTTTACTTCAGAAGGTAGGGGAGTGGTCTAGGACGAGTAGCCAACGTGTACTAACGAGCTCTTAGTGCAACCGCTTCTCAAGTCGCTCTTCCAAGGACTCGATGTCACCATTTTCGCATACGGCGTTACCGGCACCGGCAAGACGCATACCATGCGCGGCGGCCTCAAGCTGGCTGACCGTGGCGTAATCCCCCGTTTGCTGAGCGGCGTCTTTCGGCGTGGCAAAAAGATTGCCAAGGACACGGGCGACGAGACGAGCGTTGTCGTGGCATTGTCCTACTACGAAATTTACAACGACAAAGTTTTTGACTTGTTGGAGCCGCTGGACCAGCGGACGCCGATGGGCCTGCCGCTGCGCGCCGAGGCCAATGGCCGCACCGTCGTGTGCGGCTTGACGGAGCGCCACTGCGACGACCTCCGTGACTTTGAGAAGATGTACATCGAGGCTAACAACAACCGCGTCACGGCCGCCACTAAGCTCAACGCCCACAGCAGCCGCAGCCACGCCATCCTGCGCGTCAAGGTGACGCAGACGGGTCCTGGCTGGACCCGCGAGAGCACCGCCTCGGCGATTGATCTCGCTGGTTCAGAAGACAATCGACGGACTGACAATGGCAAGGAGCGGCTCGTCGAGTCGGCGGCCATAAACAAGAGCCTGTTTGTACTGAGTCAGTGTATCGATGCCATCTCACGCGGCGACCGCCGCATCCCCTACCGCGAGTCGAAGATGACGCGTATCCTGTCCCTCGGCCAGAACAACGGCATCACCGTCATGATCCTCAACCTGTCGCCGCTACGCAGCTACCACCTCGACACCCTAAGCAGTCTCAATGTCAGCTCGCGCGCCAAGCGCATCGAGGTCCGCGAGATTGAAAACGAGGTTGTCTACAAGCAGTTCCCCAAGACCAATGTCTCTTCCCACAGCGGACTGGGCGGTGGCAAGCGTCAGCCGCTGCAGCCACTCGCCAACGCGCACAATGTCCAGAGCGGCAACGCGGCGGCGGCGCGCCCCATCAAGGCGTTTAACGTGTATACCGACGAGCTGAAGCCCATTCCCACTTCGCGGGCCTCGCTCGCCACGTCGGACATTCTCCGCAAGACTAGCCCTGCGAAGCGTGCCTCGGAACAGGAATCTGCCACGTCGCGCCCCTCAAAACTGGCACGGCCGTCGCTGCTGCCGGCGTCGCTGGCATCGTCGGGCGCAGGAAGCACCAGCCACGGATCCATCACCATGTCGGCGGCACAGATCGAAGCCATGGTAGAAAAGAAGGTAGCCGAGGTGCTCGCCGCGCGCATGGCCGCTGAGCAAAAGACTACGACTGTCATGGCGCCGCCACCGCCACCACGACCGAGCGGCCATGACGCTATGCAGAGGCGTCTGGAGGCGCTAGAGCGCCGTATAGAGGCCGACGAGCGTCGCGAGGACTCCAAGTCGGATGGTCTGCGGTACCTGCTGTCGGCGCGTCAGCACAAGGAGAGCGGCGACGAGGCGTCGGCACTCAAGGCGTACGAGATGGCGCTGCCGTTCTTTCCCGGTCAAGCCAAGCTGATTGGCAAGATCACGCGACTGCGCTCCCGGCTCGGCATGCCGCCCATGGCGCCGTCTGCGCCCATGGCTGCGGCGGTGGCGGCAGCCCAGGCAGCGGACGACGACACGACGTGCGTTTTGGGCCAAGCGGCGATGGACAGACGGCGCATGTCGAGGCTGCCCGTCATCCACGACTCGGCGAGCGATCTCACGGCAAACCTGGACGTGACGAGCACGATTTCTTTTGATTACAATGCGCGGCGGGCGAGGCGCATGTCGCGATTCAGCGTGCATCCCATGCCTGCCAACTGAGACCGAGGGCTATGCAAGAAAAAGGCTTTCGTCGGCATGTTTATACAACAGAGGGTATATGGGGGTGCCCACCTTTTCTTTGTTCTTGCATGAGAGGAAGAGAAGAAGAGAAGAAGAGAAGAAGAAGAGGAAGAAGCATACCTGCATCATTTCATCTCCGCAGGAAAAATTGGCTTAGATAAAGAGCCAGTCTATGCGGAAACCGGCGTTTATTAAGAGGAGTTGGGCATTCTTATCATTTTAGATTCCGGGAGTGAGTGAGGAGTCTTGAAAGGGTCTTTTTTTCATTTGTGTGGTATGAAGCTATGTGTTTGAATATTTTGAAAAGCATACGAAATCAATAAACAAAGACAATATCTGAAAGTACAGTGAGACGGGTGCCTCTCAGCCTGTCGTTGCCGTGATGTTGACCTTGACATGGAATAGCGCCCATAATGATCCAACAGGAGGTATGTTCGCGTTCAATGTCCGATACCGTCTTGATTGGCCCTTTGAAAGTCGTTTTCCGACGCGTGTTTCGAGTTGGAGAGCGCGCGCGCGCCTCCTGTCCCTCCACTCCACTGCCCGTCCATTATACCTACCTACCTATCGTCTGCCTGCCCCCCCCGCCCCCCGCGCACCTACTTGACGGAATGGCCAACAACAGGCGAACACACAGACATTCTGCATCACGGGCCATGCCAGACAAGGCTGATAAAGGAGAAAAAGAAAAAGCAAAGTTCTCGCGGCACACAATTTCATGCGAGATTGGTTCAGATGAGATGGTGTGTGCATCTTGATCGGCATGTTGGATAATTACAGTTTTCTTTTTTTTTTCACGCATTCACCGCCTGCTCTGTCCGACGTGACTTGTTCAGCAAATCGACATATGCCTTTTTCATCTTTCAGAAGCTTGAGCTAAAGATTGCCTGCACGCAAGACAGTAGCACGGTTTCCGAGACGCCCACAATGGGTCAAGGAACCCTTGAAACGGGGGCGACGAGACAAGCAACACAAGGTCTGTTCGGCAGCGTCATACATCCGCCACCTCCGCCCCCCATCATTCCTGCAGTCACGAGCGATGAGCAGATAAAAAAACATGTGCCAGAAAGTCAGTTGGATTGAACATGTGTATTGAAGCAATAGCCAAACAGAGAAACTGGTATTCGTGATAGAAATACACGCACATTCATGTGCCGTGCGGATGAAAGTCGTAACCAACGGTCGCGTATGATATATAAGCCCATGAAAGAAGCCCTCTCCGAAAAGAACAAAGAAGAAGACAAAGAGAGAAGGCATGAAGATAGTCGAGGTAAAAATGAGGATGTAAAGAGTGCCAGGGTCATGATGCCCCAATGAAATGCAGTGTAATCGCTCAACTCCATAAGAAAGGCAATCAACAGTGGCAGCCATCGTGCTGCTTTTCCTCCCGCTTTTGTAACAGTTCCAGACAATTTTCGTACATCACCACTTCTTGTCGAGCCATTGGACGGCACTACGTCGTCGGTCGCTGGCTGAAGTCTGCGTGGTGGCGATGCTGCCGTTGAACGAAGGCATGGAGCTAAAACGGTTGAGACGCTTGCGTTGGGGCATGGCAGCGACGGGCTCGTTGTCGATGAGTGGGCTGGGCATGTCGCTGGCCATGTTGGACTTGGCGGCGCCGACTTTCTCGCCGTGGAGGGCGTCGGTGCGTGCAAGGCTCGAGTCGGTCGAGGAGCCGGTGCTGTTGGGGGTCTGGTAGACGTACTCGCCGTCGACGTAGACGGCGTTGGAGACGAATGTCGAGCGGCGGTGGCGTCGGCGAGTGTAGTGCTGCTCGAGGCGGAAAAACTCAAGCTTAGCCTGGATGCGGTCGATGAGGCTGCGACCCATGGTAGCGGTAGTCGATGGAGGAGTAAAGCGTAAGGATAGGTGCGGCACAGAGTCGTTAAGAGTATTGCACAACGGTGGCTTCTCCTTGGGAAGAAAAGGAGTCTTGGGCCAAAGATTGATCAGAGACAGGCTGTCAGGAGCGCGAGGCCGAGGCGGAAACGTTGGGTTGGGCTGAGTGAGGTGTGAGACAAGTTAAGACTTGAGCTAGAAGGTCTAGACGCTGAAAGAAGATGAAGGAGAGACGAGAGAAGCAATTCGAGGTCGACAGTATTCTCCGGCAAAGACAGACACACACACACCCTTTTGGATGAAGAGGTAGGAGGGGAAAAAGGAGGGGAGGGTATGAAGTTTATGAAGACGAGGCGTCAAGACGAATGAAGGACTGGAATTGGCAGGTACAAGTTGCTTGCATAAAAAATGAAGAGGCTTGCGACTCGTGGGGGGCTGTGGTGTGGGAGGGGAACTTTCGGAGCACTGGACGAAGCCCCAAACAACGACTGGATGAGAAGAAGAGGGAAAAGAAAAAAGGCAGTGCGAAAATGGGCCTCTTTCATAATAATAACGATAAGCTACTTTATTAGGTGGTCACTGAGGAGAATGGGGAGGAAATGCAGCTTGTACGGAGCACGTATATTGGATAATGCAAGGTGCGTTATTAGTGTGCCTGATGATGGAGAGGATTGAGTGTAGCCAGTGGTGGGGAGCTTACAGGGGGATCACGAGTTGGGTTCGGATAATGTATACTGCAGGTAGATTAATTGATTGATACAGTGCCAGAAGACGCCATAGATTCCATGTGAAGTACTTGTCTGCTACATCAAGACCCCTGTTCCCAAGCAACTGCTGAGTCCCACCGTGGCGGTCGCTGTAAATGGGAGAGCCACCTGCCTGAAGCAGGCCATCCAATGCTTTGCATAATCTGGATGTTCTGGATGTTCTGGGCCTGTTCCATCGCTTCGTTTGTTCTCCATTATCTGCCCATTCTCTTTGTCCACGACAAACGCATATATAATTATAAACTAGGTAAGTAGTAAACACGACTGGCGACAAACGGGCTTTGTACCATCCGACAATCATCACATCTTGACTTTTCAGCCCCCGTGCAAGACATTGTCCATCTTCATTACACATGCACGCTCATTTGCTGCGCGGCATCTGGCTCCCTCAAGCCCCTGTCCGCTACAAGACAGCCACCACCTTTTGCGCAACGGCCTGTTGGCAGGCTGTCCGCCTCGGCGCTACGGATACCAATGATGTTAGAACAGAAGCAAAGTTTCTTCGTTGGTTGCAGCTGCAGCTGCGATTCGATGGCTGCTGTTTGACAAGTTTCGGTACAAATTACTGCGATAGACTTTGGTGCCCACGAACCACGCGAGCAAGCCCGTTGTTCGACCTTGCACGACCACCAACTATTCAACCGTGGCACCGTGGCACTGTGGCACCCGTTTCTCGACATGCAGTGCTATTCTGGCCAATCTATAAATTCTTGGTGTCAATTGACAAACCGAGCAGCCCTTTGTTCGCCGATGCCCCTATTCCAGACAACCACATTTCCCGCCCCCAGCGCATCGAGCCCAGCGCATCGAGCCCAGCCCACGTTACGAGGGGCCAATGGTTTGTGCATCAATACTCCGTACGGAGTACGGAGTAGCATGTCGCAGACATGGCTGGTGTCTGCTTGGCTGCTTGGCTACCCGCCACAACTTGGCCTAACCCCCTGATCCGGATTTTCCTTGCTGTGAACTGCAACCTGTGACTGGTAGGTAAGATGGCGATAAATAGAAACTCCAAGCACTCGTATTACCAGCATAAATGGCGATGAATACTGAGCGCCACACAGCCACCCACCTTGAAGATGAACCATCCATCCATGCTCCCAACCCAGCCCCCATCGACGAACTCGTGGTCGGCGCTGACTTGTGCTGTGACATGCATGCAGGGGCGGTTTGGCAACCCTCCCCCTCGTAATTACATCTTTATCGCGCAGAGCACTGTCAGACAATCACCACATCTTGTTCTACGCTCGTTGGCTCGCTGCAACAAAGCGGGCGGATATGCAGTCGTTGCCGCCGTCGCTCTTTCTTGACTAGTGCTCTCTCTGGTCTTGAACCAATGCAGGGGCATGCGTTTCGCAGAATCACAAGCGAACTGCAGACTGCTCGCTCCACGGCGGCCACGTACAATGCCTCACGAACAACGGCCGCAGCTACATCGCATATGCCGTTTCGTTAGCCGCCCTCTTTACGAATAGCGGCAGGCAAAAGTGTGCATATTTTGACTCAGCCGAGAACGCCAGATGTCTTGGACGGCTGGAGAGGGCGAGGGGACTGGCACTACATATTTCGTGGGGTCTGAGCGATCAAGCCTGAGAAGACGACCCTGACAATTTCTTTGAAAGAGCCACAGCCGGCTTCTCTGCTAATAGTCGACAGTCCTGCTTCCGATGAGAGACCGCAGGCACATGACTCTCGGAATCTGTGTTGCTGGCCACGCATTTCCCCCCACTCCCCACTACAGCCAGCCAGTCGACAACCCAACACCACAATTTATATAAAGTCGTTTGCCTGATCTTGACCTAAAGCCATATCATAGCCATATTCATCCTTTCCAGGTGACCAAACTCTTGGCAAAGCAGCACCCTGTTTCCCTCGCCTCACCAGGATGAGTAAATCATGTGAAACGGCAAGAGGACATGCAGGCTTGGGGGGCTGCCGACGCAAGAACATTTAGCAGCAGGCGTGTTGCTTCTATCCTAAGGTCTGGTCCTACGCATCTTCCCTCGAATATAAAAGACGAAAAGACCTTTAATCGTCGCTTGTAGCCATACGAGCTTCCTAGCTGAAGCCGTGAGGACGTAGACAGTTGTCACGCAATACACCATCTCGACGAGAATCAAGTTTGCTTGTATTCGACATTCGCTCTCCGTTGTTTCAATGTCGAGCCGAATTGGAGCTCGTTTTATGCAGTACTAGACGACCGTGATATCGTACTGCTATTGTTGCTGTCTTGTACCGTAAAAGGCAAAACGGGTGTCGCCGGCCCAGCTGGCTAAGTTTCGTTGGGCGCCGCCCTAATAGGTCTTTTGGAAGGACGAATCCTGGATGGCATGCTTTTTTTGATATTTTTTCCAGCGTTTATCTATAGCGACGTAGACATGAGATCTTGAATTCGGCCGTTCTCCAAGACATAAATGTGGCTAGTTACTAGGACTAGGATGCGCTTCCAACCGCAGCTGCTCATGAAAACGGGCTTCTTGCAGTTGCGGCTCGAAGTCATATGTTGCTTTCAGGTGATGAATCTTTTAGCCAAAAAATCCGAAGTTTAATGTTATTGTTGAAGAAGAAGATTGCAAAGCGAGGAGTGACTGATTTTTTTTACGTGCGGTCGTCAGCCACAAAGCCAATCGCTCCTCCCTCGCCCACAAGCAAGCTACAGAATCTGTTGCTTTATTGCTACTGAATCTACCTACTAACTGTGCGAGCGGGCGTTGATGCGCCGCCAACAATGACTCACAGCCAGCGGCGTGGCAAGCATGGATTGGGTGAAGCAGACTAACTAAACTCAAGACAACGAACTGTGCGCGTTCTGGCAGTGGCTTGTCACTTCGAAGTGACGATTGCGTCGCCACATATATTTGAAGAACTTGCAGCCGTCCTCTCCTGCTTCCACAACCCGCCGCCGTCGCCGCCGCGACCCTTTACTTGACAATCAAACTTCCGTGAGCTAGCAAGACTGCTCTAGTAGATGTGGCCCTATTACACAACACTTCACCAAATCATGACGAAAACAGGGGCTAATCAGGTCCAATTCACCACTTAAATAATACGTTCATCGAGATAGTACAAAGCCCTGAGCATCTTGTTGGTTCTTGAATCTCTTGATAGCCAAATCAGTTCAGCATAAGGGTTTTATATCAAGAGCCTCGACGGTTGCCGATTCATGTGTGTCTTGGTTGATCAGGCAAGATTTTATTAGGACTTAGAGGGGTTGGTGCTGAGGTTCAGTGGTGGAAAGCTAGGTTGGTTGGTTGGCTAGCTTGCTATTAGCTAGGTAAATAAAGGCGCTAATGCAAGTTTATATGGAGCATGGACGAATTAGGTAATTTTTATTTATATAACAGCAGAAATGTAAGATGAATTGGCCGAGTTTCAGGCCTCATGCGACTGGATTATCAAGGCGTATTCGGTTGCAAAGCATATCAATTTATATTTGTTGAGATGAGCGGACCCAAATTGGCCTCTTCTGGCTGCTCAAACTTGGGGAGCATACACAAGTAGTTGGTGCAACAATTTCCCAGAGAGGCGGAGGGACAAAAGGACAGAGGGACAGAGGGACAGAGAGACTATCCATGCCTCGCGATGTGTGATGAACGGGGCCAGATACAACTTAATCTCGAGAGACAATTGGCCGTCAATTACATTAAATTATCGCAATAATACAATCTACCTTGAAGGACTGCAAAGAGTTTGGTCCTGTTTATCCGTAAATTGACACGATTTCCATCATCGAATCCAAATCAGCTCCAGACCAGTGCTCCTTTCTCGATTGCACGTCTGCAACTCCCTACAGACCGGAAACAAACATGCACTCATAAAAAAAAGAATTATAGAGGAGCGCCTGGGCCTCTGTTCGGAAACTGCCTGCAGTCAATATCTTTCGTTTCATCTTGGTATCATTTTGCTACACTACATACAACCGGATCGCAGCTTCACAATGACTGCCGTCCACCGCTCCAATTTATGCCCACTTGCCCAGGACGCTCATGACAATCAGGCCTCCGATGAGGCCAAAGCCCGCGATGCCCGTCGTCAGGGCATCGGCATCCGCCAGCTCTGCCTTTGAACCGTGCGAGCCGACCATCCAGTCGCCAGCCCACATCTCGACGACGCCGACCCAGACGAGAATACCGGCCGAGAGGGCGTCGAGGGTGCCGATGGCGATGATGGTCGAAGGGTCGTTGCCGTTGAACGACTTGAGGACGCCGATGCCAATGGCCATGCCGAGGGGTGTGACAAACGCAAACAGCGAGGCGAGCCCCATCTTCTTACGCAGAGAGAGACCGACCGTCTGGTGCGGGAGCAGGGCCGTGTGCGACGTGGCGGGCGCGACGCTCGGCGTGTTGGGCTGGCTGCCGTCGACGGACGCGTGGCTGTGGGCGTCGCGGTTAGTACCAATGGTGGCGATTCGGGTGCCGAGGGCCAGTCCTTCAAAGATTTGATGGAAGAGAATGACGACGAAGAGTGTGATGAAGTATTGGTCCGCTGCCACGACGAGGGTAAGGCCGATGACTGTGACGTGTTAGTGAGAAGAGGTCGAGTGTTTGTGAGGGCGGTGGCAGTCTTACGGAGAGAGTGGAAGAGAATGCCAGCCTCGAGAACGAGAATGGTGACGACCTCGGCGGAGAACATGGACTGCGTCTTTTCTTCCATTGACTGCGCGGCGACGGACTTTTCCTTGGCGATGACAATGCGGTGGCCAATGTACTCGACAATAAAGGAGAGGAACAGACCAGCCATGACAATGGCCGACGTCACGGACTCGTAGCCCAAGTCCCCGAGACACTTGTTGTTGAACATGAGCGAGGCGTGAGTGTAGAGCTACGTCTGTGTTAGTCCCGGCATACGATACCTCCGTTTGTTATTTCAAAGACTTACATGGACAAAGGCAGTGGAAATGACGATGCCGGTGCCAAACTGCTTGAGAAAGGTAAAGATGAGGGTCATGTGGCGTCCCATGGCGCGCTGGAGGAACAGCGGCCCAAAGACGCCGAGGGCGCTCGTGGCCATGATGGCAAAGAGCAGGCCGACGCGCAGGCCAATATTGTAGTCGCGCTTGGGAGCGTCGCACTTGGGCGCAGCGCCCTCCTTCTCGTCGCCGCCGACGCAGTGTCTGCGGTTGATTAGCTAGATGCCCGGGAGTGAGATGGTTTGACAGGGAAAGATACGTACTCGACACCGGCGTGGGAGTGGCAGTGAACGGTGCCGCCGGCTTCGGAAGTGTTGTCCTTGTCTCCCGCAGGCTCAGTAGAGCCCTCGCCCTTGGCCATGACTTCGTTGCCATCTGGCGCAATGCAGTACCTGTAGTCGGGTCAGTCTCGACGGCTCATGCTTGATGAGAAGAGACGCAAAGTCTTACAGATCGGCGCCGTGATTGTGGCATCCTGTGAAACTGGCGGGCAGGTTGGAGGTTTGTGTAGGCGTGGTCTGCATGAGATACTCTGTGGTACCATGCATACAGTATCTGGGCGAGCTGTTAGCATGTGGTCTACGAGATTCAGTGTATCACCCCGTCGCACGTACAATTCCGCGCTGCCGTGTAAATGACATTCGGTGACGGCCGTGATCTGTTCTGTGGCAGAAGCTGCGGCGGCGGCGGCGACAGCAGCTGGATTCGGGGCCGGTGTACGCATGGGATGCGATGCTGCAGAGGCAGCAGCAGCCCAGAGGAGGGCCGATGTGAGTGTTTTCCCGAGCATCTTCTCTTCTCTCCTCGCTTTGCTCGACTTGGAGTGGTGATTTCAGATCAGATGAGATGAATAGACAAAGAACAGTGCTGGGCGAGTGATGTTTTGATCGAAAGAAAAAAAAAAAAAAAGGTCGTTTGGTAGGCACCAGCAGGGCAAAAAATAATATGTGGTAGAAGTGTGTCAGAAGCGGCGCGCCAGGAAAGCGGCGGGAGGAAATAAGCTTCTTTTCAAAGTTGACGGACCTCACCCAGAGCGATGCAAGCGGGCAATAAAATTGCGACGCTAAGAAACGCCACGTGCAAGGGACTTTTCCCGTCGTGCCAATATATGATGTCGTGGAATAAAGATGCGCTGCCCGCGGCAAAAGGGAAGTGCAGGCTCTGGTGGTGACTGACTGGCTTGACCAGGTAGGACCCCCCGTTTGCCAGTCTTGACTCTTGATACATCCGTTATTAGTTGATTACTGCAAAAAAGAGGAACCAGCATGCTTGGCAGTTGAACGATAAAAAGTTCTGCTTTTTTTTCAAGTGGATTGACGGCTGACCCTGATGGACAATACGGTTGGATGTGCAGTACCTATGTGCAGTATGTGCTGCGGGTGCATACCGGTATTGGCGACGCGCACCTTGATGGTCTTTTGCCAAGGTGGTGGTGCCGAATATTTCTTTGGCACCCCCTCTTCGTCCGTGTGGCGCTCTGTTTGTCTCGCCACGAAAAGCAGGACATTGTGCAAGGAAAGAACCATTTGCCAGCGAGGTCACGCCTGATTTCCATATACAAGAGTCTTGGCCCCCCCCTCCCCCCGGGAATGATCACGGTGGTTACCTTGAAAGTTTGGTTCGTGGGTTGTCGTAGAATCAAGCCCAGATCAGGCTGGCGTTGCCAAGACGGAGCTGGATGTATTTCGGGGCGGGTGGATGCGAGCAACCCATACTAGTTAGTAACAGACTAAACAGGCCACCCTTTCCTCCATTCATGAGAGGCTGACGCTCGACTCTCAGCCGTGGGCATGCGCGGCGGGCTGAATAATGGCCCGGCTTGGTATGGGCAGCCGGGGCGAGTTGTGTTTTTTTTTGTGAAGCGACGACGTCTCTCTCAGCAGCCACAGGCTGTGGAGACATGGATGGCCTGCCTGCTACTAGCCTAGCCACCTAGTTGGCTAGGTGGCTATTTACCAACTAGCCTACTGCTAGTCGTGCGCCATCAGGGTGCCGCGTTCCGACGACGGCCCGCTCAACAGGGCAAGGGCGACAGCGGTTCGCAGCAGCATGTGGTCTCAATTAGACAATGGACGTAAAAAGTAAAAAAAAGGCGGACAAGCATCACAAATTCGATACCATGCCCAGGGTTGGCGGCAAACCTGGCGGCAGATGCACGATCAAGTCAGTGGCGGAGGACGACAATGATTTGTACGCCGCAGGTGCAGATTTCGGTCTGCCTCATCGTCTACATTTATAGACCAGGACCAAAGCATTAGTCAAACAGACGCCACGAGGTAAACATATCCCTCACCTCGGCCATCATCTGGTCTTCTACAGATTAATTCTTTCAAGATCAATCTTACCCAATTCTCCAGCTTTTTTGCTCCGATGCAAAGTGCCTGATTAACGTTAAGAGTACAATGTGCGAACATGGCACTGAGGCAGCCAGCCACCATGAGGAAATACATCATTCAACGTGACCTCTTCTCTAGTCTAAGTACTAGACAAATATATTATAGGAAAAAAAAAAAGAAAACATAGTTTTTCTTGATATATAGATTCATTTATAGTAGATTTACAAGTCAGACTTTCTAAACCTTTATATATAGACATATGTTATTCTAAATGAGGCCAATTTCTGACGACAGACATACATGTATCCTGCCTTGGACACATGTTCATAAGTCGACACTTGCTCTGATTAAGGGGTCAGCATCTCATTTAGGTCATCAATCCATATAATAAGGGAAATTAATCTGCGATAGCGTCATTTGAACTTTTATTGTCTGCGAAGCACAACATTAACCTTGCTCAATTCGATGATTTGACGCGCAACGGTCGACAAGTTTGCCACAAAGCGAGACAGAGTCAACAGGCTGTCACGCATCTTCATGAGATTACTTAAACTGATCCAATGTCATTATAACCGTTATAACAACGTATGTGACTCGTGCATTGACTAGCGATAATCCTCATCACCAACAAACTCCTCATCACCAACAGACTCCTCATCACCAACAAACTCCTCATCACCAACAAACTCCTCATCACCAACAAACTCCTCATCACCAACAAACTCCTCATCATCGCCGCCCTGATTGTTGAGATACTCCTCATCACTACCTTCCTAATTGCAGAAATTCTTCTCATCACCGCCGCTCTGTTTCTTGAGATTGTCCTCATTGCCAGATTGATCGATGTCATCATCGCCAGATTGATCGATGCTATCACCATCAATTTGTTTGATGACGTTACCAACAATTTGATCGATGCCATCACCGCCAGATTGATCGATGCCATCACCGCCAAATTTTTCGATGCCGTTACCGCCAATTTGTTCGATACCATCACCGCCGTCCTGATTGTCGAGATAGTCCTCATCATTGTCAAACTCATCGTCGGCATCATCGCCGCCCTGATTGTCGAGATAGTCCTCATCATCGTCGGCATCACACTCATCCTGATCGTTCGGCCTTTCAATTCCACCGCTGATAGGAGGATAATCTTCATCGTTGGCATCACACTCATCCTGATCGTTAGGCGGCATATCATTTCCACCGTTGATGGGAGGGTTGGTTCCATTGATAGGAGGGTTGATTTCATTGATAGGAGGCTTGTTTCCATTGATAGGAGGCTTGTTTCCATTGATAGGGTAGGGTTGATTTCA